TCATAGGGTTTATCCTTGGGTGATTACGAACACTCATAACAAGTTCCGTTAAAATCCTTCAAGAATTGTGCCTTCTAGAGTGTTTACGAGCTAAAAATTGAACACGTTTTCAATGACAAGGGCAATAATTCATACTAAATATTTTTTGATTTCATTGATTTTCAATAGGGTTTATCCTTGGGTGATTACGAACACTCATACCAAGTTTCGTTAAAATCCTTCAAGAATTGTGCCTTCTAGAGTGTTTATGGGCTAAAAATTGAATGCGTTTTCAACAACAAGGGCAATAATTCATACTTAATATTTTTCGATTTCGCTGATTTTCAATAGGGTCTATCCTTGGGTGATAACGAACACTCATACCAAGTTTCGTCAAAATCTGTCAAGAATTGTGCCTTCTAGAGTGTTTACGAGCTAAAAATTGAACGGGTTTGCAAGAACAAGGGCAATAATTCATACTAAATATTTTTCGATTTCGCTGATTTTCAATAGGGTTTATCCTTGGGTGATTACAAACACTCATACCAAGTTTCCTCAAAATCTGTCAAGAATTGTGCCTTCTAGAGTGTTTACGAGCTAAAAATTAACAAGGGCAATAATTCATGCTAAATATTTTTCGATTTCGCTGATTTTCAATAGGGTTTATCCTTGGGTGATTGCAAACACACATACTAAGTTTCGTTAAAATCCGTCAAGAATTGTGCCCTGAAGAGTGTTTACGAGCAATTGTGGACGGACGGACCGACGGACCGACGGACATGGGTGACGACAATATACGCCCCCCATTTCATGTGGGCGTATAAAAAAATGCCCCTATAGTCCAAAACCTAAACATCACGAAGAAATCTACTTACATTTGTGCCATTATTGTGGCCTCTCTTAATGACTTTATTTTTATTATCAATCCAATAAATAAACGCATCTTTGGGATCGTAAGCTAAAGCTCGAACATTTTTCAGATTATGTATGGGCAGAACGACTTCTGGATTATCAGCATCATCAATATCTTCTGGATCCATAACAAATCTACTGATAACTGTCTTCTGACTCAATAATAGATAATTCTTTGGTGCTACAAGAAATAATTACTGGTATTATTCAATATTATGGTTTTATGAAACTCCAAAACACCAGGTATCCGTTGGACATGTAGATAATCCAAGGTTAGAGGGGTCATAGGTTTAATTAGGGATTTATGGCTATAATATTGATATCATGATGTTTGTAATAATTGCAAGGGCTGTAACTCTATAAATATTTGTTAAAATTGCCAAAAAACAAACTTGTCCGAGATCTTTTGAACATACTGCACACAAAATTTGACAAAAATCTGACATAAACTGTGGCTTACGTTCACCTGATTAATCACAACCAATGGATAACAAACGTAAGGAGAATTATGTCTCAAGATAGAAGAGTCAGAAATGACTTCTGAAAAGTGACATGCGTAGCTGATATGGAGCTGTGTCAGGCAGTAAAGCAATAGTTTAACAAAGATATCCCTTTTTAAAACTAAAAGATCAAGCTTACCTTCACAAGTTTGGTTTTCTTCATGTAAGGTATAGTGTGTAGGACAAGCACAATGGTAGGTTATATTACCAAAATCATTAGTGTTATGATACAGACATAGATGTGAACAACCTCCATTAAGCCTACCACAACTGTTCCATCCTAAAACAATTAAGATACATGCACATCAATATATAAGTTGACTGGTTTTTTTTTTCGATTCTAGTCTTCAAATCATTTTGCAATGCCTGCAATTCCATTTGACATGCCAATCAGATTCAGAAAACTCATATCAAAAACTTCTATCAACTGATCTGATTTCAGATGCAACATCAACCTGAGTTCAGATGCAACATCCACCTGAGTTCAGATGCAACATCCACCTGAGTTCAGATGCAACATTAACCTGACTTCAGATGCAACATCGACCTGAGTTCAGATGCAACATCAACCTGAGTTCAGATGCAACATCAACCTGAGTTCAGATGTAACATCGACCTCAGTTCAGATGCAACATCGACCTCAGTTCAGATGCAACATCAACCAGAGTCCAGATGCATCATCAACCTTAGTTCAGATACAACATCCACCTGAGTCCAGATGCAACATCAATCTGAGTCCAGCTGCAACGACGACTTGAGCCCTGCTGCAAGATCGACCCAAATCCAGCTTAAGTTATAAGTTTTTTCTACAAAAATAATTGATTTGTGTGTATTAAATATATCAAATAAACCATATTAAATATGTGATCCCTCAGAGTGTGGTACTGAGTTGACAAAACCAGGTGCAGAGTGGCATTAAATCTCTGGAATAACTTACCTGATTGTCTTGAAGTATGGAATACTGTAATATCGTACACCATGACTTTATCTTGATGTATGACTGTATGGTTTTTACCCGTTGTTTTATTGGCACATTCAATAGATTTAGATTTAGTATCAGTCCAGTAAATAATATCTTCATATTGTGTCAATCCCATTGGTTCCTGTACATTTCTCTTAACAATGACTTTTCTATCTCCACCTGTAAATAAACATTATCAGATCAACAGTGAGAAAATAGCTTAAAAAGTGCTTAAAACTGTCCTTTCTCGAAAATGTGTGAAGGTAAACTTCATCTGATAGTATCATTCAATAACTTAATCAACTCTGCTGCATTTGCATTGGGGGCAAAATAGCTGACAGAGACTGATAGTATTTGTTCTAATTTATCAAATATATTTCGAGAGAGAGCACTGTGTGCCCCCTAATTACGGGCCTGAAAATACCCAGCACTAAATGTAACACATGCATGAAATCTGATTCTTACCTAACATATCAGAAGATTCAATAGATTTAGAGTCCACATTGGTCCAATACATTCTTTTATCAATATAATCTATACACAGATCTTGTACACGCCCTAAATCATTTATTATTATCTTACGTAAACTACCATCTAAATTAGCTCTCTCTAAATGTGGTGGACGTTTTTCATCACCCCATACAGTCCAATACATATAGCTGAAATAGAAATGAAATGAAGTTTTAAGTCTTATTTTTCAGCACCTTTTAGGGCTTATGAATGGTTAAATACCATGTAGTGTACAATGAGGAAAATTTTGCCAGAACACCAACAAAAGTCTACTGTTTTTCAATTTCCATCCTTTGGGGAATCTTTAAAGTGTCCCATCCGAATAACTAAACCCTTTTTCAATGTCAACCCCTCTGATGGATAGGGGGACCTGCGTTGAATAATTTAACTTATGTCTGGATTGAACCCTGGACTTCAAGTTATTACTAAGGTAGAAAGTAGAAAGTAAACAGGTGTTACAGTATATACATTTTTTCGTTCACGATAAAACCGTGTAGTTTAACGCATTTCCTGATAGTTGAAACATTTCATGCCATAATTAGAGTTATGTCCCTTCCTTCCATTCTTTAACCCTTTCAACCTTAGCGGCCAGTTCACGGGCCACACAATAACGCAATATACCCGAGCAGCCATTACTAAGTGACGTCATACCATGTTAACGTCATACGCTTTTACTTTTATTACTTGAAGTTCAGGGTATGTGACATTATATTCATTCACACTCAGGGTTCAAGGGTTAACTCACGCTATGAAATTTCGAAAGACAATGAAACAAGCTGTTGTGTTGAGAAATAGAAAATATAACAGCTTACCCATTAGGAGGATCTAGTGCTATAGCTCTAGGATCAATCAAATCTTTCCAAACTATAACTTTCCTTGATGACCCATCTAATCTGGCCACCTCTATACGTTGTGTACCCATATCAGCCCAATATATATTATGTGCTACCCAATCTACAGCCATACCCTCGGGGAAATCTACCCCAAAATCTATAATATGTTGAACTGAACTTCCATTCATATAGGCTCTACTGATGCTCTGAAAATATAAGAAAATATAAGATGAAGAAGGCAATGAGATGCAGTGTGCAATGATGGAAATTTAACTAGAATAATGTTTTTCCATGACACTGCCGATGTGTAACCAATTACCGTATATTTCCGAATATAATGCGCACCTGTGTATAATGTGCACCCCATCCTTTTCCCATTAAAATCGGGAAAAGTCCATTTATAAAGCGCACCCCTTGTTTACGAAAAATTTGAAGTCAGACTTGGCACATCACAGACACCATTATCATCCCGTATATTTGACACGACATCATCTATAATATAAACGCATTTGTTTGTACAATTGTACCAAACTGACTGAGAGATACAAATACACCGAACGATTCAAAAATGGCATAAATTTCAAATCAAAAAGAGACATAGAAAAGGGCTCCTGAGCCACGGAGGCCCTTCCATAGATAGAGAATCCACAATCAAACTGCTTCCTCCATTGCTGAAACTCAATGTTGATGTCAAAACGACCACATACCTTCAATTGTACATCAGTCCAGTAGATTCTATTATCATTAATGTCGAAATCTATAGACATAGCATCGCGCACTCCCTGAATAGGTATTGGTTGAATATTGTGGTTTACTTCTAATGAAATTCTCTTGATGTCATCTTTAATGGTGAAGAGCAGGAAAGCGTCTGGTACAATACAAGTTCTACCATTACTGATGAGCTCTAAACCCATAGGACAGGCACAAGTTGGTGTTTTTAAGTTAGGTCTATGTAAACATAAGTGACTACATCCACCATTTTTTATTGCACAAGGATTAGTACCTGAAAATAGACGGAAGTGTGCAATTAGGGATGATAACTGGCAACAAAATATTAAGCAAGCAGATTTTTATCCACTACAATTGCTTGCTCGAATCCAAAGCAGGGACATTCTCTCCAAAAACTATGTGTAAAAAAAATCTTAAGAAATTTAATAGTCTGATTGGCCAATTTAACTCAATCTAAAATGGATTAAAGGGATTAACCAATCAGATTCATTAAAACTAAAGTTATGTCATGGCCTTAGCGCTGAAGGCTTGTTTCTAGAACTTTCAAATCAATAACAGAGAAACACATACCGTAAATCACAAGATTGGCCAGTGCTTCTATAAATTCCAGAACACAAATAACACAGAATATTTTTAATCGCACTGGTTATTCGCGGCATCATATTGTCTTTGTTTTCCATCTTTTCCTTTATCAGCCAATGGGAAGGCTTTATTCGTGTTGTGCATTGTCAAATGATTGTTTCTGTATCTCTACGCTACTTTTTTTTCCCATATGTGACACCATATTGCTTGTCAAAAATGACACTAAGTGATATTTTTAGGGTTATGTAATGGCTAACCTATACTTGATGTCCGATAGAGGATATTGACCGTCAGTCAGCCCCGTCGGTCATGTCCGCCATATAGAACCAAATCATCAGCCCTGTTCAGTACGGATGGTCACATGTTGTGGTGCAAATAGCGAAAATTTGGGTACATTCATCCATTAGCTTGTAGCATTACTATATATAAAATAATAGAAAAAAATCTGCAATACATACCTGAGATTTTCTTGACGTTGACAGCTTTTAAACCCATTAAATCTGGTAGTTGATCTATAATAACTTCTCTATCTTTACCTGTATGTTTATTAACACGTTCAATAGATCTACGCTGCCAATCAGTCCAATATACAAAATCACCTACGAATAAATTAACATATCATTAATGACATTTCAATAAGAAGTGGGATTGGAATTAAAGGCTTCGACTGTCATAAGAACATCTAGTATCAAAGCTTTACATGAATTGTGCAAATTAAGCTACTTGTGTATTGATTTGGCTGTGTTTTTTTTTTTATCAGAGCTGTTTGGCTGCTTTTCTTAGTCCAAGAATGAAATGAAATATGAAATGAAATAGAGTTTTAGATCCTACTTTTCTGCATCTGATGGGGAAATGAAGACGTCAGCCTCTTCTACTTGCATCACTGACAATTGAAACTTGTTACCTTGATCCGTGCCTGGATTGAACTCTGGACCTTCAGATTAGTGAGCAATCAATTTAACTTACTGAGCCACTGTGGCTCACGAGCCCAAAATGGAGAGCAAAAATTAGGATGAAAAACTCCATTTCTTTTACACCACATTAGTTTTAATTGAGCTCTGTGTCTCCATCTTCACCTTACCTAGCAACGAAAATCCAAAAATATGGGGAATGTTTTCTTTCACAACAGTGCTTCTGTTGTTTCCATCTAAATCTGATGATTCAATGGTGTCTGTTTTAGCATCACCCCAATATATTTTTCTTTCTTCATAATCTAGAGTCAAACCATTTGGCCAGCCAAGATTTGTGTCCACTATAGTTTTACGTTCACTACCATCTAAAGCTGCTCTCTCTATTTTAGCATGTTTACCCCAATCTGTCCAATAAATATAGCTGAAATAGAGAAATAGAACTAGATTCATGTTGTCACTCAAGGTTTCACACTCCGTGATCTTCAGACAACTGACCTATTTTCAGCCTGCTTCCCTACTGAAGTAGGACAAGTAGAACTTGTTCTAAATTACAGGACAAGAATTTTCTGAATATGTCACATTAGGACAGGCTGCTGGGGAAGTCATTTTTCCAGGAATGTGCATAATATATATCTTTGTTAAACCAAATCTGATTAAAATGCTGATCTTGATGTTCTAGGTCAATAAAGTATTCAACCAATCAAATGGCCAGTTCATAAACACAATTACTGTCTGCATGTGAAGAAAAATCTATCTGGAGATATTCATTGTTAAAGAAATTGCCCACTTCAAACAGAATTTTTGATAAATTATGACAACTTTTGCCAATGAGGGATCAAAACTTAAAGTAGAATTTTGTTAAATCATGGTGTGTGACTGAAGTTTCCCACAGAAAAAACATGAAATGAACTAGATTTCAATTTTCATCAGAATTTCTGCCAATACAAGCATTTTTATTTTCATAGAAGAACAATATAAATTCAATATTTAAATTACATTCTAGAAGCATACGTGAACATGTCAGTTACCAACCAACCAGATCTTTCAGTCACTTTCATATATAGTAAGTACTTACCCAGAAACAGGATCTAACGTTAAAGCTCTAGGTTCATCTAAATTATCAGATATCAAAACTTTTCTTGAGGTACCATTAAGTCTAGCTACTTCTATTCTATCAGTACCAGTATCTGTCCAGTATAAATTTCTACCAATCCAATCTACTGCTATACCATCAGGATGATAAACTTCCGTACTGACTATTACTTCTTGATCTGAAAAATCAAATTCATTTATACGTCTTACATTTCTGTCCTCGGTAGGGTTAGTAAAGATGAACAACACTATGCAGTGTGCTATGAGGGAAATTTTTGTTATATATCTTGTGTTATATTTAGTTTGAGCTGGTTTAAGGCTTCAAAAAAGTTCAATGAAATATTATGTTTAGCTACTGGAGCCTTTTGAATCTTCCCTTTCCCAATAGAAGCCATGTTAAGATTGTTCAAAGCCTATGGAATACATGGAATATGGTGATGATCAATAAATGTGCATAAATTCTGTCTACAGCTTACCCTGGTGTACATTCTCATGGCATCCTGGCATCCTAGCAGAGGTCTTTGACACCCCAAATGAGAGTTTGACACAAAAGGATTCATGAAAAGTAATAGAACTCAAATATAAAACTTACTAGATCCATTCAATAAAGATCTTCTTATGGCTTGAACCTCATCATCAGTCCAATAGACATAGCCTTCTATAGGATCATAATCTATAGCTATAGCATGGCGAATATCTGTTAACGGCAATACCACATCCGTGTAGTCTGGTGTATCCAGTGATATACGTCTTAAATCTGTTCTTCTAGCCAGGAATAATATGTTTTCAGCACCTGAAAGAACAGAAAAAGCAAAGGTTGACCAAGTTTGATTTTTCTCATAATCAAAACATTAATTGTGTGCAGACGCCTTTAATCTAAGTCTGAACATACTCCTTTTTCCTGTTACATAATAGTTCACTCTACTTTTCATACGTCCTTGCCAATCTGACATACATGTATGAAGGCTTCTTGCTTGAGTATTTTAGCTCATAAAATAAAGTATTTGCTCAAAAAAATGCATAGAAATCGGTACATTCGTGACAAATTCTAAAATCACTCAAAAAATTCACTTGTGTGTCCGCTCCTGTTGACAAATAAATTTTACGTCAGTACAAAACCGCTGGCATCACAAATTGTCAAGCGAACGATATTTCTTAAACTTGAATCTGATATCATGTGATGTTCATAATGGCTGCTTCTGCCAAATAAAGTTTTCTGTGGATTATATCTACAAGGAGCCTTTCCCAAGAAAAGATGATGGGTACTTACCATCAGCACATGTTCTCTTGTCACCTTGAAGTAATACACCAGTAGGACAGGCACAGGTATAATATGGTTTAATAGGTGCCATTAGACATAGATGTGAACAACCACCATTCCTTATACCACAAGGATTTTTACCTAAGATAGAAATATCGTTAATTCAATAATTTTTCGCACATTACTGCTCTAACATGAACATTCAATGGCGCTTTACGAACACAGATATTTCTACATAGTCAATGTCCATACACGTACACACCCTCAGTTGTTTTAGATAAAGAATCTTTCAAATAGATGTGTTTTTAACTGTCTCTTAAAAATGAGTTTCCTTATATTTTAGTGTCAAATTCAGCAAACTATTTGATTAATTGGTGTTTCTAATGATATTATGTATTCTCAATCATATCATCATGTTTTTATTGCATATAGTTATAACCAATCATAAATGTCCATCTATGTACAGTCTGGATAAACAAAAAGACTTTTTGACCTTTCATTCACTCAATGGAATTCTGCTGGCATTTCTCTTCTAATTTAGCTAATTATGAATTAATTATGAACATGTGAGACAAACTGGTATTTTTCCAAGTCATTAGAACACCTCAACTTTCTATTCATATAAGTATTAACATTTTCATTTTCATAAATGAAAATAAGGGAACCCATCTTTAAAAGAATCAACAAGTTGTTCAGGTAACCTCTATAACCTTAGTCCTGCTACACAGTCATTAAATTGATGCAAATTGTCATGTGACAGTGGTTTGCTTTCAAAATGTAATAAATTTTGATTCTGACAAAAATAATGGATTCTACATGATACAACAATACACAGAAAAATTAGATGAATTATCATACCTCCAATTCTACTCAAATCTATTTTGGCAGCATTAAAAATAAATGATAAAAAATACAGAAATATAAACAGCTTGGACTGCAACAGTTTCATTTGGCAAATGGAAATAGGTTTTTTTCGCTTGACATAACAGAAAAAAGCTTATCGCAAAGCTTATCGCAAGTATTGACCTTTGGAACCTACCAATGTCTTTGATTTTTTTTTTGCCAATCTAAACTGGATCGCAACTGGATTAATTTTGACTTGCAAAATGTGATGCAATACGCTTAAATTGAACCCTGCCCTTGTCATTTACAAAATATATAAGTTGGTACAAACCTCTGGGCTGGCGTTGAGGAGAGTAGACATGAATATCCATTGGTGAAAATATATTATCATGAACAACTGACTTCTGTAAACCAGTACGCTTATCACAGACATGTATAGAATGGGTCTTCCAGTCCGTCCAAAACAAGGAATCGCCATCCAGAGTTAAAGCAAAAGGATGAGGTAAAGAATCATCCAGAACAACACGTCTGTCTGAACCATCAAAATTACAACTATGTATATAACTTAATTTGCCGTCTGCCCAAAAAATTTTGGAGTCTGTGTAATCTAGTGTTAATCCGTTTGGCCAATAGATGTTATCATCCACAATCACTTGTCTTGTAAGAGGGTTTCCATCCATGCCTGCTCGTTCAATCTTTGGAGTTTCACCCCAGTCTGACCAATACATGTATCTGAAATTCAAATCCGTGTCATTTTCTAAATTCAAAATACACATAAACAGTGGCGATGCCAGTGGGGGAGGTGTTTAGAAAAATGGTTGGCCCCCTTAATTGTAATTTTCAATTTTCAACAAATCTAACTTTTTTTTTTCCAAAATATGTGTCAGAATGCAAAAAATCTAGGACTGCAATGATTCACCTTTAAATCGATGAACCACGATTCGTTTCTTCTTATCGATGCATTACACGATTCTCATAAATATAATTAACTCCCTTTAATGACTAATAGCACGAAATCCTCGCGTATGTTAGAAATTGTGTCATGTACAAATGTTAAAAAATTGCTTTTCACGTATCAATTTGTCTTCAGCATTTTTAATTTTCGTTATAAACGAACATATTAATATGCCAAGTGGAAGATAAACGTATGGGATCTGATATAAACTTTTTTTTTCTCAATAAATCGAACTGTTGAATCGGAGCGCCACTTTAGGAATCGTTGCAGCCCTAACAAAATCATTTCATTTTTTTAACATTTTCTTGAGAGAACACTCTAAGACGCTCTATAAGAGGCTTGTGACTATGACACCACCACAGAATAGATAAAATTTGAATTCAGTCTCAGGAAGCTGGCGCCGCCACTACACATAAATTTTTGAGAATGAATATTCATCCTACTTCTAAACAACCGATGTGTGAAATTGTCAAGTTTCAATGTCTGTTTGCACTCCACTGGAGCAACAAATAACTTATTATTTTTCATTGTAGTGGTTAGACTTAGTCAAACACTTGATAATACTTTGTGATTGAGTTTGTCAAATCTGCATCAATTAGCTTTTATTACAATTTAAATTATGTCTTTTAGTGAACCTTTAGGTAAGGTTATATCATTAAAGGAATACCATATGTTAGAATGAACATAAAATTTAAGAATTTTAAACTTGGCCAATACGAGTATAAGTATATATTCATTATTAGATATACCTGGTGTCATAAATAACATAACAGAATCCTTATATAATCTGATAAATCCAAAAAACTTAGTAATTATCCATAAATATGTATATCTTAATATTAAGATTAAGCGTTTTTCAATAATTACTTAGTTTGATAAATTTTCCAATTTTGTAGATTTAACAGGGATTCTGTTGTAACTTTATGACACCAGGTAAGTTCACTGATGAATATATACTCATATTGACCATTTCGAGATCTTAAATTTTATGTTCATTTTAAGACGTAGTATCACTTTAAAGAACTTGAAAATGTAAGAATTGAATATCAATGCATGTTACATTCAGTTTCATATCTATCAAAAAATCATTGAAAATATAACTTAAGATCAATTACATTATGTAACATGTTTTAATAACATTATTGATTCTACAGTGTTATAAATTTATTTACTGTCTGATCAAGAAATATGTGTCCCTTTTCATTCACTGATTTATGCAATTGCCATTTAACGAACCTTTAGGTAATGGTAATAGAAGATTCAGAATTCAAAAGCAATGCATATGAAAATTCGCTCATATGCTATAAAAAATTAATTTAAATTTGTATTTCATTTATTGATTTTCCAAATTATTTAACAAGCCTTTAGGTAAGGGTAAGATCATTTTTAGATTCTAGAATTTATGCAGTTTCAAACACCAAAAAAAAAATCATTGAAAATATGTAGCCAAAGATCAATAATATTATGTAATAGTGCTAGGCATCAGCAATCTTGCAATGATATGATGCGTATCGTGATATAAGGGTCACGATACATTGCGTATCACAATATGGGATACCGCAATGGAAAAAAAATATATTTATATATTAATAAAAATCCCCAGGTTTTTAATGGAATGAAATACATCGCTAAGTATCGATTCACAATCTCGCAATATAATACCTGTACGTGATATACATCGATGAGATATATCTTGCCAGCACTATTAAGTAACAAACTGTAATAACAATATTGATCTAATGATAACTGTGTCCTACTGTCACTACCCCAAAAAAATATGTCATTCATCCAAATTCTTCTCATTTTTGTTGTATGATTCAATCAATATCAATCAAATACGAAAATCATTGATTTTTTGATTGTGTATCATTTTGAAAACCGTCTTTCAAAACTGTTTCAGTCATAATTGTATCATTGAAATTTTGCCTCAAGCTGTTAGCATAAGCTTGATAATGATATTGGTTAGTCATAATTGAATAATTGGTCAAAATATAAAGAAAATTTCAAAATATGATGGCTCTATTAGATTTCAACTGATTCAATATGATAGAAAACTACTGTTAGAAAATATAATTGTAAAAAATCAATTAGGCTCGGAAAGATAGTTTTCTATGTACTTTTATGTATTTTAAGTATTTCCACAAAATTTGGAAGAACAGTGCTGTTACTGAGAAAAACCTTAAAATGGTTGATGTACATTTAAAGGAGAACTGTTGAATTATTGTTTGGAATATCTTCAGACTAAGTGAAACAAGGGTTAAACTATCGGTATTTAAAATGCCTTAACTTGTATTATGCTCAAAGTCACAAAACTATTGTAGGCTATTTGTATCACAATACAATCATCAAGTATCACAAACATTAACAGCAAAAACTTGATAAGTCAACGGCGGTAAAGACCAAGTTACATATAACGCAAAGTCCAAGATTGGTCCCGGCCATATACTTCTTTAATTCCTTTTAAAAAATATGTTTATCTCTAAATCGGATACGTCAAATAGCTGGCTTAAAGGGATACTACGTCTTAGGATGAACATAAAATTTCAATTTTGCTCAATTTTGGCCAATATCGGTATTTAATCCTTCAGTGGATTTACCTGGTGTCCTAACTATACATCAAAATTCCTCTATAATCCGATATATCCACAAAATCAAGTAATTAATTATAAAACGCTAAATACATCCATTAAGCTATTTTCAAATTGCGAGTCTGGGAAATCCGGTGTAATAACAAGGGGAAGTAACTCTCAAGTGGTGTTTCCGCGTACTTGACCTCTACTCTTGGCAAAATTTGTTTGTATACACTGGAAAATGATTGTTTCCTGTTTACCCAGATTGTTATTTTCTCAAACTGAATGGATTCATCGTTTGCTCACTTTTTTTTTAAAATTCTGATTATAGTATTATTATCGCTTTTTCAAACTTGATAAAGTGTGGGATACTTATTTAACCAATGGTCACTATTAAACATAAATACTAGCGATAAAACCAGTGTATTCTAAGACGTAGTATCCCTTTAAGACGAACTGATCTCAAGGGCTGGGTATAATGATTGAAATAATCGATTATCGTTGCTATGAATTTATAATTTCAATTATCGTTTATATGCTTAAGTTACATTTTCTCCACTGTACCCGTTAACAAGTAGTAATCTCTTCCATATAGCACATTCACTTATGCACATAACATACCCACAATAAACTATAATAACTGATCAAAGCAAGAATATACTTATATTCTATTACTGATTTGTAGGATGCCATTGCTAATCGATACCCAGCCCTAGTCCCATCAAACAATTATTACTTAAATTAATTATCACTTAATGCAATATCTCTCAAGAAAATCATCGGATCCTCGCCAAATTCAATAGTGCGCATCTTCATAATGATATTGACACACATTCAAAAGATCAAAAGAATCTATAGAGAAATGTAGCCTGTAGAGTGAGCACGAGGTAAATGTGAACGGACGGACCGACGGACCGACCGGCGGGGGCAACCACAATATATGCTCATACTTACGTGTGGGCATATAAAAATGGTCTAATGTCACACAAATCTTCAGTTGCATAAATAAAATCTAAAATATCTTACCCATTGATAGGATCTAAAGCTATGGCTCTTGGTTGATCTAGGCCTTGCCAGAAGAGAACAGTACGATAAGATCCATCTAGATTACTGACTTCTATTCTATTGGTCTCTGAATCAGTCCAATACAGCTTTAACCCTAACCAATCACAAGCTAAACCATCTGGAGATACCAAACCAGTGGTGATTACTCCAATACTGTTCTGTGTATCATTAAGATAGGTCCGTTTGATGACCTCTTCTGAGACGTCCGTCCAAAATATGGAATTGGCGCTATAGAGGAAATCAACAGCTGATGCATCTTCTTGATTGGTGACCACTATAGTTGAGTTGCCTTTTGGATCTAATGCATTGATGAGTCGGACATCTTTTCTATTAGCAAAGAGTAGGAATGTAGAGCTGACAATATCTGCAATAAAAAAAAAAAGATTCTAATAAATAAAGCTAATTTTATAATTTTGTTACTTTGGTAGTGAACTCGGAAGTAAAAAAAATGGATTTAATACTAATGGCTACAGCTAAATAAATGAGACTTGTACAACCTCTTCCTTAGTAACCACACAGGGTCTAGGTTTATTGCCCTATCCAATCAACTAAACACTTTTTCCATGCAAGTCCTTTAAACCTGCAGGGTTAAATCATGTCACAAATATGCAGCCCCGTCCTAAGGGTGGGGTCCATGGGGGACCCCAGCAAGTGAGAATTAAGCCCCAGCAAAATCTTCCTTCATTTACTGTGTCTTTGTACAAAATTAAAAAGATATAGATTTTGACACCTTTTTGGCACCTCAAAATTGACAGAAATGAGTTATCTTTAATTCTTTGAATTTTCTGAATACAAAATTCATTCCTGGAAACGGGGCTAGTACTATGACTCTGGGCACTAGCTGTCCTATCAAACACATTTCCTTAACTTCATAAGACTCCAATAACGGCTTTTTGTCCTTAACAAATGAAACAGTTTTGGCAATGAATTGGTTTGGGATTCTTTAACAAAAATAGCTTCTTTAAGATCAATTTGAATAATTAATAAAGCCTTATCGAACATATTTTTCAAACTTCTATAAAAATTATGTGCTAAAATCTTTCTTATATACCATACTCTTCATAATTATATATAATTCATGGTGAAATGTAATTGGTGCAATCATATTTGATTTTTCAATTCATTACATAAATAGAGTATATCTCTGCGGTAAACTTGGCACAAAAGCTTTCTACATTCAATGAAGTTGAGATAGCTTATCTTTTTCCTTGTACCTATTAAGCACGGTAGATAACATGCATTATGGCATAATAAAGAGAGGTTATGTTGGTACATGATGTATATTACAATTGTTCCTTTAGTGAATAGTTGCAATTATCATAGCATACATCTGCAGGTGTTCAATTTGCAATATCAACACCATACAAATATACATAAACACTTTTAATGTCTTACTATAGATTTTGGATATCTTAATGTCCTATTATAAAACTTGGATATCTGAATTTTGTAATGAATACATCAAATAAACAATATTAGCTATGTGTAAACAATAAAAGTATGTGAACTTTTCAAACAGTATGTCTAGATGACATACTCAGTTGATGAGAGGCTTCGGGTGCATAAATCACACTTTCAACTTTTACAGAATGCTTGGATATCTGAAATTTTGTTAAAAACTACACCAAATACACAGTTTTAGCTATGTATACACTAGTTGTCACTAGTTGTGTTCACACTAGCGTTTTAAAGCAGGTTGAATGCGCTGAAAAGCCTTAGGGTGTTAACATGTCACACTGAAAACACTTTAAACCGCTTTAACGAAACCGCTTTTCAAACCGATTTCAACCCGCTTTAACTGATGAGGGTTATCCATCGCCTTTCCTGACAGCGGGTATGACCGGCTTATCACTCTATAAATACAACACATTTAAATCATGCGCAGTAGCTATTAACACACATGGGGAAAACCTGCTATTGATTCCCATGTATATTTTTCATGTTACTGCTTGTAATGACTGCAGATAATCGAGAATTGGTATGGTAGGGGCCAGAGTGTCTTCTCTTGCTACAAATATATCTGTTGGATATGTCAATGCCCATTCTGCAGCATTCTTCAAAAGAACACCACCATAAAAAAAAAAACAGTAGTAAGCTGAATTCTATCATTGTTTTCGTTTAGTATTCTTGATCATATGTTTATTCAAGGGTGCATCCACCTTGGAATGAACAACCTTCACACTTTGTGAGAAGTTTAAATTGAATGCACTATAACAAAAGAAAATTCCAGGGATTGGTATAATATTTCTTTCAGTGTGAACACAGTATATGTTGCACCTAATGAAGCTAGATAAGGTTTTTAAAGGTAAACCACCTCTTAGGATGATGATATTATTGAAATTTGGTTAAAATGAGTCTTTGTTCATCAGTGGACTTATCTGGTGTCATAACAATACATCAGAATCACTCTATAATCCAATATATCTATATAACTAAATAATAATTCATTAAACTAAGTAATTTTTAATCATGCTTAGCAGCATGTTTCAATGATTATTTACTTTAATGGATAAATAGAGATTTTATTCTTTAGTCATGGTACCTAGTAAGTCCATCTGAAGAATATATACATTTGTTTGAAACTTAGTTTGTGAGGTAGTGTTCCTTTAAAACAGTATATGTACATTCATAAACCAATGCCAAGATAAAAGATAAATGAATAAATAAGGAATGTTAATGTTTAGTTTATATTGAATCATTACTAGAAATAAAGTGTCATACCAAATTCCATGCAATTTCAGCATAACTGACATAGATATTTAATCATTCAAGTTACCTTTCCCTCTAATTTTTGCAACTTCAGACATTTAAAGGGACAAGTTTGCCATTCGTTTGAGGAATCAAACCTTAGTCTCAGTAATGGGAATTTTTTAGCTAAGATATTCGGTAATAACGTTCACAGATTACCGTCAAAATTTGAGCCTTCAAATGCATGTGTGTCCAGAATTATCCGCGTTTGAAAGTTAAAAAGATGACTTGTCTTTTTAAGAGACTACACAATATATAGAATTAGAAAGGGAATTTCCTAGTTTGAGGTATTTTGAAGGAATTATGCGATTTTTTACATTTCTAGTACTTCTGACTATTTACATATATTTAAGACCCAAATAAACCATTGAAATGGTAGGTCTATCCCTTTAAATAGATATATTGGTCTTATGTTCCTGAAATTTGGGAAACAAACTGATCCCTGTGCATAAACAAACCACGCCCACGAAGAACAATTCTATAAGAAAGCTGGAACTGCCAAGGCAGCTGTCATCATATACGATCTTCCATAAATGCTTCAAAAAACATGGCAGATGCAAAGTCGAAGTTTTTAATCAAAATTATTGAGAATGAAATCGATATTGAGCAGCTATCAGATCTTTATAGTGTGTATTGAACATTACCAGAGAAAGAACTATCTGATATGCATTGATTCAGCCTATACCTGATTTGCCTCAGGCAGTTTCTATCAATTATACATGTTATATTCAGTTATATCATACATTGCTATCTTTTAATGCACCATAGCCTGCATCCCATGTCATATACAATAATGAATGCATCATCCTCAATTAATCAGAAATGAAATTGGAAAAATGAAATGGAGTTTTACATTCGACTTTACTGCACTATGTGGGTTAATGAAGACAGGCAATGTCATGCTGTGTCGAATGAGGGAAATTTTGTTAGGATAGGAGCATTTGCAATCTTCCGCAGCTCTGAGTGTAGACGAGCATGCCTCCTATGGAGCATCTTCTGAAATATCAAATTGATTTGGTACCTTCAATGACAAAGGGAAACCAGATTCTGGGCTGGGCTGTGAGAATTAGCCCCACCAAAACCTTCTTCTGTTCAGCAAAGACTGATTCATTTGGTCTGCCACTATTGAGATCATAATAATCCTAATAAAACATGCATCAGATGGCAAATATACCCCACTAAGACAAAATACCCTGTGGGTATATTTTTATGATAGATCAAAATGTGCATCAATTATAATTTATAGCCTGTTATAAAGAGTTATTACTATACAATATGATTTGTAAATCTCTATTTATGACCTGTCTTGAATTATAAATAATCATTGTCTATTCCAATAACCTTCAAGGGATTGTAAAGAGGTTTTAGAAATTTTTCATGTGTTTTATTTTTTATCAGGAACACTGATAGCTTCAATTTGCACCATTCCAATTTTCATTCTGCGTCTGTGGTTCTTGCAATTCCAACTAAAACCAACACATTTTATGACGTCACAAGAAGCTACTATTAATATATATATCTATGCAGTTCTCTAGTGACGTCATAAAACACTTAGTTTTACTGGAATTGCAAGAACCAGACGTCGGAATGAAAATTGGAATGGTGCAAATTGATGCTATCAGTGTTTCCGATATACATAAAAAGTTTAGAAAACCTCTTTACAATCCCTTTAATAAAGTTTTATAGCACATCAATTTAACCAGCAATTTGTCGGAAGGACTTCAACCTACTCCATTTCAATTGGAGAGAAGTAAAAATGTGATAAAAGAAAAAAATAAAAGAAAAAGCACTTCTTTTTTACAAGGATAAATACTTAAAGCATTCAGATAAGCGGCAATACTCCATCACTTTAGAACAATCTGGCCGTCTTACACGTCAACAGGAATGCTGTCCTGAATGGACGCAGATTCACGCAAATCAACCCTTAATCTTCAAAATTTTGAGGGGTGGGAGAGCTCTCCCCCAGAGTTTTCATGTGCTTTCTATGGCCATGTTATTGCTGCAATTCTAACACACTAGGGAGGTGATGCATCTTCATTAGCTTAATTAGGTAGAGAAACCTTGAGAAATATATTTATAGTTAATTTCATTAATGAACTAACCATGTTTCTACATGCATGTCAGGGGATTTTAAATATTGTTCATTATATAATGATGTATCTAAATGCCATAATGCCCTCAAAAGATAATGAACCTCTTCTTATACCTCAATATACCATAGAGGTAGTAACATAAAGTAAACATTGTGTAACTTTATTATCCTATTAATTTCACAGTGATTTTGATCTGATAATCAAAACCACATGACAGGCAGGTTATATTGGTGCGTTCACACCTTTAAAGTCTTAATTAGGGTGCAATATTCGTAAGTACCGTTAAAAAGGTGAGACCATATATCACGTGATATAACTGTACATGATTTTGGAGTGGGTATTGTTCTAACGGTGAACCGTGTCAAATTAAAATCACATCTCCGCATGTTTGTATATAGCTCGGTACCAGCCTAGACACACTACAACCTATTGAATTTATTTATTTACAAATATTGTGACTATTAAACTAACGTTTGAGATATAATCCAGACGATAAAACGGCTGCTTCAGGACCTCTTGTTTGAATTAGTGTTTTCCCCTCCAGCAATTTTGACACGGACAAAATGAACCAAAATGGCTGACTATTTTTTTTGTCATGCCATAAAAAATACAATCAGTTTCCAAATGGCCATTTATAAAACTTGAGAGGTTAATACTCAACATGGAACTAAGGTGAAAAGTAATTCCATTTGGCAGACGATTAAGAAACATTCCCCAGAGTGCTGCCATTAATTACATGCCTTATCTAAACATACCAGTACTGGAGGTCATGAATAATAGAAAACAAGAGGGGTGCAGATAATCCCCTCACTTTAGTAGCGACTTACCGTTACAGACGGCTAATATTCCGAATAGAACTAAAATCCTTGTAGAATAATCCATTCTACAAGTTCATTATATCCCACTTAAAACATGGAGAAATCCCGTATTGCACTCTTTCTCCATAACTACTCATTATATACTTATATCTTGGTTATTTCAAGCATAACATATCATAGGCTACAATAACGGTACAAGCCGATAATTCAGACGTATCACTCCGCTGACACGGCGTTTGGCAGGTGTAGATGTTTGGCATTAAATTTACGCCATAAACATCCGAAGGGCGCAAAACAGGTAGAATTTGACGTGGCATTCAATCCGATCGTCTGATATACCCTGAATTTCAACTATGTCACAAATATAATAGTTAAATATTAGGAACTATTTGATGTCATTGCCTTTCGGAAGTGAGTCGGTTCTGACAAAATTGGGCCACCTGTTTAAAGTAAATGTTATGGGGTCAAATTTGTATTTAGTATTTGTTTGACATAAATTTAATTGACATGTTCCCCTATATATGAAAACTTTATAATATTTAGACATCCTGTCGAACGTTTTACTAGGAGATTCGAAGACTTGTACATAATCCATCATTTTTACATGGATACTCCTGACATAAGCCTATCCTCTGCATTCAATGATAGATTAGAATTTTGTCTCTGACTGATAAGAAAGTGGACAAACAAGAAGCCAGATTGTTTATGGGCAATTTCCAGATACTTTTACAGTATAATTGTACAGAGAAGCACATTTATATCATGACTAAAAGGGATTGTAAAGGGGTGTTTCATATGTGTTTGGGACACTGATAGCATCAATTTACACCATTCCAATTTTCAATCAGATGTCCTTGGTTTTACAATTTTACTTAATCTCAGCTTTTAATGACATCACTATCACTACAGCTTCTACTGATATATAAGAACCTTTGCATAGTGACTCATAGAATAGTATACTTAGTTTAAAGGGACAAATGCAGCATTTTCAAGGGTTGATTTTAGTTTAGATTATATGTTAATGGTCTTCAGAAGTACTAGAAATGAAGGAAAAATCACATAATTCCTTTAAAAATACTTCAAACTAGGAATTTTACTCATTATTTCTATATATGTCTTTTCTATATATCACAGAGTATCTTAAATTGACACAATTCTGGACACACATGATAAAAATGGTTCACATGTCCCTTTAAGTGGAATTGGAAATTAAACAGACCTTTGACTGAAAATTGAAAACCTCTTTAAAATCCCTTTAATATTTCAGGCTATATCCCCAGAACTAAAGAGCTTAACTCAATGTTGTCTATACATGTTCCAGATATGATATCCTTATCAGGACAGGTAGTGTTGAAAATGGAGGTTTAATTTTCAATGTAGGTTGTAAAGCATTGTGCAAAAGAGTAGCAAAATGTCAACGAGGACTCTTGATTCATATCTGATGCTGACACCATATGTGTCAGATATAAAATGATCATCAGGACATTTTTATGTATACTCTCTGTATAGACCTACTATATAAATTTATATTACTGTGCATATATTAATGTAGAGTTATTTTAAAGTGATATCCATGTCATTTAGGTATAAGAAAGGAATATAGTTTAAGTCTTTGAAGATGAAGATCATTATCCAAGGATTAATCCCTCTACTGAAATTATGAGATGAAGCGGTGTCTTAAATCCTCAGACAGCCTCCGACCACTCTGACAGCTCATATTGAGACTTGATTGATATAGTCACAAAATTTCATATTGATTATGACAAGATTTATTTATTGTTTCATTTCATCATACATGATAAGAACATTCCATCTTTTTAGTGCAGCCAGAATCATGAACATTTTTTTGTCAATTCATGAATATCAAGTCTCAAAATGAGCTGTCGGACTGTCGGGGTAGCTGGAGGATTAAAGACACTGAAAATGAAGAGTTGCAAAAAATTATGGTCGAAATTGTGAAAATTTGAATATATATTCATTATTTATTGTCTTTTCAAGTCGAAAATGAAAAAAATGATAGGAAGAAAAAAGTTGATTCGGACTGCAATTGACTTTGACACATCAGTAAATTGTTCTAATTGACATTGAATAATAAGATAATAAATAGATTAATTACTTGATCACCTCATTAAGTGGTTATTAATTGTATTCATGTGTTTACTAATTGGTATTAAATACGGTTGGTAGGTTGATAAGCCATTTCTCACAATCAGTTCTTGATATCTGTGGATGTCAGGTTGTCCTGTTATAAGTCGGTCATATTAAATCGGAAGTATCTCCATATAAATTTTATCTTGGCCTGTAGTTTGTAAGCTGACATAGAATGTTGAGTAAATGTACTGAATTTGAGCCAAAAATATCTCTTTTCAGAATGAAAAATTAGATTATGGTTTGTTTGCAATTCATTAAATAAGGATTTCATAATATCACTCTACTATTGATGTATTGAGCACTATTAATATTAACAGTGGTATTTCTATATCACTCTACTATTGATGTATTGAGCACTATTTTAACAGTGGTATTTCTATATAGCTCTACAATTGATGTATTGAGCACTATTTTAACAGTGGTATTTCTATATCTCTCTGCAATTGATGTATTGAGCACTATTTTAACAGTGGTATTTCTATATAGCTCTACAATTGATGTATTGAGCACTATTTTAACAGTGGTATATCTATATCGCTCTACAATTGATGTATTGAGTACTATTTTAACAGTGGTATTTCTATATCACTCTACTATTGATGTATTGAGTACTATTTTAACAGTGGTATTTCTATATCACTCTACAATTGATGTATTGAGCTCTATTTTAACAGTGGTATTTCTATATTGCTCTACAATTGATGTATTGAGTACTATTTTAACAGTGTTATTTCTATAATGGTCTACAATTGATGTATTGAGTACTATTTTAACAGTGGTATTTCTATATTGCTCTACAATTGATGTATTGAGCACTATTTTAACAGTGTTATTTCTATAATGGTCTACAATTGATGTATTGAGTACTATTTTAACAGTGTTATTTCTATAATGGTCTACAATTGATGTATTGAGTACTATTGTAAAGTGAGAATTTTTTTTAATATTAGATAAACTAGAGTAATAAAAATCCAATTTATTTGGCAAGTTTCAAACAATTTGTAAGAATAATTTACAATATACAAATGAATATAAAGTATTTTTATGCTGTTTTATCTTAAAAAAAATAAATGACACATCTCTATTATGTACAAATTAAAACAATTAAATATAAGGCCAGACTGATTTATTTTCTTGTTTTATGGATCTTCATACCTAAAAGGGACTGATACACCATATCTTTTATCAATCATACTTTAGTAATCCATTCCAATTTCCAATCAGACATCTGTGGTTCTTGCAATTCCACTAAAACTGAGTGTTTTATGACGTCATTAAAGGGGAACTGCATAGATATTAATAGTAGCTTCCTGTATCTTCTAGTGACGTCATAAAATGTGCTAGTTTTAGTGGAATTGCAAGAACCACAGACATTGGAATGAAAATTGGAATGGTGCAAATTGAAGCTATCGGTGTCCACGATATACATAAAAAAATTCAGAAAACCTCTTTACAATCCCTTAAAGAAAATATATAAATTTTGCATAAATCAAAAGTGAGAAAGTAGGAAAATCCAGGTCAGTCCAGGCTTTCATTAGTTTTTTAGAAGAGCCCTTCACACAAATTTGGTCTTCTTTTCTCTCCTGCCTTTACACAAAATATTTTAAGAAAAAATCCAAAAAACAAGAAAATAAATTGATCTGACCTTAGCAAAAATGAAAACTAAATTACTGCAAATTTATGTCTAAAATACTACCCAAGTGCTGTCAGTCAACTGAAAAAAGTCTTTGATTTACTTTTTAATCAAAGTAGCCCTTATTCGTAAATTTAATATAAATATGTTCTTAGCAAAAACAAAGCTTTGAAATCAAAATATTACTTACTAATTAAAAATTTCTCAACCAAACAATTTTTTTGTTTGATCTATTTCACAAAATACCATGGAAATTATTCAAAAAAAACTTCTAAAAAATCTACATGTTTTAAATCAATATACAAAATGAAATTTACCATGTGTCATTTAGTCATCATAAGGCTGTGATTACATGTGAACACAAACTCAAACTCAAACAAAGCAAATCAAATCCTACCAAAATCCTTAACAAATCCAAACATCTGCTTACATGTGTCCCCAAACTCAAACTCAACACCTCCATAAGCGCAACGGATGGCTCATTGAGTAATTTACTTTGAAGGACAGCTAGGTGGCGTAGGTGTAAAAATGGGTTAATCTTCTATTTAACGTCATTACTGTGGGGGATTCGCCTCGCCTTTGTGTCCTGACCCAATACCAAGAAGTTTTCCTTTTACATACAGGCACATGTAATCCCCTTTGAGTTTTGAGTTTGAGCTTGCGTTTGAGTTTGAGTTGTGCTTACGGACACATGTAATTGCAGCTTAATGCATAGAAAATGACAAAAAAAAAATTCAATGCTTTTTACAAACTGAAAGGATAAAAAAATCTATATACCATAATTTTAACTTTTCACCTAGGTAATTAAAGTAAATTAAAGTTACATCACACTTTGGGCATGACAAAAAAAGGATAATGTGGGATAAAAACAGTGGCGTGGATTGCCCGAATTTCTAACCTAGTTATGAGATTTTGACCCGAACAACTTGCTTTCAGGGATGCAAGGGGGGGTGGCTGACCCCCCTTTGGCTCCGCCACTGTAACTATCATTGTCTTATGCAGAATTACTAAGTGTTGTTTACTTCTGCTGCCTAGAAAAATAATCTCTGATTGAATTATAAGTCATCCCATTAGAATAAAACAGTGGAATTGCTCAGTTGGTAGAGAGTTGGATGTCTTCTGCTAGGCGATTTGATGCCATGGGTTTGAATCTTCCTCAAGGTAAAAACAAATTCTGAAATCCAGGCCAGTGCTTGCTAGAGTAAATTTTCTACTACCATTTCTATTGGGATAGGCCATCAATAATGTAGATGAAGCAATCAAAGAAATCAGTATAGATATTTGATAAAACCATACATTCAATCTATTTTTTAAATATTGGTCTAAACTTTTGTTTCACCAGCATTTTCAGCTACCAATATCCTTTTTCAATATTTTATATTTAAATTCAAAGTCCAATTTCCTTCGAATTAGTCCATAGAAGTTAAGAGGGTATTATCTACATAAGGTTTTAATGGAACGATTCACTGTGTATTCTTTGTTTTACCTTTGCCATTAGTTTGTCACATGATTACAACCTGAATATAGCTTGAGAAACTTTGGCAGATTATTCTGACCGTTCAACTCCCATGATGTCAAAAATGCCATGGATGGCTGAAACTGGCTGAGTTCTATCTGCTAAAGCAAATGACCATATCTCTTTAACACTGTACGTCTCAGTTTTTTTAGTGCATTGCATAATTCTGCTAGATACCATGTTCTCGGCAGGATTTTTTAATCAGGAATATTTTAAATGATTTTCACACAATGGAATCCAACAATCCTTTCAAAATGTACGACTGAACCTAATGACTAGTTATCCAAGTCTATCACATATCATAATAATCCGATCTATTCCGACATAAACATATAGCAAATATGATTCCTAAAACCTGAAATAAAATGAATTAAAACAATTAACTCTACTATAAACTTATATTCAGACAAAATACAATAAAAGTCTTGTTAGTTAAGAACCACGTAAAATACAACATTCAGCCTATGCTAAAGGCCACTAAAGGTACGGGTAGACTTTTGTCGCCGATTACAGTCTCGTCTTGAGTTCACGGACTAGCACGGGCACACAAGGAGCGCCATAAGATGTATTTCACTAATCAAGTTCGCCTTCTTTAAGTCACGTGCAATGTAGCACAAAGCAAGTAAACCTAGCCATTCTGTCTTCCGACTACTATCCTGTTAACACCTTGAAGTCTTGTCATGGTTTTCTACATAAAGTCTTACTATTAACCTTGAGTTGTTGTTGATCAACGTGGAACGGGTTATGTCCTAACTAACTGGCAGAGACAAAAATCTCCACTTGGACATTTTCCACCTTGTTCACCTGCAGAGTGTGCAATTGAAAGGAAAAGGAATCTGATTGGATGATGACTTTCTGTCTTGCAGACGATAAAACTATCAGAGACAATTATGATGTTATAAATCCTATCCTTGTTGTAGAAGCACAGGCACACAAGAGCTTTTACTCAAGATTTGAGTCCAAAACCAAGATCACTCGTGTGCCCGACCTTAACACTGAAGGACTAGAATTAGTTGAATGTTTTTCATATGAATTCAGATTGTGAAATATTACCTGTATTAATGCTATACCAACACCAACACCTATAAATATAACACTTTTACTAGTTAACCATTCCATAATAGATGGAAAACAACCCTGAAATATAAATGTTACATGTATTAATGCTATACCAACATCTATAAATATAACACTTTTACAAGTTAACCATTCCATAATAGATGGAAAACAACCCTGAAATATAAATGTTACATGTATTAATGCTATACCAACATCTATAAATATAACACTTTTACAAGTTAACCATTCCCTAATAGATGGAAAACAACCCTGAAATATAAATGTTACAAGTATTAACGCTATACCAACATCTATAAATATAACACTTTTACAAGTTAACCATTCCATAATAGATGGAAAACAACCCTGAAATATAAATGTTACATGTATTAATGCTATACCAACATCTATAAATATAACACTTTTACAAGTTAACCATTCCATAATAGATGGAAAACAACCCTGAAATATAAATGTTACAAGTATTAACGCTATACCAACATCTATAAATATAACACTTTTACAAGTTAACCATTCCATAATAAGGTGGAAAACAATACATGTTACCTGTATAAATGCTATATCAACATCTATATAAATAACAATTTCATATTTGATTTATCATGAAAGTTTACCACCTTCTTTTACAAATACAAGTAGTAAATTTGGATTAATCACTTGATCATATTTTTTTGTGTCTTCCGAATCTATGATCTGAAGAAATACGACCTACCTTGTCTCGTAATTCTGTACGTTTATCACTGGGTATTAAACTACCTGGTTCAGCCTCTTCTTGACACAATCCTATATTAACAGGTCTATATTCCTCTGGTTTACCGTTTCCACGACAACATGTCTCTGGTACATATGTCTACATACAAAATAAAATGAGGTTTTTATTTTTTATTTTGGATCTATTTTGTCAATGACCTGCATGCAATTAGGATATTTTTGAAGGGGACAACAAAGTTTGGCACCTAAATATGGATCATTTTCTGAAGAAGATTGCTCAGCGAAAATTCTGAGTAACATCATGTTTTCAGACTCTGCCAAATATATCTAACCCTAACAAAGTCACTTAATATCATTCTTGACAATCAAAACGGCTTTACGCTTTAAAAAAAACCCCAAAACTAGAGCGCCTATTGTGCCTATCTTATTCGTAATGTTGTTAGCAGCCATAAAAAACACGCATCGTGAAGGTACATATAGCCAGTGCATTTTATAAAATGAAAATACCTTTAATGGTGGTGTTTGTTCTTGTATCCAGTAGCTATATCTATAATCAGTAAAATTATCTGAACCACAGCATGATAGCTACAAAAGATACAAAATTAATATTATATTGACAGGAGTTGTCTCCCATTAGTGTGCTTTACTCCAATATCAACCAGAGTAGCACTCAATTGACGAGTTCTGAACTGGTTTCATCTGTTCCAATTCTGAGCGGTCCCATGATGACACAGACAGAGATGAAAAGTTATTTTAATATTCCTAATTAATACATCATATGTGTTCTAATATATGTAACAATAGCCTATCTAAATAATAATCAGTTAGATATTTTCCTTGGCTCATACCTTGTTGAGCACTCTATCTGGAGTGTATCATTGCACTGATTAGACACAGAAGGCGGAAACAAGCTCAATCCAGACTGCCGATTTTTAAATAGAGTCAATGAAAACCACTTTTAACTTCAGTTCAATCAAGTTCAATGATAAATTCATACATGAATGGCAAATTCAGCATAACTGCCTTTCACATTACTGGAGTTATGAACTAGGTTAAGATATGATCAAAAAGAAAACAGAAGTACCAGAAGATAAATTACCTCAATTTGTATGAAGTCTATAGTAGAATTTCCTGTACCAGTGTAATTTTTAACACTTTCAGAAATACCATCATGGGCTATCTTCTCTAGCTAAAATGATAAAATTTAAGGTTTGATAAGACAATGTTTCATCTCAATCTCAGCTATCCTTATCTCTTATCATATTACATTCAATTGTATATGAACCACATGTCAAATTGAAAATTTGTATTATGGATGACTCATACTACAAGTGGTGAAAGTACAAATTTATAGCATTATTTCCTTTCAAATCTTAAAGATATACACCAATTTTTGATAGAATAGAAATTTTGCTACCAGTGTTTCATCCCTGAAAATGCCATGGTTTTGAAGATTGCCCAAGAATTGAATGCAAAATCAAACTTACATTTTCTTTTTCTACTGCGACATAAACCCCTGCTGATAATTCTCCTATCATTACTATTATCATACAAAATATATACTGAAAATACAAAATATATACTGAAAATACAAAATTTATACTGAAAATACAAAATATATACTTAAAATACAAAATTTATACTGAAAATACAAAATATATACTTAAAATACAAAATATACTGAAAATACAAAATATATACTTAAAATACAAAATATACTGAAAATACAAAATATATACTGAAAATACAAAATTTATACTGAAAATATATACAGAATATTCATAAATGTATACTGAAAATACTAAGATATATACTGAAAATACAAGGTATATACAAGAGAAAATACAACATATGTACTGAAAATATAAAATATATATATGCTGAAAATACAAAATGTATACAGAACCTACATACAATATATATTATACAAAATATATAACGCATATACAAAATATAAAACATCTATACAGAATATATAACATCTATACAGAATATATAATGCATATAATACAGAATATATAACATATGTACAGAATATATCATAAGATATATACTGATCTGATACAACAATATCCATCTAATTCAAAAGGAGAACATCTAGACAAATCTGTTTATGTGTTATAATAACACATTTTATGAACACTGATGAGTTTCATGTCTCTTGGTAAAGCGCCATAAAGAATAAATCAAGAGTGTGACTTACAATTCCTAACATGACAGCACTTTCTCTGACAGCACCACAACATCCACAGAATCCTGCTATGAATACGAAGGCACCGACAGCTATTAGAACATAGGCTGCTATTGCCAGGAATTTTAACGGTAGATTCATATCAATTAAAATCCCTAGAAAACTCTTCCATTCATCTGATACAAGAAAAAATATTCCAACACCTAATAAAGCTCCTCCTGATATCTAAAAATAGAAAATTTAAATTAGAAATATTAAAACAAAACCTGAAACATGTTGTTACTCAGAGTTTCAAGCTATTTGATCTTCAGATAACTGACCTATTTCAGCCTGCACACCTACTGAAGTTTGACTAGAACTTTTTCTCATGTCCATATTTTGAGACGAGTTCGGAATGTGCAAAGCCTGATTCTGTTTTGGGGTAAAAGAAATAATATCCAAATTATACAAATCAGACCTATATTGTGTTTATAATCACTTCAGCTCATTTTTTCAAATTATCATCACGGAAAATCAATTTTGTTTTGGGGTAGAATACAAGAATATTAAAAATAATGTTAATCCATTAAAACTACCTTAATTCATGAAAATGAAAATGCTAATACTTATATGAATAGAAAGTAGAGGTTTCTAATGACTTGGAAAAATACCAGCTTGTCCCACATGTTCATAATTAATTCATAATTAGCTAAATTAGAAGAGAATTACCAGTAGAATTCCAATGAGTGACCGATTAAGAATGGTCAAAGTCTTTTTTTGTCTATCCAGACCGTACATAACATGGGCATTTATGATTGGTTAAAACTTGTATATTATATGCAATAAGAACATAATCATATGATTAAGAATACATGATAATTCATTCGAAACACTAATTAATCAATTAGTTTGCTTAATTTGACACTAAAATATAAGGAAACCCATCTTTAAAAGTGTTATGTGTCCACCATCATCCCTGGATGGGCAAAATTTCGATGTACTTACCCAAAATACAAAATTAAATATAATCAGTAATAATCGGGAACATTTGGCACAACCTCCTTCCGCCATCTTGAATTTTAACAAGTGCACCAATTAGCTCCTTTTTTCTATTTGATCTGAAAGTATAGTAATGATCAATACATTTAATGAATTGTTTAAATGGGTTTGTGTGCTAAATGAAATTTTGAGTAATATAAAGTTCACAAGTCAAAATATGATGTATTCAAGTAGGATGTGTAAGTGATTAAACATTTCCTTGCATTTGTACAACAATATCCAAATACAACAGTCATAGTACATGCAATTTGGTTTTCTTAATATTTCAAGATCCTCTATGTATCTGTTATATACCATCAATATATTTAATATTCCATAGACAATGTTAATATCTTATCAATATCTTTCATATCCAGTATTTGTATTCCAATTCCTTGAAAATAAAATTTCATCAATAATTTTTATTATATTTTATCAATATCTTTAATATACTCCATCAATATTTTTCATATCCTATCAATTACTGTAATATCCTTTCTATATCTTTAATATTCAATTTTATCAATATCCTTTAATATTTTATCAATATCTTTGATCTTCTATCAATATTTCTAAATATCTTACTGATATCCTTAATATTTTATTGATATCCTTTGATATCTTATTAATATCCTTTATTATATCTCATTAATATGTTTTAATATATCTTATTAATATCCTTTAATATTCCATTCATATCCTTTAATATTTTATCATTATCCTTTAATATCTCATCCATATCTTTTAATATCTTACTATAATGTGTTATTATATCCTTTGATTTATCTTATTAATACCGTTTGATATCTTATCAATATCCCCTATATCCTTATCATATACTTTGATATCATATAAAATATAAACATTATCTTATCATTATCTTCAAACATCTCATCAATATCCTTTGATATCTTAATAATATCAATTGATATCTAATTTCTAATATGCTATCAATATCGAAGAAAAATATCAAAAATTACCATCAGATATCCTAAGCCAATATTATCCATAACTTTTACATATTTATCAAGTATACCATTCACTGGCAAGCATATGAACCATTTCATGTGAAGTAGATTTGGGTAGTAAATGTCAATAAATGAGAAACACAAGTATAGTATTAGGTATACAGTATAGGGCATATGGTTGGTTTTCAACTACCTATAAGATGTAGCCAATTACTGTTATATCTTCTCTTGTTTTACTGCTTTACTATTCATGTTAAACCATCATGATGAGACCATCTTCACTTTATCATGGTTCAAATACTTGTTCGAATGGTCATTTACTATAATAATGCGCCCTACATGAAGAGTAAATTCAAACAGAAGTCACTTGCCCTGCAATGTCATCAAACACATAGTTTTAGTGGAATTGCAAGAGCCACAGACATCTGATTGAAAATTGGAATGGTGTAAATTGATGCTATCTGTGTCCCAGATACACATACAAAATTTAGAAAACCTTTTTACAATCCCTTTAAACTTGTCCAAGGTGGGAAGATTTGGTCTTCTCAGTTCTTTACCAAATCAACCAACTTTGGCAAAAAGAGTTGTTTCACTTCCAAATTTGGTTTGTTCTAGAGCAGGGCACTGATAGCGATTGGTCAAAATGTATGCTGATGCACATGAAATCAATAACATATGGGTACATTTCGATATATAGAAGTACATTTGCTGGATTCTTGCTCCAGAACATCTTGAAAAAGTTGAAAGGAAAAAAAACACTCACTAAAACATTAATATTTTAATCTTAAAGTATGTTCAACTTGTTGAAGCTGAAGAAATAATGTAAACAGCAGGTTTTTACTAACAACTTGTTAAATATAATACTTAAGTATGTTTCTCTTTGCTCTTCTGTTTGTTTACTTAACACAGTTAATTTGATGTCAATCTGCTTATAAACATGTAAACAGTTTTTCACATTCTACTTATAAACATGTAAACAATATTTCATTAAAAAATATTATCTCTTATAATCAGTAATGTAAATATTGTCTTAATCTAGAATTATGAAAATTTAAAAAAACAAATTACAACAAAAAAAATCCCACAATATTTAGCTATTTGAGTCACAAATGTCTTAAGGTTCAAAAGGATACAAAAAAATCCGTACAAGCAAGACAATTTCTTCAATCAAAAATCTCATCCAAAGCAAATTTGGGAGTAGGTAGTGGTAGTCACCAAAAGCACCATCATCAGGTGTTGTGAAAAGAGTATTGTCTGCTTTACGTGCAACACCCAACACTACCACAATGGTCAAAATGATCAGACACAACCATCAACCAGATCAATTCATACCTAACCAAACATATCAGCCAAAATGTCAGTGTTCTCCATAAAGAAAGCATCCTTTCTTCCAACTGGTCTTTGACAAAACCTCTTGGTATTGATGTTTCGGGATTATTTTCACATGCAGTTACATCGAGTTTTGACATGAGGTAACACCTATATTGAGTTTTCACATTTTCATGAGTTCCACAGTCTTGGCTTCGGATATTTAACATCATTTTGTTGGCATGTACATGCACCTAAGTCGCGACTTTTGAAGAAAAAAACAATTTTCAAATTCCAAGTTTTCATGAGAAATTCAGACATTTGAAATTACCATGTTTTGTGTTCCATCATCTAAGCTTCAGATCTTTAAACACATTATTAATTCAAGTACAGAATCTTCAAGATTATTATCTTTTGACAACTAATTGTTAACTATGACAAAAGGAGACAATAATAGGGAATATGAGAAAAATGGAAGAAAAAAAAACCTGTTTAATGCAGTAAACGCTTCACAATATAAAATTTTTCAAGAAAAATGAATACTTGGGTGGTTTGAAGTGAATAATTCATGTTCACATGTTTCTTTGTTGTTTGAATCACTAATGCAACTCTAAAAAATAAACTAAGAACAAAAGACAAAGAATACAAAAATTCTTTTCAAGTTAGAAAACCTTTTCAGATAATAACAGCACATTGTCTATGGACGAGTTTAATATAACGTAAAAACTGTTGAAACAAACTCAGGTTTATATCATAGTAAGAGGAGAGCATATAAACTTGTACCTGCACAAAATTTTCTACATATGCCATCATTCGCGGGCCATATTCAAAACTTATTTCTGTGAAAGGGTCTTTATTAACAGCCTGGAAGTGACACCAGTCTGGAGTGGTCAATAGAGCAATTCGTTATAGCTGACTGAAACCGAAGTTCCACTAAGAATTGTACAGTAAAGTTAAGCTTTATTGCCGGAAGTGCTGTGATTAAACAGTTAAACTGGTTCCCAAAGGACTCTGACCAACAACATCGTACATCATAGACAACACGTGATGTACAAAACCACCGTCTAATTGGAAGTTAACTAACTAGCTACCAGTACGCCCTCTATAAAGCTGGCTTTTGTGTTTCAATTGAGTAAAGTTTTAAGCTAACTTTCATTTGGGTCTTGATAAATTGGCGAGACAAGAGCAGTTCAGTGCGGCAATTTCCCCAGTGAAAACACACAAAACTAGCTTAAAGCTGGATTAAAGCTCAATTAAAGCCAGCTTTTTCCCTGAACGGAAACACAGATATTAAAATAATAATCACTTTATATACATGCAACAGTATTCCTTTAATATATTGATTTATAATCTATATATATATATATGAAAATTGACAGTTTATCTATAAATATTATTACAAACAATCTTATAACTATGATATTCTATATCTATAATCTATACAGAATCTATATTTATCATTCAAGATAATAGATAAGAGGAACTATTGGCGTAACCTCTGAAACATGAGCAATATGGGTGGTTTAAAAAATCTATGACAATATATGTTACTTATAAATTCTTAGTGGCTCAAAAGCTCTTCATTTTCTACGTAAATCTTTCATTAAACAACATAATCATCTGTACAATCTGAAGTGAGCTAAATTGACCAACTCAGTCACAGAATGACATCAGGTTTCAGGAAGGGTACCAAACAGTGCCTACCACGTCAAATATTCATTAAATGACTCAGTCAGTGGAATATTTCGTTAATATTTTGATTATGCACCCCCTTCCCCTCACGCCTTAAAGAATGAAAAATATTATTCTACTTTCACTTCCGAAATCGCATTAAAGGGACAGGTGTTCCATTTTGGGGAGTTGATTTTAGTCTTGAATATATGTAAAGTCTTCAGAATTACTTGAAATGTACGAATTCACATAAATAACTAGGAATTTTACTCACTCTTTCTATATATGCCTTTTTTATATATCACAGAGTATCTTAAATTGACGAGTCGTCATTTTAAAATTCATTCAAACACAGACAATTCTAGACACACATGGATTTGAAGGCTTAAATTTAGACTATTACTAATAAGCTCAGGTAAAAATTTCCAGTTTCTGAGACTAAAGTATGATTGGACAAAAAATGGCCTACCTATCCCTTTGAAAGTATTATCCGACTTACTACATTGGAAAATTTTTCAGGGGGAGACAACCCTAAACCACCAACCATGACTAGGAGACCTCTGAAGTCTACAAAGGGCTGCAGGGTGCTCGGATGGCCTCCCCCTCAATGAAATCCTTGCCATTGAACTTCAGAAAATTAAAAAAAATGGGACAAATTTATTGAATAGCAAATACATTCCAAAATCTGGCGGATAAAAAAATTGTGTTGACATTCATAAATTAGAATTCAGTGTTTTTCATACCTGAAGTTAGTTTTATGTCAGTTGTGCCAAAAATTGAATATAATCCAAAACATACAGTTTCAAATGAAACAGCTGGCTTAGTTTTTTCTTACTAAAATGTGTTTATAGAACAAACTATCAATCAAATTAATCATATTAGTACCAGAAAATATGGTATTTTATTACAATATCAGGTATGTAAATTCACTATGAATTACAAGAAGCTGTTATGAATATTGCCTGAATGTAAGAAATACAAGAATACACCTAATGCATGTATGAACAAACTAAGACTAAAAAATGAATTTCGACATTTTTTTTTCAGCTACTTAAAGAATGTCATTAATATATTAAATGGGACTTCTATTGTAGTTCAAAATCTATGTATCTTTCTTTACCTCATATCTTTCTTTGTCCTTGGAAGATGCTGTGGCTCAGTGAGTTAGATGCTTGCTTGCTAACCTGAAGGTCCAGGGTTCAATTCTGGCAAAGGTCGAAATAATACCTGCATAATTTTCAACCTGGTTTCCCCCTGTCAGTGATACAGGTAAGAGAGGCTGATATGGAAAAAGCGTCTAGTCGTTCGGATGGAACAATAAACCAAGGCTCCATGTGCTACAGGCTGTGCACGTTAAAGATCCCTCCACAGTTGGAAATCGAAAAAGAGCAGGCTTATGCCGCTGACATGGCAAAATTTCCCTCATTGCACTCTGTATGGCGTTGCCCGTCTTCATTAGTTTACATTATGCAGAAAAGTAGGATGTAAAACTCCATTCATTTCATTTTTCTTTCTTTCTGATAGTTTTCCAGCTGTTACTTTTTTAACACCAAAACTATTTTGAAGGATTATGTAACGTTTAAAAGTTTGCTATTTTTTTTTGGAAGATGTTTGAAAACTAATGTATGGATTGATGCCAAATTGTAGAGAAATATGCCTTCTACCTATTCTTAGCAAAATGAAAAATCTAAAAATTCAAAGAATCTTTTATATTTTTTAAATTACCAAAATAATATTTCGAATTAGTGCAAATTAATAATCATTAAATGATTTGTTTCGTGCCATCCCGACTGTCGAGGCTGAATTCGAAATGGGATAATTCTGTGGAGGCATCTTATCATAAGCCTTTCATGGAGCATCTGCGAGGGTTCTCCCACGAAAATTTTAGAAAAATTAAATTGATTTGGTGCATTCTGACACATATTTTGGGCCAAATGCCACTGTGCCACCATAATAACTAAAATTATTAGCAGAAAAATTTAATGCAAATGGTATTCAAAAGTGTATTTCACAATCCCTTTCATTTTCCCTGCTTAATTATGCAAATAACATTTTGAATAAGTGCAAATCAATAATCATTTACAATATGATTTGTTTTGTGCCACCCTAAAAACTAAGTTAGTAAACAGTGAAAAGGTTACCTGTAACTAATTTGAGAGAAAAGGTAAAAGAAAATATATGGTGGTTCATGAAGTAATCCAAACCAGATGTAAGAGATGATAGTTGTAGTGGTTGGTAGAAACAGAAATACCGTAGAATTTACTAGTTTTTCCTGTACTTAACACTTTTTGATATGATTACAGGTAAAGAATGTCATTGAACGTTATAATAACAAACTTAAACAGTAGGTCACAAAGTACTTAGTGGTTAGTAGTGTTCAAATTGTACATCTGTGTCAAATTTGCATATGAACACCGACATAGTACATCTGTGTTAAAATTTCGTATGAACACCTACTAAGTACAATTGCATATGAACACCTACTTAGTACATCTGTGTTAAAATTGCATATGAACACCTACTTAGTACATTTGTGTTAAAATCATAAATTCTACATGGGCGGCTACTTTGTAGTAAAATTTTATATATGAACACATACTTTGTACATGTACATGTAGGGTTGAATATGAACATCTAACTAAAGTATCATTGGTCAAATGGATGGTAAACCTGTTCCTTTAACACAGTATATTTAGCATCCTAAATGATCACCTACTAGTCTTTGACTAATAGTCATACCACCTCACAAAAACTGCTTGGTGGTCTATCTAAAATAACCTAACTAATTCTATACACAATCCAGAAACTGTGCAGAAATAAATACCTGTAGGTAGCAGTGAGAAAATAAAAGACAAATGTAGCATACAACAACAAATATCATAGAAACTGTAAAAAATACTCCAGAAGAAAAATAATCACTTGGGTATACTTCAAAAGATCAGAAATGTAGATGATATACAGGTAAGAATATCACTGAAAATGTCTTCAACATGGTGCAGACACAGAATAGAATTCATTTTCAATATTGTCTTCTACTCTTCAGTAGTACCGGTAAGCCCCTTTTACACCAGTCTGCTATAAAACGTTCCATTCTTGAAATGTGCCCATTAACATTGCATTAAACCTAAGTGGTCTGAGAACGGTTCTTTGGTTGTAGTGTAAATGAAATGCGTTCTAGGCGCGGTTATCTGTGGAACTCTTCTTGAAGAAGATAAAATTGTCGATTGTAGTCACCATGATGTAAAGAGTTCTCAGAACGCTCGACCGTTTACATTACACAAAATTCATCTGTTCCGTTCTGAGAACATATAAATTTGTAATGTAAAAGGGGTAAAAGAGTCCCATTGACTTATCACTATCACCATGACCAATTATATCATAGAAGAAAAATTTTCCAAGGTGATTTCTATATTCCATTATTATGTAACATCATCATTTATTATTTGATGTTTTCAATATTAGCAGCCACTCCACCAGCCAAGCGATGTCACATGATTTTAATACATAGGTATTATGTCGTGTAAATTGGAGCTTTGGGTATGTGGTGTTTTATTTTATTTACAAGAGATGAAAGGGTTAAATTCAATATTTACTCAAGTATAGCTCAAATAGAGATTATAAGATGTGAGATGAGAATAGGGTCTGTTCATTGATCAAGGGTTCATTGATCAAGGCACATATACCCTTCACAAAACAGTCAGTATAATAACTACAATTTTGCAAAAAAAAAATCAATAAAAAGTTTGTTCAAAGAATTTTTCAAGAAATTCATTTTTGCATGTTTGTTGTTCCAATGGGATAGAGATTTTCAATGAGGTTATGATAGCAAAACTGATTTTCGAACATTTTGATAAAAATGAAGCATTTTCGCATCATTGCAAGACAAAATATTCAAAAATATCTTTTGCTTTTAATTTTTGCCAAAAATCAGCATAATTTATTTTGAAAGAATCGTATTACTTTATTTTTTTTCTTTTACAAATACATGTAAGACTGCCAAAATATGCAAATTTCCCTTCCACCTGGATTTTTGTACCTATTAATGTCTGCCATCTCAAAATTAACATGGAATCTGATGTTAAAACAACAGAACAGGAAAACAAAAACAATGCACTTACCTACGTAGTGTACACTTCAAAAGAAATGATCTATGTTTGGTATCAAAGTCAGAAGAAAATCTCAGATTATCAGTTGCAGAAATAGATGGAATGTTTTCTCTACTAGTCTACCGCCAAGTACCGACGTCTGCCGACCAAAAACACGTCTGCTACAAGAACATCTCACTATTTCACCTGTCTAGTTTTTTTTCCTTTTCTCTTATTGCCTTTGTCTAAAAATATCATGTATATGTTAGAAGAATAGAATACTATATAGTTTTACTACCAATACTATTAAATTGGTACCATGTGTCTATATAGTATCATGATGATATGGTTAGATTGTAGGTACCTATACCTATCTACCGTATATCGGTAATACTTGTAATATTGTTTTAATCAAAACACATCTTCAGGTTGAATTACATGTACTTGAAGAATTTAGTAAATGTATATATATAAATGTGTTAATGAACTTTACTGAATGATCTTCTGAAGATACTAATTTTATCCTCTATTGCCTTTGCAACTCTCTCCTAATAAATGCTAACAAAGTTTCCCTGATTGCACACTGCATGAAATTTCTACATAAGCCAGATCAGAAAAAGAAAAGTAAGATGTAAGTCTCATTTTAATTTAACTTTTTTCCTCTATAGCCTTTGCAACTACGGTACTTCTCTCCTAATAAATACTGACAAAGTTTCCCTTATTGCACACTGCAAGGGAATTTCTACATAAGCCAAATAAGAAACAGAAAAGTAAGATGTAAGTCTCACTTTAATTTAACTTTATTCATATATTGCTGATGAAGATTTCTCAATGCCATGCAATCTGCAATGAGGGAAATATTTTTTTGGGCAGTGACATTAGCCCCTTTTCTGTTAGATATCCATCTTTGTACTGATCTTTATCAGTACACAGTGCCTTGATTATTAGACTTTAAATAAAGGTTTGATTAAATAGTGTTTCTCTCTATTTGATGACCTCTAATTCATCAGCTATACATCTTTAAGGGATGGGAGTGCTATTTTTTTGACCAATCATACCTTAGTCTCAGAGACAATTTTTTTTTAGCTAAGTCAATCATCTCACTGTTGAAATTTTAGCCTTCAAATGAATGTGTGTTCAGAATTATCTGTGTTTGAAAGTTACAAAATGAATTGTCTTGACATACTGACTGTATTGAAAAGTAAAATTCCTAGTTCAAGATAATTTTGAAGAAATTTTGGCGTTTTTCTTTCAATTCCAGTACACACAAATCAACCCCCCAAAATGGCACAACTGTCCCTTTAACAATGAAAATATTTTATTATTGTATAAATATGTATTATATATGTTCAGAAACAGGGCAATAAAAATATTCCCTTTTCATAGAAATACACAAAATAAATGCTGAGTTGAATATATAATGCTTATTAATATTTATATATATTTCGATGTTTCAATTCACATAAGTAATTTACGGTGCAGAGATCTGTATTATTTCTAATATATCATCATTTTGAAATTTACAGCAGTCAATTTCCAACCAAGATTTTGAAATTTTTTTGATCAAAATTGCTCAGATTTTTTTATATTTCTAAAAGACTGGACGATAGGTCAATTTCAAAGCATCTATCTTTCCATTTTCAGAAACTTTTTCCAGCTTTTGAGCTCATTTCTGCCAAGAAAACAGCAACTCAATTTCATATTCATAATATTTCCCCAAGGTCATTGATGTCCTCCACCAAATTCAAAAGAAATTAGAACTTAAATACAATACTGACATGGTGACATAAAAATAATCACCCCACCCCCTAAACAAAACAGAACTAGCCCTCTGGCCCTAAAAAGAATTAATATATAAAGCCATATAACAAAGCTCAGTTCATTTCAACGACAGCAAAAACTATCTTGCTATTCTTTATAATGAAATATATATGCACCAAGCCTTCATCAGATAACACATACATATGAATTTCAAATTCACAAATTGCACTTACCAGTAAAAATGTGAATCAGCAATTAATTAATTCCTAGTCAAAACAATTTCAACTAATTTTCACCCTGCAGTAGGATATAGAACAGTAAAATAAATGTTAAATCACACTAGCTTACATGTTGAAAATTAGTCCAAAACATCTAACCCTATAACAACCTCTGATAGCTATTTTGACAGTTGTCGGCTGGTGTAGAGACAGAAAATCTAGGTCTAGTTTTTTGTGAATTTTCCGCACTTCATTTTTTTTTTTTTAATCTCAGATCCCACAAAACCCAATATATATTTAGAGAGATGGATATTTTTGTAGTTTAGTCATACCATCATGATCTCCTTAGACCATTTATGCCACTACTAATGAAACTAATCTTTTGTCGGCCAATAAGGACTGAATGTGCAACCAAAAGTTCAAGGGTCACAGGGTCATGTGATACAAAACAAAAATAGCAGTAAATGCCCAATGTATCAGGGTTTGGCAGATCCAAAGTATGAAATAAGGTTAAAACCCCTGCATCTTCAGAGGTGCAGAAAATCTCCATAAAACATGGCCAATTTTTTCTGACCCTACTACCACCAACAACAATAGCTATCAGAGGCTGGAATAGAGACAGATGTTTCGGATTCATTGTACATGTGTATATTTTTAGTCTATTCACTATGAACATAATACTTTATCTACATACAATAAAGATGATAAGATGCAGTCAGAAAGATGAAAATCTTGGCTAAATGTCAATTTATTGTCTTTCAAATTCATTGTTTTTTTAACTTATATCTGACTATAGGATAGTTACAAAGAATCAAGATTGTTAAAGACAATACACAAAATCATAATGAAAATGTATGATGAAACACCAGTCCTCAAAATATCAATAGAGAGAAAGAAATTTGAATTTACCGGCTTCGATTTCTTTTTTCACTATTAGCACAGTTATATTATTTTTGTTCCAGGAAATTTTAAAGGCAAAATGCTTTAGAATCTCAAAAATTGATAGAAAACTTAAAGAAAATGGGTTCTTGAAGTGATCACAGACTAGTTTAAAACAAAAGTATATATGCTACATGGAAAGAGCGTTTGGTCCTTTGGATTGGACAATAAACCAAGGTCTGTGTGCTACAGGCTACAGGAAAAATTTCTCTGCTTCAACCTGCATGGCGCTGTCTGACTTCATTAGCCCACATGGTGCAGAAAAGTAGGACGTAAAACTCTTTTCATTTCATTTCATTTTTTCCTTGAATTGAATGGGAACCAACATCAGATGTTCATTCTTATAAGTGATACAGATAGCTGAGATTAAATTACATCAGTTTGTATAGAAATACACAGACAACTTCTGCTTGAACTTTTCTACAGAACAACCATAAACATTGAAACTTTTGACAGAAAGGTTTCTTTCAACATTATTTTGACAAAAAATTACTTGATAAAAGATAGGCTGAGACTAGCAGACAACCAGTAAACACAAACTATTTTTAGTTGCCAACTGATAGAATCACATGCAAGGAATGAGAACAATGGAACAACAATTTATTGGCTTAGAACCAATAGCACAAGTCAAAAACAGCAGTTTCAAGCCAAAAATATGTTTCACTGTTCAATGAATAAGATATTATCAAAGATTTGTATCAGGGAGGCAAAAAAATATACACAGGCATTTAGTATCTAAAGCCATTCAAATAAATCTTAAAGTTTTTAGAAAATTTAAATTTCAACGCATGAGCTTCAAATTCTTCTTGCAGCTCTACAATCTCCATTATTTGAGATCACACATAAAGGAAATTACTTATGAAAATCAAGTAAAGTTTCCAGTTTCCAGCAAATCAAACTAAGAGATGATCTATGTAAACATGTGCTTCTCATCCACAAGATACATGATTCACAAGTCCACTCCACCCAATCTCAGACCATATGTATTGTTACAGTTAGTTATTGGCTATCATATATACTCAGATGACAGCCATAGTAACATACACCAACCTGATAGGCCTACATGCACGTAGTCTTCATAGAACATAGCAAGTATATGACAGACAGGCAACGCAATGTGTAATAAGGGAAATTTTGCCAGGACAGCAGCATTAGCCTACTCTTTTTCGACTTCTGAATGTCAAAGGATCTTTAACATGTACAGTCTGTGGCAGGTATTGAACCCTGGAATTTCAGATTAGGAAGGAAGAGGCACCGGGGCTCCCATAACATAGAAACAATAGTAGACATGGCCAAACCTCTTGTCATTGATCTGTCCTTGAAAATCCATACCTATTTACAGTTGTGTTGACTGGAATAATGAGCAGAAATGGATTAGAAACTGTGACCATCATATGTTTGATGTAACCAAGCATGATGTCATGTTAAGAATACAATGCTCTAACCAACTGTGCTACAGACTGGCCCCCTAAGAGAGTTCATATTTTTTTTAGGCAGCATTTCTGTTTGTGGCAGAACAAGTATATCCTGAGGGCAGATATTATCATACCATTAATATTTTTACTGGGGTAAGGTAGGCTAATCGAGATAAAGCAATGCTTACTTACTTACCTTGTACACGTCATGGTGGTACCTTTAGATTTTGTAGCCTGGTTCCTCCCTGTCTGATGGGAAAAGCATCTTTCTGTACACCTTTTGTTTTGTCATCATCTCAAGGTCACAGATAAACTTTACACAAACAAGTCCTCTCTGAACTCTGGTCATCTCCTGTTCCATTAGATTGATAACTTGGACCAATTTCAATTTATCAACTGATTTTCTTTCATATGACGATGATTAACTGTCCCCATGATTTAGATCGGACCTCACATTAGTTAGATTCAAAATTATATGCGAGATCTGATTAAAGGGAGGTAACTACACTTAATTGATCTTGCAGCAAACTACAGAACACATTTGATGCTACTGTTAAGAAGATGTTAATTGAGTGCTCTTGAGATCCCCTCATGTTGGACATTCAATTGCTAAAGGGGAGACCTAAATTATGTGCAAGGGTTATGCATTAAACACACTCAATTCCCTTGACATAGGAGAATGCTGGAACATAGAACTTGATGGGAGATCAGAAAAGCCATGGATACAACTGTGACAGACCATGGAATCTACACTAATAGTTGGCTGAGCAAGACATTGGCAGTTACAATTCCTCTTCCTTTTCTGCACTCCACATTGCATCACTGCAGGTCGCCATTTTATTTGTCATGTGACGCTTTGGGCATCTGTGATTGGTTGAGTAATAGGAAAGTTCGCGATGAGACACACTTGCTGAACAAGTAGATGGTGAATGAGACTCGCCCGAGCAATTCGTCATGGAATTCGCCCAGTGTATCTTTAGCTTAAGGGCAGACATAAATTCTGTGCAAGGGTTTTGCATCATACACTCTCGATACCCTTGACGGATCATTTTGGGCACATTAAAATATCTGAACAAGAAATATTATAAAGACAACTATATATATTGTATCAAAAAAAATGGAATAATATAATTTATAATTCAAGATTTATTTACAATATTATTTCATTATATTTATATGGTTAGAGTCATTTGTAACAGGAACCAGACCTCCTAATATCCATTTTCATTAACTGCCATATTTCAAAATATTTAACCCTAACTGGAAGTTGCCTTCAGTAATACTGGTACCTTTTTATGGGTTAGCAAACTTTATAATAAAAATGTCAAAATCAGGGAAGAGCTAAAATATGCCAAGATGGCAGTCAAGATATGGCAATACACAAACTAACAGCAAACCTAATCTATAATATTTTTTAATGTGTATCAAAAGCTCTGTAAATAGTTTTTATTAGCACCATTCTGATGTCTATGATTCCTGCAACACTAGGAAACTTGACCAGCTCCTGGCGTTACAAAGGGATATCAGAATTGTACTAATGCAAGCTAAAAGTATCTTAGATACACTTGCAAAGGGAGACATACTCTTTTGAAAAAATCAGAATTTCAAATTTCAACAGGAAACACAGCTCGGAATTCACTCTTGAAGATGGATAATGAAAGGTCTGAATTCCAATAGAGTTAAATTGATATATGAATTAGTAAATACAATGTTATCTAGATTTAATATAGAGGAATTTGGATTAGAATATTTTAAATACAGAATAAGGTCACCATGACACTATGAGCGGATTCTACACCATTATAGATAGTAATATACATGTAGGCTACCATGAAACCAGTTTAAAGGGACCCGTCCAGATTGATCATTTATGATTATTAAAAAATGGCTTCTTATATCCAAGAATTTCATTTGAATAGATATGGGTACATTTTTAACATAAATTTGTAGAGTTCAGGCCATTTTTTTACCTTCTGGGTTAACTGGGGTTTTTTTTAACTGCATTTAATCAAATATGGTCACTAATCACTCTTCTTTTCTTAAATATTTCCATGAATTTTCACAAAAATGCTAAAATAGTCACAAAAAAAAAACCAGCTTGTAGGCTGTCTGCTTTAATTTCAATTAGTAAAGTGTAAATCATGGATTTGAATTAGGAATTATGTTCATGGGTATTTTGAGACGATATTCTGTTATTTATATAATTTCCTGATTAATCTTGTATATTTACATATTTATATTACAAAAGAACAATGAATATATTTGAAAAAGATAAAAAAGAAATTTATGGTTTAAATTCTTCCAAAAAATGCATTTTCAGTAAGACAAAATGTTTTTGTACATGAGAGGGCGCTAGATTGGTGACTTCATGTGCCTGAAAATGCAAGTGTAGACAGAAATCAAAATGGCAGAATGTGACATATCCAGTTCCATAGCTACAGATGGAACCTTTTAGAACACACCAATCAAGCAGAACCTTCCATACAAAGGAAAAGCAAAAGTGAAGCGTAATACAGAATTGTTTCCCTTCAACAACTGCCAAACTTGAGTTCATAAACAATACCAAATGATCATTTTTAATTTTCTTGTAGAACAATCTACATTGAAAGAAGCCCAAAGAAAATTCTCAGCATAAACTACATTAAATTTCTAAAATTTCAGTTGATGCAATAATGTAAATAATTTAGACTTTTGAGCATTGTTTTAAGTGCAATTTAACATTTGTACGGACATTCTGTATAAATACATAGGGCCTCATTTCCCAAAAAATCAACTGAATGCAAATATTTCCACTTATGTCAAAAGTTTGTTGGATTGTCGTCTGCTTGGCAATTAAGTTGCCACTCTTTTGAATCATCATCAAATTAAAGAAAAATCCGATGCCACAACCAATGCCTTTGAGAATCAACTCCCAGCTTTCAGTGAATTTATATTTTGTTGTTAGATTTGAGAGAAAACGAGGCCTTGAAAGCAAGAAATCATTACAGAAATGAAAAAAAAAAATTTTTTGCAAAAGGTTCAACTACATATTATATACATATATATAAAAAACAAAATTAATATGTTGTGTATTTCACAATTTTCTGTCTTAAGACCACACCAAATAATCTCCTTGTTTGATAACAGAGTCTACCAATATTAATAATAACTGGTTAACCTGGGCTATTTGACAAATTCACTATAATTTTCTATGCGCGATAGTAAAAGTAAAGCTGTCATAAAGCAAAGCAGACATATTACAGCATTAAATTTAATCCTTGCAATAACTCCAAATGAGTTGAAAAAGATTTCTTAGTGCAACATACGAAGAAAATTTCTTAAAATTGATCTACATGTAAAGGCGTTAGTTTTAGTTTTCTGAAAAAAGAACAAGAATATTATTTGGTGTGGTCTTGTGATGATCTTTAAACAAGAATATCATATGGATCTTATCACAGAAATTATTTCACAATTCAATTTCATCTAAAAATCTACAAAATGTATAAAATGTTACCATAACAACTAAATTGTGGCTATCAGAGACTTATCTTGGCCCCCTTTTTGTTCAAAAACTTAAAATCAATTCAAATTCAGGAGCCTTATTCTCTCAAACTTAACAAAAATAAAATCCAGATTTTCAGAAATACAGTAATCTGATTGGATAATAAAACTAAATCCAAAATTAATTTTAGTGATTGACCAATCAGATGACAGGAACACTAAATTCATATTATTTTAAGTTAAATTTTCAAGAATAAGGCAACGATTTTAAATTTTGACAACAGGGCACTGCTCAATAGCAATACTGCTGGGTTTCTTGCAATTAATTTTTTTGGATCATTATATTTGATCTTTTTTTTGAGATTAGTTCAGTGATCCACGATGTATTGTTAAGGGAAGAATACAAAAAATGAATCATTGAATCTTTGAAAAACATTTCCCTTTTTAGGAGGAACTAATTTTAAATTTTTTAACAATTAACTTACAAAATCCATTACCCAACACTTGCAACTACATTCAGACATGTAAATTTTGTAATATATCCTCTTAAATGCTATCTTTTCAAATTTCATTTTGAGCACAGATGGCGCTGCGCTAAAAAGATTACTGAAACAAATTTGGGTTAACAAATCTATTCACCCTTAAATGTACAAATGAACTCTTCCAATATACAAAACACCAAGCCAAAAGATAAGAAATATGCATGTGTGGATGAGTCCAATACACAATAAGGAGTAGAAAGCCAAACATGTACACTAATGATAGCCAATGATGTAAAAAACAGACATAGTAATGTTCCTTTACCAAAATGTAAAAAATATTACAAAGCTTACTTCCAACTTATATATATACAATACTAATTTTGAAGAACACATTTTTTAAACCAGTTCAGATAACCAAGAGAAAAATTTTGCTTTTTTCAAAGTCTTTGAAACCTTAAACTAGAAGGAATGCACATTTCTAAATGTTCTTATTTTGGGAAATACATCCTTTAATTACTATATCTTAAAGAATTCCTTTCAACAAATTTTAACTTATATTATAACAGTTACTGTTTCAATGAAAACAAAATTTTTTAACACAAAAAATTTGATAAAAATTATCGCAGAAATTTTTACTTGTTATCTGATTGGTCAATTGCCACTTAATTCAACTTTTTATTAACCAATCAGATTACTGTATTTCATAAAATGCAGAAATATTTCTAAATTTTTTGTGAAATAAATTCCAGAAAAATATATTTGGTGCTGAACAAACAAACGGAAATTCAAATTTTTGGGCAAGGGGTAGAGAATAGAATGCTATGGTCTAATTATAGTAACAGACACTTACATAAATTTATACTCCATTATATTAATAAATAAATAATGCTTACAAATTTTTCTTAAAAATATATAAAATATCTGAAAAGTTTAATTGAACAATAATTATTGAAAACAGCACAAGTACAGATTTAACATATTAAAAAGTTTACGAACAAGAAAAACAAAACTTGAAAAAAAAAGATCAAAAAAGTTTGCATAGTCTTTTTCTTTTTTTCTTATCTTTGCCCTTTTTTTCTTTCTGAAATAATAATCAATAGCGTCATTTAATTTGTTGTTTAGGAAAAGATACAAGATCAGATGAAACAAAAAATTTGAACATTGTTTTCCAATCTTCATCACAGAAGATTTTCATTGTGCTAATGGTGTGGGTACAAAAGCAGTACCTCTTGGTTGCTGATTTTTGTTGCCGACTCGAATATTGAGTAAAATCTCACAAGTGTGACATTTGTCACTTTTTGCTTTAGAGCATCATCATCCAATCAGAATATCTTTAGACAATTGCAATATGCGCATGTGATTATTGACTGAATGGAAATTTTTTGTCTTCTCATGTGCCTGAGTGAGGATAACGAACCTCATGACAAGATTAAGATGGCAACAAAAATCAGCAACCAAGATCATTCATGTGTCGCAGACAAAGCACCCTTCCCTAAGTCAAATATTCCGACTACATTTATGGCGGACTTTCTTAAAGCAGGAACAGAAACTACTTTTCAGAAAATGGAATATCAAGTGCAAGCAGACAAACATGTTCTTCTTATTGTCAATGGTTGTTCATGCACATTATGATGGCCTAGAGTTCAATTTGTTTCAACACCATGTCAAAAAGCTACCTCCATTTAATGCTTAGTGTCCCAATAGGTGTGGCCATAACGAACTTTAAGTAGATCTTAAGAGAAATTAAGTTGAATCTCAAGAAGAGGCCCCAACCTACTTAAAGTGATACTACGTCTTAGAATTAAAGTTTGGTCAAGAAATGGTCAATATGAGTATATATTCATCAGCTTACCTGGTGTCATAAATAACTTAACAGGGTCCTTATATCATCTGATAAATCCAAAAAACTTAGTAATTATCCATAAATATGCAATTAACTATTGAAAAACGCTTAACATCAACATTAAGCGTTTTTCAATAATTACTTGGTTTTATGAATTTTCCAATTTACAGATTTTACAGGGATTCTGTTGAAACTTTATGACACCAGGTAAGTTCACTGATGAATATATACTCATTGACCATTTCAGGAATGTTAATTTTATGTTCATTCTAAGTAGGTTGGGGCCTCTCCTTGAGATTCAACTCAATTTCTCAATGATTATATGGGACTATGAAAAACTATCCATGTGATCTACTGATCTACTTCATTTTGGCCACACCTATTGGGACATTGGGAGCATTAAATGGAGGTCCCCACTGATCTACTTGTGCCACTGTGAAAATTCCAACTCCGACTCCAACTAGATCATTGGCAAAAAATGTTACTCAGAAGGACTAAAGAATACAAGCTTGAAACAAATACTTACATATTGTCTAATTTCACGAACTAAAGTATAAAATGCATGGTCAACACCTTGTCGTGTTTTAGCTGATGTTTCAACATAAGGTATACCATAACTATCAGCTACTTGTTTAGCTTGTACAGGATCTACATTACGTGTTTGTAGATCTACTTTATTACCAACCACTGGAAAATGTAACGGAAAAACTTGTTGAAAAACTTGCTTCTAGTTTATGAAAACTTAGACCTATGATAATAACTACCAAAATACTTTTAGTTGGAAAAGCTCTGGCTCTATCTACAGAATCAAACAGATGATTTTGATGACATTAGCAGCTGGGAGAGGGTCAAGAGAAATGTCCTATTTTTGAGGAAGACTGCCCATTAGAGGTTGTTATTAATTATTATCAATTAAACTTTTAATTCATAACCAGTCTCTGCTCTTTGAATGAGTAATTGGATAATGTAGAAGCATTTTTTGCTTTTTAAGTTTAATTTCGATTCAGTTTCTGCCATTCGTTTTGTTTGGACTGTCTTCTGCAAATATGACACATTTCACTCTCTCACCCTAGACAACTAGCTGTCAAAATCATTTTCCTTTTAAGCTTAGGATAAGCTCATGGATTTATCTCTCACCCCCTCCCAGGCAACTATCCACTAACATCATCTTTCATTTAAGCTTAGGATAAGCTCTCGTCAAACAGATATCATATTACACTTTTAAAAGTCAAATATAAAGAGATTTTAGGTAGAAACAGATACTTACAGACCATAGGAACTTCATCTGCATCTTTCACTCTTTTTATCTAAAATACCAACAAATACAATAGACATTAATATAGAAAAACTATAGAAAACATAGAATTGCCCTTTTTTTAATTGATAAACTTGTTGGTACATGTAAGTAAGAAAACATAACAGATTGTAAGCTAAAGGGACAAGTTTGCAATTTTCCAGTGTTGATTTGGGTAGGTAATACGTAAATACTCCTTGGAATGTACAAATAATTCCTTCAAAAATATCTAACTAAAAATTTCTGTTTCTTTCTCTATATATGTCTTTCTATAAAAGACAGGATCTCAAGATTGCAAACATAGACACACATGGACTTGATAAAATACCCTTTGTGCACTCTATGACATTCACATTTTGCCTAAAGTTCATAATATAATAAATGACACCAAGTATGTCAAGTCTACAAGAATTTCATGTATGAAATTACTTTGATTAAATCAACTGAGGCAAAACCTAAGGTCTAATATCAAAGCTTGCTTAGGGCTCCACCACATACTGCCCTTCGCAATTAGTGACATAGTTTTATTGGAATTGCAACAGTCCCGTCTTTAGACCCTAACTGATGGGCTAAATTGAGTAGCAGAAAAAAGACGTGTAAATCAAATTATATTATAATACAGACCTGTTCTCTATATGTATTGATATCTTCAAATGATTTGGCCACATTGACAGCAAACACACATAAAAAACCTTCTCCTGTCCGCATATACTGGTCTCTCATAGCACTGAAATATTCAAAGTATTCATATCAATACACTTAACCTTATAGCAGAGTGGTGGCAGCCCCATTCCCCCGGAAACTTGGGGTACAAATAATGGGCAGACTTCAGAATTCAAAATGTGGCAACTCTGTCAAGGCACCATAGTTGCCAGCTTCTCATGGGACGTCTGAGAGGGTCCACTCAAGAAAATTTTCAAAATAATTGAATTGATTTGGGGAACACATATTTTTAAATTTTGTGAAAAAAAAAGTGTGGATTCTCTTGAGGATTCAATTTTCTGTATCTGGACTATAATAGAAACAATTTAATGAAATAACTTTTGTGAATTTTGTTATGTTTTATTAGGGGCGGTTTGCTCATCTCTGTTGGCTATCAGAGCTACTTTCGTTTTGTTAGTATCATGTGACCCTGTGACTCATGAACTTTTGGTTGCACACACAGTCTTTAATGGCTGGGGAGAGATTAGTTTTGTTCAAAGCTGTTCAAAGATAATTGAATAAAACAAAAATAACATCAGCTTGTTTCAAAACCAAAAGAAAATTTCACAAAAACTACAACAATTTGTACAATGGATAAGTTCGAAATTCAGAATAATTCAACCAAAAATAAACAACAGATTGCACCATGGCAACGATTAGGTTCAAAAGTGTACCTGTATTCTTCTTGACCTGCCGTATCTAGAATATCTAGCTGACATGTTTCTGCATCAATCACAACCTGTTTACGATATGAATCCTCTGCAAAAAAATAATTCCAGAAAATAAAGAAAATAGTACCTATACTCTTCTTGACCTGCTGTGTCTAGGATATCTAATAAACATGTTTCAGCATCTATAACAACTTGTTTTCGATAGGAATCCTCTGTAAAAAGTAACATGTTCAATGAGCACAAATCTGGCGTTGTTAATCATTCATATATATTTACATATCTATTGATACAAAAAACAAGCAAATGAAATGAAATGAATGGAGTTTTACGTCCTAATTTTCTGCACTATGGGGGCAACGCCATGCAGGGTGCAATGAAGGAAATTTGGCCAGGATAGCCGGATGAGGCAGATCTTTTTCGATTTCTAACTGTTAAGTAATCTTTTAATGTTTGATTGGCTGGCAGTATCATCCAACTGAAGAATACTGAAGAGGCCAGTCTTTAGACCCTAACTGAAGCGGCTGAATAAATATAAACGTTAATTAAAAATAAGAAAGTTTGATCTAACTTTAATTAGACTGCTGTTTGTGTCAATTTTCAGAATAATACAGATGTACACAAATATATTCTCATTTGAACCAAATCAAGAACCAATTAAAAGCCAAGTAGACTCTTCAAAATTGAAGTCAAATTAACAACCATAAAACTCTGAGTGCGTCATAAGCAATAAAGCAATTATCAAGTGTCTCATTAGCACTACCTGTATCACACTGATATTATTGTAATATAGAAATATTGAAGAGTGAAGACAGTGGCAGTGTGTTAATGTCAATCGACATGACGTCAATTTATTCTCCAAGGACAAACTTTGTGGTTTCACGCTAAAACGATTAAAATAAGTTTCAACAATAACTGTTTGTTTCTTGTTATCACGAAATTCCACATGGTATACTTCTCAAAATGTCAGTACTGTCATGATCTACTAGAAAGCAATCAACCGTATGAAGTATGCAATGAGGAATCATGGTATACATATAAAAATCTCATTAATGTCATGTCCTACTACAGGGAGTCAAACAAAAGCAGTGTGCAATGACGGAAATTTGGTCAGACAGCAGCATTTGTCTGTTATTTTTCACTTTCTCACTGTCAAAGGATCTGTGAAATGAATCAAAATTTGAGCCTCCAAGCTCCATCTAAAGATACTATCTCCATGTTAGTAAGAAAATAGAAAATAATTTGGCCTAAAATAACATGAATCTAAGTGCTTACCTATTGTAGGGTCATATTCTTCTACAAAACTGAAATAAATAAAAAATAAAATGAATTACTCTTCAAAATAGAAAACCATATTCAGTAACCAATAATATGGGTGGAAGGAGGGGGGTGCAAAAAAGGTACACAAATTTGTTAAACAAAGAATGGGGGTACAAATCATTTTCTAGGCGCCAAATACCCATCTTATACACTCACTGGCTCCCTAATTGCTTATAATCCAAATCAATGTTAAAGAGATTGTAAGGAGGTCTTCTAAATATTTATGTTTATCAGGGACAATGATAGCATCAATTTGCACCATTCCAATTGCCAATCAATCTGTAGCTATGAGCACCTCAGAACTATTTTGTGCAAAAAATGTAAAATATGTTGATCTAGCATATGCCACTGAATTTGAATTTCTTGTAAGGATATTTGAAGCTGTTTTGAGTTGAGTATATAAATATGAGAATTATTTAAAGCTGTGTGTAAAAGCCTAAGGTAATTAGACTTGTCAATCAATGATAAATAACTCAAATTTCAATACTTACTGATTTTGGATTAACTGAATGGTTAAGGCACTTTTACCTACACCACCAGCTGAAATATACAAAAAAATGCATTATAGAAAACATCCTGAAAAATTATAGTGATAAATGAAATGAAATGGAGAGTTATCTCCTACTTTTCTGCACCTGTTTGGGCTCATGAGAATGGGAAATGAAGGAAATTTTGCCAGAACAGCCACATTAGCCATTTTTTTTCTATCTTTCTATCCCGCTATCGAGGGATCTTTTATGTGCACACCCGGTAGCACACAGCCCAGATTATTGTGTAGAATGACTAGAAGCTTTTCCATATCAGACCCCAGCCTGCAAAGTTGGAAAAACATACAAAAGTAGACTGATAATCTTGCTTTCATTACTGCCTGTGAGAATGTCTATAAAAGCCTTACAGTGATAACAGTTAAAAATCATGCAGTACCGGTACATTTTTAATTTCTATTAAAATATAAAGAAAAACCCAGAAACGAAATGAAAGGCAATGAAGAAAATTTGCCAAGACAGCAGCATTAGCCAGCTCTTTTTTAATTTCCAACTGTCAAGGGATCTTAAACGTGTCAACCTGTAGCACACAGGGCCTCGGTTTATTGTCTCAACCTAACTTCAAAACGCTTTTTCCATGTTAGCCCCTCTTGACTACATCACTGACAGGGGGAAACCAGGTTGAAAAATAGAAAAACCCAGAGCAAGATTATAACATCAAAATACAGTAATCTGAAATTGAGCTCTTCTAGCTGTTAAACTGTTTAGATAACTCTATTTTGTAATGCATGTCCTAGATGATTACATGAATTTGCAAGATAACGCAAATTTCTGAAAATACAAAAAAATCTAAAAGATAGTGAAAGTAAATTGAACTGTTAACTGAACTCAATAATATGAAGAACATGTTATAAGACTAATTAAACTTGATGAACTTTTATTAATTAATTAAGTAGGTAAATATGATCTAATATACATATCTAACCTCTTCCTCAATAAACCTCATATCTCACATTTATCATCAAATTAGAGAAAATATCAGATAAAATTAGCCATTTCATGTTTCATACATTTAAAGTGGTAGTGTGCACCAATCTTAAAGGTGCATTTTGAAATATACTTTGAAAACCACTCTTCATGTAAAAAGGATTAAAGGGATTGTAAAGAGGTTTTATGTGTATCGGGGACACTGATAGCATCAAGTTGTACCCTACCAATTTTCATTCTGATGTCTGTGGTTCTTGCAATTCTACTAAAATTAACATGTTTTATGACTTCACTAGAGAGGAGCTACTAATGTATTAATATATATAGTGCTGTCAGAAAATGTGTTAGTTTTAATGGAATTACAAGAACCACAGAAGTCTGATTGAAAATTGAAATGTAGCAAATTGATGCTATCAGTGTCTCCAATACACATAAAAAGTTTACAAAACCTCTTGACAATATCAAAGAATTCATTCAAAACTAGGAGAGCAGATTAAGTCAATTTCTGTTTTATTGAAGCTGGTTCACACTCCCCATTTAAGTAGAATAAGAATAAATTTGGATACTGTATGGATTCACATCCATGTTCTTCTTGCAGTTTCTGTAGAAATCTTGGTTCATAATTATTATACTCACTATGTCAAAACTGTCTGATTTACATAAAATTTCGTACCAAATCATTTCTTCATGAAAAAAATATGTATCAAATTCTACACATCATGTGATTTTTGATAGTTAAAGGGACAGGTGTAATTACCAACCATACTTTTTGGAGCTAAATTTTAAGTTGCTAAAGTTACAATCATCTCTTTAATCAAAATATCAAATTTATAAGAAATGCAGAGATCCAACTTTAATTTGAATTGATATCTAAGATCTTATTCCAAAAACCACACTCTAGGTAGAATGAAATGTGGTGAAATATAATTATTATTCTCAGTCTATCATACTTCAATTTATTGACAACAAGTCTTGATAACATTCCATCTTATAATCAATATGATATGACTATATTTCATTTTACAGTCAACAAATTTTTAATTAAACAAGTAGAGCTGTTGCAATATAGTCATATATTTAACCAGGTGATAGACCAGTTTTCTATAACAATCATTAAAATATATGGCCTAGTTGACTAGTTGTTGTATTGTAATCTCTGAAATTACCATCCTGGCCTGTGGTGCTGCCAAATTTCTTCTCTCCTATCCCTGGAAATAGCGATGGCAGGCTTCCACTGGACCCTGTTTCTCAAAATGTTGAAGATTAATTAATTTTAATGTTATAAATTAACACTTTGATAACCTCAAAAATAACATTTCACCTGCGAGTTTTTGTGAAACAGGGCCACGATCTATGTTAAACACAAAAAAATCTGATGACCATGAAAAAGTAATCTCTCTTTTTGTTGATCTAGCTGAGAATGGGTATTCATACTACAGAAGAGATCAATGCCAAGAGACTTGACCTTGGAATTTGGAACAGATGGTAGAAAGACCGCAGTTGTTTTTCTTATGGTTCTTTCTTTCTTTTCTTCTGTTGTCAAGGCCTTGCAGTGTGCTATGAGATTAACTTTTGCCAGGACAGCAGCTTTAACCATTTTCAAATTATCAAAGTAAGGATCTTTTTTGTGCACAGTACTGTCAAATCTGACTTTGGTTCTATATCTCTCTGAGCTTGTAATCCCTATGCTTGACCCATTGGTTTGGTCATTATCTCATGACCTGCTATATCCTCAGTTTATTAGCTATATATATAAATTATGCAGCATTGATAGAATCTTCTATAAATTTGATAAGTATGGTCATTAATATTAATATTCAATATAGACCAAATTATGTCATTAATTGTTCATCATGATAGGTCAATACATTTATATATTTCAACATCCGCTGTTCACACAAATGAAGAAGATTCAAATGAAATGCATGCAGGGGTTAATGAAGACAGGCAATGCCATGCAGTGTGCAATGAGGGAAATTGTGCCAGGAGAGCGGCATAAGCCTTTTTCTATTTCCAACTGTCAAAAAAATTAAATGAATGGAGTTTTACGTCCTACTTTTTTGCATCCAACTGTCAAAGGATCTTTAACATGCACAGCCTTGTAGCACACAGGGCATAGAGGTTTTGAAGCCTTGGTATGTTTTTTAAGGATCATTAAAGCTTCTGATCTCCCTTTTGCTTCCCGTGTCTCTGTGATACCTTTCAAACCTTTTTGTTTTTTACAATAGTAACATAATTAAATGTTTGAAACCTAAAATTCTCCAACAATCAAAACTGGTGATAAATCTATCAAAGGTATGATTTGTCTGACAAAATTCTTACACCCTTGTTATATCAATCTGCTTATCAAGAATGAAAAAAAAACAACACCAAGAAAAATGGCTAGCACAGTAAAACCGGCAGTAGGCCTATATCTAGTTTTGGAATGGCCTAAACCCAAACAGACCATTTTGTTCTTGGCATCAACAGTCTGCGAGATATGGCCAGTTATATTAGTCACCAGAGAAAACACATTCTGGCCACAGGAGTTATTCTGCTATCAGAAATAGATATCTTGCCACAATATTACAAATGTCAAATGTGTAACAAAGCTCTATCATGTGGCCATTTTCATCATCAGCTTGAAGATATCAAAGGACATAATGAGGTATTTTGATTATGATTGTCCCTGGATTGTTTTAAATACGTGACATCCTGTGTCAATCCCTCCATAAATAACTCAGACCAAAAATCTAACATTAATATCAAGATTGATTTGTTATGTCTCTTATTGACTTCCCATTAAAAAAAAAACCAAAAATGTCTGCTTATCTGCACTTGATTGGGCTATTGAAGACTGTTAATGCCATGCTGATTGTGAAAAATTTATCACATTTGACAAACTGACCACAAGAGTGAAATCATGATCAGAGTGTCAACCAAACATTTGATGTTTCAAAAATATCAATCTTAACACTAAGATCATGATGTGAATTCTACAAGATCATGATTGGTTACTAAATGGAATACATGATCACGGTGTTAACCAAACATTTGATGTTTCAAAATTGTCAATCTTAACACCAAGATCATGATGTGAATTCTACAAGGTCATGATTGGTTACTAAATGGAATATATGATCATGGTGTTAACCAAACATTTGATGTTTCAAAATTGTCAATCTTAACCACAAGATCATGATATGAATTCTACAAGGTCATGATTGGTTACTAAATGGAATATATGATCATGGTGTTAACCAAACATTTAATGTTTCAAAATTGTCAATCTTAACAACAAGATCATGATATGAATTGTGCAAGGTCATGATTGGTTACTATATGGAATACATAATCATGGTGTTAACCAAACCAAGATATCAAAATCGTCAATCTTAGTCACAAAATCATGATATGGATTCTTCAAAGGAAGTATATTCAGTCAGCTAAAAATACGCATACTATCAATGATTGAGAGACTTTATTATGACAAGAAGTCGTTTTCAAGTTCAAATCTATAAACCATAGACATAAACTGAGTCACTGACTTATGAAGACAGTAAAGTCAACCACCTAAAAAATTATGAATTTCTCCATTCCAATGGCAATTGACTGCCAAGTGTCACAAATAGATCAATGACCTACAATTTGTAAGGAAGAAATACTCATGTACATGATGTTATCGATAATATTTCCCAAGCAACAAGTCCCCGTGAGCTTTAACATATCAGTAAGTCCAAGATGGTACACAAAGTGCAACATTGTTATGACAAAAAGTATAACCCATTTGGTATTATACCGTTATAGTATAAAAACAGTTGATTTGTAATGTACTAACCTCCTACCACGACCAATTTATACTCTGTCATTTGGCTCAAAACACAACAAAATAAAAAATCCTGTTCCGTCACACAGCTATCTTCCGGTCTCCTTCTAAACCTTTAAAACATACATACACAAAATATTTTGTCTATAATGATGTCATGAGTGTCAATAACGTTTGTGAAATGCTTGTCTGAGTGACCTCATTGCGCACGAAGCACACCCATGTCGGTACTATAGTATATCGTAACTGTTTCTGTCAATCGAAAGGAAAAAATGTCTCAGCTACTGAATGCATAAGTATGTTATCAAAAAGCCGTGCTCGCCATTGCCATATTCGAAAAATTTTCAGCATATTATACTATGAATGGACTTCGAGTACAAGACCTTAAACGAATTCATCGAAAATTGGACCAGGAATTTTACGAAAATGAATCTAAAAATAAAATTTGAAACCATTCGATCCTCAGCGTCGAGCACCTGCTGCTATTTTTATTATCCAATAGAAATGCAAGGGTTTAAAGTGTAAATAGAGCGTTATTTCAGTCCTATTATTAGTCTAATATAAAAACGGGCAATAGGTAAAATTTATATATTGATAAAAGAAATTCATGGCCCCTTAAATCATAACATATGTTCAATGGCTATTGAAAGCTATTACGCATTTATTACAATAAAATATGTGTGTTTGAATTGTGATATTATATATTGTGTTATGATTTAGCACATAAGCTACAGGTTGTGCGCAACAGATGGTCGATGTTGTTATACTTCGCACTCATGCATATTTCTCACTACTTGCGATATATCAAAATAAGTTGAAAAGTTTATTTTTGATATAAATAGGCCAATTTCGCATTAATGCGTGTTTACTCCCCTTACGGGCTTTGGAATGGCACAAGGTAGACCGAAAAAACGCCCAACACTAATTTACAGTTATCGTAAAGGTAATTTAATATTATGTAAGAAAAAACGTATCTTCGGAGGTATGGAAAATACCCACAAAACTGGGTCTACGTTTTCTGACTCTACTCTAGCCGATAACTGTCAAAATATCTACCAGAGGTCGGAATAGAGTCAGATGTTTCGGACTAGGTAAAAGGCTATTCATTATTTCAAAAAGTATATCAATACTCTTTCGCTATATCCAGCTATCTCCAACTTTCTCTATTTCTTCGATAGGCCTATCTGGGTTCTCACTTTCTCTTCTTCCCACGTATCTCATCGCTTGCTTTCTCCACATCTTCATATCTTATTTCTCGCTTTCTCTCCTTCTATCCTATGTTCATCTCTTCGCTTATCTGCTTGTTCGCCCATTCTCCACTTCCCATCTCTTTCCCCCTCAGCTTCTCATCTCTTGCTTTCTCGCCTTTCCCCCTCATTTCATTTCTTGCTTTCTCTCCTGTCCTCCACATTTCATCTCTTGCTTCATTTCCGTCCATCACATCTCAACTCTTGCTTTCTCTACATGTTCGATATTTCATTTATGTTTTTTTGCTCTATTTCCTTCAGATCCCATTTCTTGCTATCTCTCTCGTCGTTCACATCTCATCTCTTTGTTTTCTCTCCTTTCCTCCACATCTTACCTCTTTTTCTTTCCTCCTTCCGTCTAATCTCTTGATTTCTCCTATCTTTTCATCTCGGTTGCCTTTTACTTATTTTTTCAACATCTCACCTCTTAAAACTTTCAAAACTAGATTTATGTCGTTTTTCTGCCTTCAAAATCGTTTAACCCCATCTCATCGTTTCAATTTCCACACGCATATTATCAGCATATTCTTCACCCATTTTTATACTTTTTCTTATTCTTTCGGAATATTCAAATTCCTTAATATATCATGTGAGAAAACGAGTTTAATATTAAATCTGTAACTATATTTTTTTCCAGTACTGTTTGACAAGAGATTGTGTAAAATTTATGATGAAGGGAGGTAACGCTTTTTTATACGATAGGCGACAGACAACACTTAGTTTTGAGACACTATATTTTGATGCAAATGTTTCGTTTATTCCGAAACATCTACCTCTATTCCAGCCTCTGACGGTTTTTTTAACGGTTATCGACTGACACCAACTGACAGCCTTCAAAATAGCTATCAGAGGCTGGAATAGAGCAGTGGTTCCCAGCCTTTTGTAGCCTTCACACCCCTGGAGAAATCACCTGCAGGACCTTTCTCACAGCCAGAAATGTGTTTCATCCAAATTTTCAGCATGTGTTGATGTGAGGTGCTCTCTCCTACATCAGTTGGCCACAACCTGATACCCTAGTCCCACAACCCCGGGGTGAAAACACCCCAGGTTGGGAACCGGGGGAATAGCGGTAGGAATGGGGGCAAAGGTTTCGGTCTACTGTAGTTTATCAATCTCGATAGCCATCTATCCGAAATGCTCCGAAAACTTATCGACTGCAACAGTTATAAATAATTGAAAAATGTTGCTAAATTATGACTAGGTTTTTTCACTTTTAGTTACCTAAACGCGCGTATAAATAAAAATTTTCTTAAAACCTGATTATTCATGTTCTCTTGATTTCTGGAAATAGAAATACCTAGAGAAGCCTCAAAGATCAGTTTTTCCGATCATATTCGTAATTGGAAACTCAAGTAAATGTCATAGTGTGTCCCGCAATACTTGGGAAACCACACCACAGAAATAGCAGCCAAGAAGCTCCGCATTTTTTGCAATTTTCGAAACAGAACATTTTATTACAATGTTACGCTTTCTTAAGTGAGATAATATCAATGCTACCACTTGTTTTCGTCCCCTTTTCGTGTCTCCGGTGTGGGTCGAAAATTCTATTGTTAACCTTGAAAATGTAAACTGAGCTGTCAGATTTATCTACTGAGACAACAGCTGTCCACATGGCCCGACATTGTTGTCATTCTAAAAATAGACATGACGTTTTCCCTTCTGGACCAATCAAATTGCAGTATTTCCCATCTCATTATCTGGAGCGCGCATTTCAGATACGCCATTTTTTAATCCGAAACGTGTTTTGGTGTTTATTTTATAAAATTTTACTGTTTATATTGAATATTTATCAACTTTTTATTTTTCTAATGGTTATGGATGCCAAGGTGAAATTAGATGGATGACGAAGCAGCCCTTTTACATATTGAGGGGTGAGTAAATAAAGAAATGAAGTGGCAAGTGAACAAAGCCGCCCATTTTATTTTGCAAGCTGATGTGTCATATCATAAATAAATATTTCCCCGTTCCGTTATTCAATGAAGTTTGCACCTAGCTTATCATTTTGAAAAAAAGTATGTGTACGTCTTTAATCTTTGAAAAAATGAGTTAGGATTAAATATGATTTGGATTGTCCTTTAGCTGGATTTTACGGATGAATGAATCTGCTATATTTGGCTGGGAAGTGGGACTGGGGTAGGTGTTTGGAAAGGTCAGGTCAAATGACAGCAGACGGACTGTCGTTAGTGAACCGTGACAATGGCTGAATAGGCACAGTTCTTTGGTGTTAAAAAGTCTCTCACGAAATTGTTGGTATAATCAATACTTGATTTGAACTCGTGTATGAAAATTGGTTCTGCTTCTTTACTGATGCAGTGCTGGTTTTCATGAGATAATGGCGCAGAAATGAGCGTGAATTGTGGAATCCATGATGTCATGCAACGATGACGTTTCAATGCCGTAATCATGTCTATTTATAGAGCAAGAATGCATTTCTCAGCTGATTTTCAAATAAATGAAGTCTTTTAATTTTAAAGTTTATGTATTCTTGATGTAGTGCAGACTGTCAAGCTTATATGATCATAACATAATGATCAGCTATACATTTTATATAAGAGATAGAAAAAGGTGAAATTTGGTCAAGTTCTTGTCAACATAATGTCAGCACCAATTTTTGAGGTTTGCTAGTCCAACTGGACCCTGTCTGTTTTTTTGCATTGGTGCAAAACTGTAGATGGAATGGCAGACCCATTTTAGGAATGGTTGTACCTGAAATGAAGGAGTAAAGCTTATGATTTGATGAGGAGAGAATGACAGGCTATTTCCATATGCATAGGCCTTGATTAACATTAACATTAACAGCTAACATAAGATTATTTTCATCTTTTCAGAATCGAAAGTTCTCAGTCATCTTGTAGTGAGGACGAATCAGATGATAGTCGACAAATAGACCATGATTATAATCAGTCTCATCTTCAGTTAAAAACCAGTTACAATCGTGGCCGTTGGTCAAAAGAAGAGGTAAATATTTTAATGCATTCTTGAAGGCTACAAGATTTAAAGTCTGGTTTGTGTAATAACCAATTCAATGCCAGAAATCATAGATTGTAAGCTTAGCCTGTACCAGACCTTTTGGTACTTATTTGTAATGGAAACTTAAATATTCTTATTTATGAAGTCAAGAAGTCAAGACTTTAGTTTGATAAATTATGTTGTACATAATAAAGATGGTAGATCAAAGCCAAAGGTGCCAAATATCTTTTGAAACAACACTAATCCTACAATATTTTAGTCTACTGTATTTACATTGAAATAGCCCATTGTTTTGTTTGACTGTGTTAAAGGTGTGATAGAGTGGTCTAAAGTGTCAGACTTAATGCCTACTGTGTCAGACATAATTGGCTCATGCTTGACAGTTTTCAAACCCTAGAAGATCTCTTTATTAGTTACCTTGGCCAGGGCTTTACATAGGAGTACACTCTTATTACTGAATTTTCTTGCAATTGTTTCCCCTTGTTTTTCAGCAAGCTTAATATTTAGCTTGTGCCTTTGGACTTAATTGTATGATAATTTATTTGTAGGATGAGAAATTAAAAGGGATTGTAGAATCATATTCTGGATCTGTTGATTGGAGACAAGTTGCTAGTTTATTTGGTGATAGATCAGATATTCAATGTCAACATCGTTGGCTTAAAGCTTTGAATCCAGATTTAATTAAAGGTCCTTGGACAAAAGAGGTAAACAATTTTGTAAATTTAAATAAGACAGGAGCATAACTTTAAAACCAAATTTCAGAACTCACGAAATATTTTATTTTTGAACTTGTTAACTCTTAATTGTGATATTTGCATTTTACTGTTTTATTTTATGCATGTTTTCCTGAGGTAGCCTACCTTAAGTTAAAGGATTTTAAAGAGCTTTTCTAAATTTTGCTTACTAACACTGATAGCAACGATTTGCACCATTCAAATTCTGCATTTCTACAAAAACTCATTGTTTGATGACCTTCCCAAAATTGCCTACAAGAAAATGAGCCAAACATCAGATTTGAGCATATCAAAATTGTTCATTTATGTCATTATTGTAAATAACTATAAAACAAGTGCTCAATGTCAATGTTTTTATTGTGATTCCAGGAGGACGATAAAGTAGTAGAGTTAGTTGTAACTTATGGTCCTAAAAGGTGGACACTGATATCTAAACATTTACGTGGACGTACTGGAAAACAGTGTCGTGAAAGGTAAGCTTATATCATTTTAATCAAATCATTAAATACAGTCAATGTGTTGAGTTCATAGATAAGACATCTCTTGGTAAGAGATAGAATTGCAAATAAACTGCATTAACAAATGTTTCCCTCTTACATATTTGGAAAAAAAACCAAATGTGGAATAGCAGTACATTTTCAATCTTGGTGCACTGGTTGCCTAGTAATGAGCTTTTAATTCAACTAGACGCTTACCCCTTTCAACTAACGCAATATATACCCAATCAGCCGTTATACCAGCTGACGTCATACAACGTTAACGTCATACGCTTTTACTTTTATTAGTTCATGGTATATGACGTTATAATTTCATTTACACTCAGGGTTCAAAGGGTTAAGTTTACTGAAGTCTTTTCTAAAACTTTGTTTTTTACTTGTCAAGGATTTTTTGACAATTTATGTTTCAAAATTTTGTCATGGAATTTGATATGGTCAAATTTAAAGAATTCTTCTATTTTCCTTGCAGGTGGCACAATCATTTAAATCCTGACATTAAGAAAACAGCTTGGACTGAACAAGAGGACAACCTTATATACCATTTACATAAAACATTTGGTAATAGGTGGGCAGAGATAGCTAAATATTTACCTGGTCGAACAGATAATGCTATCAAAAACCACTGGAATTCCACCATGAAAAGAAAATGTGAACTTGAAGAAGCAAGAGAAAGGGTGACACCTCAACAGACAATTTATAATCACCCATATACACCTAGTTCTCAGAATAATACGTGGGTACAAAGTATAGCACCTGTACAGCTATTTCCTTCCTTTGACGATGGTGAGTTATCAGTTTATTTACTTGAAGGGGTTTAAATCTTTATGTGTATCAGGGTCACTTATTGCGTCGATTTGAACAAATCAAATTTTTAGTCGGACATCTGTGATTCTTGCTATGGCATTATTTGCAGCTTTTGCTTGCATGATGCAAATAGAAACCAGAATGTGCAACCAAGACAGTTTTATTTTTAAGAAACACTAGATGACAGCAATTTTTCGACAAATTGACAGTTTTCACTACTTTTAACCAGGAAAGGATGTCATGCATTTTGTAATTTTTGCATATTTTTTTTTGTAGGAAATGGAGAGGTTGGAATTCAAATCCCTTTTACAAATACTTCTAATTTATCTGCACCACTCAAGTAAGTCATGAGACAGCTGCAATGCTGAAAATTAAATGCAGAAGTTATCTATTTAGATTAATGGTCAATTTGTTACGTTATCATTGGTACCAAAACTGTATCATTGATAGTCATGCCAAGATAAGCTTACTTCTGTACATCTTGGTCCAATTCTGAACATAACACTGAGTGTGAATAAGATATAACATATAACCTCAATGTTAATGTCACTTAATGGCAACATCAGCTTCACGGGTTGAGATCACTTAAAGGGATTGTAAAGAGGTTTTCTAAATTTTTTATGTGTATCAGGGACACTAGTAGCATCAATTTGCACCTTTACAATTTTCAATTTGAGTAGAAAACTTAGAACCACAGATGTCTGATTGAAATTCGGAATGGCTAAAATTGATGCTATCATTGTCCTCGATGCACTTAAAAAAATGTAGAAAACCTCTAAACAATCCCTTTAAATATGTGGCCAGTAGAGCGACCCACTAGTGTTTGAAATTATTAGTACACAGCATCAATTAGAAGTTTATATGACTGAAAATGTTTATTTTAGGTCATTAGTAACTATACCTGTCATTGATAACAATGATGTAGATGATAATGGTTTTAATGGTATTTCATCATTAGATTTAATAAGTGGTACCAAATCAGCTACTGGTGTTACACCTATAAAATTTACTAGATTAAATGAGAAAGGCACTACAGGTAAAGCATGGTGTTTACTTATTTAATTTGTTAGTTATATGTATAAAGCATGTCGTTTCGCTCCCTCCACCCCTACAATCTGATCTAACTAACTGTCAGTCAAATGTCACATGTTTGAGAAATTCTTAATGCAATAAATTTTAACTTAATAGAAAATTTATCCGATGCTGATTGGATGAAAAAATGTGAGTTAGGTTTAAAATTCAGTAAAATTTAGTAAAGATTTCATTATGCATGTTATCCTTGTTTTTGTACGAAGATTGATAATCACAAAAATTTTATTATTGTAAATATTTCAGGTATAAGATTTGATGGCCATGCTGTAGGCAAGTTAAAGAGTCCAGGTACTCTAATACCTATTTTATCACCTGTAGCATCCAGACTTAAATCACCACCAGCTATACTGAGAAAAAGTCACAGGAAAAAGGTGAGATTCTTTATATATAGACTTAAAAACACAAGAGTTGATAACATTTGAGTCATCGTACTTGGAACTCAAAATTGTCTAAGGTCTAAGTATCTTAAAAAAAATGTTTTCCAAATCATTTCACCTGATGAAGTCAACGACGAACAAATCTCGTAGAATGAAATACTTTAGTCACTCTTAAACGGTGTCATCAATCCATTTGTTTTCTTTATTGGTATGCCAAGTTGACAAACCAAATCATCACATCACACAAACCAGGCAGGGCTGTCTCATGTGTGAACTTTGAAGGGAATGCTGAGTTGACTAACTCAATTACACCTCTTAAAGGATGAGAAACTCATACATTTCTAAGGACAACCACCTTTGTTAATTGTGTATTCCCTACCTGTCTAGTCACACCCATCACATTGTTATGATGCAGTGGATTTTATATTCATATATGTGTGGTCATTTCAGAGACACTCATCATGTAGAAGTGAGTCTATAATGTTAGTAAAAGGAGAGAAGATAGATAATGAGATTAATATAGAGAACGAAGCTCCTCATGATGATCTTGATGATTCTACACATTATGATAACCTAACACCTAACACGACACCTATTAAAAACCTACCATTCTCTCCTTCACAGGTATGTCTCTATAAAATAATCTTTAAACGTCTAGCTAAACTTTGTTTCAACTTATTTTGTGATTCTGCATTTCGAGGCTATCTGGTAGTTAGATTCTTGCTCGCTTACCTAGGCATCTAAGATTGAATGTTGGTATAGGTTCAGATTTTTCAACCTGTTTCCTACTTTCACTGATGCAGGTCAAGGCAACTAACATGGAAAAAACATCAAGGCAGTAGGTGGGACAATTAACTGCTGTGTGCTAGATCTTCTCAAAATGGCCTGAAAGACTCTTTAAAAGTTTACTACCTCTTAGGATGAACATAAAATTTAATTTCTCAAACTTGGTCCACAGGTGTATATATTTATCAGTTGGAAACCAGAAACCATGACTGAAGAATAGAATCTCTATTAAACTAAATATTATAAGGCTTCTAAGCATGTTTCAAAATTACTAAAGAATTATTAATTATTTGTATATAGACTTATTGGATTATAGAGGGATTTTATTTTTGGTTATGACACAAGGTGATAAAAAACTCATTTTAACCAAGTGTTAAATTTCAACTTTTTGATCATCCTAAGAGATAGTATACCTTTAAGCTAAATTCCTCAAAGTGATGATACTTACTTTGGATCAGCCATTAATATTGTAAAACTACTAGCTAATATGAGTTTTTTGTTACATTTCAGTTTTTAAACAGTCCAGATATGTGTTTACCATTCTCTGGTAAAGTAACATCAACACCAGTTAATAGAAATAATAGTTCAAGTTCTGGTGTAGATAGTTTATCTACTCCTGCTGTTAAACTAGATATCAGGTAGATTAACCTAATATTGTAGTTTTTAAAAAAAGAAATTGACTTATTAAGTCGAGGTAGAGATTCAAACTGGCTTTGAACTATGCTCAAGTGTGTTATTTTCATTTTACAGACCATACGTAGTTTAGTATGGTATTGTCCATCAGGACTCAGAGATTAAACATTTCCACATTTGAAATTGGTCCAGGATACTTTCATTTGCATTGAGATTTACTTCCTGATGCTGACTAAAAGTGCGGGAACACATGCGGTCTTGGTCGGAAATTTTTGTCGCTGATTAGAGTCTTGAGTAAAATCTTTCGTGTTCCCGTGCTTCCAAGACAAGATTATCGCGTCTCCGACAGGATTTATAATATCAAACAAGTTTGATAATTGTCTCTGATAGTTTTATCGTCTGCAAGACAATCCGTCATTATCCAATCAGATTTTCAATATCATGATCCAATTATCGACATAGTGGAAAATGACCGACTTAAGATTGTTTGTCCCCTCCTGTGGCCGCACCATAATGCACAAAGCCAGAATTTAGCTTTGCTTTGTCCTCTGCTTCTGTTTACCACAATTCTGAGTTACTTATTATTTGATATTTTTGTTTGACAGTAACAATAGTAAATTAAATACACCAATAGTAAAGAGATCTATGTTAGAGATGTCACCTCGTACACCAACACCATTTAAAAATGCTATGGCAGAAGTAGTCAGACGAGCTGGTAAACTCAGTAAATGGGTAAGTACCTTCTTCCAATCTTTCTGAATATCTGTCGTCTGCATTGTAAGTATCCCATGCACACTTCAATACTATTTTGTAAGATACACACACATCATTAAATTTCATTTTACCCCCGTTGGATAAAACATGATGGCTGATTTAAAGAGGTCAATATTCAGCTGTCAGTCATTCTCGCGGATCTGTGAATGTTATGTAAAAACTATTAAAGAAGGCTATTTGAATATGGACAATAAGATATGTTATATATTGTAGAGTCCTAATCAGTTAGCAGAAGATATAGATAAAGTTATACAGAATGATACGTGTGGTGATACAGGATATGAAGCTGATCTATCAGTGATTACACCTAAATCAGGCAAAACACATAAACGAAGACACTTAAAACAGGTAGGCTTAAAGGGATTGTAAAGAGGTTTTCTAATCTTTTTATGGGTATCAGGGATACTTTTGACTTGTATTTGGGACATTCTAATTCTTCGTCCGATGTCTGGATCCTGCAATTCCTAAAAGAGTTAACCGAAAATGACACAGCTTCCACAAGGGAATACGTAACCAACCTACCACCAGACCACAATTAATAGTATATTATCTCCCCTTGTTGACTCATTCACATTAATTACCATTACTACATCTTACAAAACTCTTTACTATGCCATAAATTGCTTAGTTTTTATGGAATGGAAGAGTTGTATGATATTTGTGCAAATCACAGCGCTTAATATCGTGATGATAAAATGGTTGGTTTTGAATACTGCTACTATTGGACTTGATTTACCAAATGTTGCCTCACTGTATTCAAAACCAGCCATTTTATAATAAATAAATAATTTTGCGCTGTGATTTGCACAAATATCATACAATTCTTCCATTCCGTTGGACAAAACAGTTTTTTTGTGTTTGTTTTATTATATTTGAAACTAATTTATACTTCTATATATAGCAAACTGGAAGTAGAAAGAGAGTAAGACAATCATTAGATGAGAAATGGTCTAATCAGTCAATAAATAGAACTCAACCTGAAGTTTCATTATTATCACCAGAAACACCGGTAGGTATCTTATTACTTTCATAATATTTCAAATTACTTTGATGTTCCTGCAACAAAGATATAAGTGCGAATTGTAATTTTAAGATAGTGCAGACTTGTAAATAAAGATCTCTCTGCTATTGAAAATCAAATAATTTAGGTTATTGCACCTGTCCCTGCAATAGTTTCCACATTGCACACTGCATGTCATTGCCATCAGCTGGATCAGGTGCTCCATTTCATTCCATTTTGAATAATCTAAAAGTTCATGTACGGTATATATTTTACAGAGTAAATCATTAGTAGGTGATACAAGTTTGGTGTTTTCACCACCATCTATAATTAAAGATACCTTGCCTGAAGAAGTTATAGATGATATCTTTTCTCAACCCAAAATAAAAAAGGTAGGACTTGACTCCATGTGTGGTACATTAAGTAGGTACACGAAAGATCCTTATAGATTTTGATGTCTGCTAGCTGTTAAAAATATCATGATCAGAATGCAGTCAGACTAAGTTTAACTGGTTGCTGACGATTTGGAAACCCTGATATTTTCTCACTTTTAACTGGAAATATGTTATATAAAATTACCCAGGATTTTGTTAATGTTTTGGTAATTATTTACATTTTCTTGTGTTTTTTTTATTAATAGAATGAAAGAAGATCAAGTAAGAGAATTATGTTCAGTGAAACACCACCAAAACTCTCTTCAAAGGTAATTTGAATTCTTTTCATATTATTTGAGGGCAATATCAAAAAATCAAATGAATAGAGTTTTACGTCCTACTCTTCTGCACCTAATAGGCTAATGAAAACAGGCAACGCTAAACAGTGTGCAATGAGGGAAATTTGCCAGGACAGCAGCATAAGCTTACTCTATTTCAATTTCCAACTGTCTAGGGATTTTGAATGTGCTCAGCTTGTAGGACAAGGGATCTCGGTTTATTGTCCCATCCGCTTGACTAGACATCAGGGTTAAACAAAATTCAAGATTCAAAATATACAATAAGATTCTTGATGCAGTATCTCAAAATGCTTGCACACATTCATGGACACTATTACAATCCTGTAAACTACTGTAATTTCTTAGTTATGCATTCATTTTGGAATAAAGATATCGGCAGAAATAAAAACAGAAAATTTTGCAAATGTCAAAAGTATATCTATGTTTCAGTTTATATACTTTATTTTATTTTTAGCTGGATTTGAATTATGAGAAGGTAGCCTGTGGTAAAACGAAAGATCAAACAGAAATGACAGAATTAGCTAAATATTATTTAACTTCTTTGAAACCTAGAACTTTAGTGTTGTAGGATTCAATTTCTTGTATCCATTTTGCAAAACCAATCAGCGATCTTTTTGCTATGATAAGCAAAAATTATATTTAATTATGACCATCTGCTAATCAAATCAAATTATTTGGTGAATTTAACATGCTCTATTCTGATAGATAATGCATGGATATAGGGCTTAAAAATACTAAAATAACAATGGGATAAAGGATTGTCTTCCATTCCCTGTTATTTGAAACTTGGGATATCTTTAGTAGTTAGTTAAGAAGATATTGGAAAAATCTAAAGGACACAATAAAAGAGAGATTTCTCCAGACATCATTTATAACTATTGTCTGACCAAAGTAAAAGGTTTTTTAAATTTTCCCATTATTTTTATGAGAATTGGAATAGCAGCCTCTTAATAGTAGAATGTGTTTGCATTGATTTTGTCTTTGAATTCTGTTTTAACAGAGGAAAATTTCAGCCAAAATGTTTATAGACTTTTTGGTTGAAATTTCTAGGAGGGAAATGTGTTTCTTTTCAATATAAACTTAAGACATTCCAAGACTTTTCGACAGTACTAATTTGAGGCTGATATTCCAATCTCTTAAAAAAAATAGAAAAAGTACAAAAAACCTTTAGTTTTGCTCAGACAATAATTGTATATTGATGAGTTGAAAGAATATGATTTGTGTATAATAATAATTAATTGTATACTGTGATTACCAGTTGTATAATATACTGATTATTATCTTTGTATATTTTAATTAGTTTCAAACTTATTTTATAATACCTAATTTATAAAAACTTCTCACCTTATAATAACGTTCATGAAATTATACCTTAATTATTTTTGTATATTTTAATCAGTTAATCAACATAAGCTTATGTCTCCTATTTCACCTTCAATTCTCAATTTTTAGAGATCTTAACTTAAGGTGCAAGCACACGAGCAGTCTTGGTCTGAGATTTTTTGTTGCTGACTACAGTCTTGTCAAGAGTTTTGTTGACTGACATTAGCACACGAGGAGACAAAAATCTCCAGTCGGATGTTTCCACCTTGTCGATAATCACGTGCGGAGCATGCACTGGAAAGGAAAATGAATCTGATTGGATGACGGTTTGTTTTGCAGACGATAAAACTAGCAGAGATAATTATCAAACTTGTTTGACATTATAAATCCTGCTTGTCACAGGAACACGTGAGATTTTACTGAAGACTCTAATCAGCGACAAAAAACTCCGACCAAGACCGCTCGTGTGCCCACATCTTGATCAATCTGTGGTTAATATTAACAATTTGTGGCTATTGAAATTTTTCTCAGGCTGGAGAAAAACTAGATTTATATTTTGTAGAAGTAGATTATTTTATTATCAGTATATTTTTTTGTAAATATTAGATTTGCTATTTATATTAGATGTAGAAAAAAAAAGAACAAAAAATGTCCTATTTGTTAAGAAAATTCGTGATTTGTTTTATTTATGTCTTTATTTGTTTTTGCTTGTTATATTTTTAACTCTTGATTTTGTAATTTTTGTTGCAAGCTTGTCAGACCTAGTGTGAAATTTTTCATAATTTCACAATTTTAACACAACTTTTTTGCTTTGTGAAAATGACTCTGTGGACACTTGATCAGCAAATTTTCAACCAGACATTGAATAAAACCGTTGGGAATAGAGTATGTTCTGATAAATAGTAGATGCAGTCAGGGACAATTTTTAATGTGACTTAATCTTGTTCCATACCTTTCTATTGGGACCAGAATTGCAACAGAACTTGTTCAGAACTAACCAATCAAGCACCACCCTTATGAGATATATCCTTCATTTGGTAACTTGGAATAGATGTTTCTTTTTCCATGTGAAAGATTTTCCTATTGATAGCAGTGTTACTTAAATAGCTTTGAAAATTTACCTTTTCTTATTAAGAAAGATTCAAATGAGGTTTTCTACCAGAGTCACTTCTAATTGCACCAGTCCAATTTCTTGTCTGTGGTTACTCCAAGTTTTTCAGGAATTACAGGAACCAAAGATATCAAAAGGAAAAAAAAGGTGCCAATAGAAACTAGAGTGTTCCTGATACAAATAAAGCTTATTTTTTTTCATTGATTATTTATTGTGTATGTTGTCTTATTTTATTGTTGTTTTAATGTGAATTATAATTTGGAGTGCTAGTATTGTACATGTTAGATTATCTGAATATCATTTAAAACTATTTAAAAAAAAAAAATCATCTGTATATATAACCCAAATTCGTGTTTTTATTTGAATTGCTTCATCATTATTGAGCCCATAACATATTGGAATTATTAAGCAGTACAGCTAACCAAGGTCTAGATCAGTAATAAGCTAAGAAACTTTTAGGAAAATATTGCAGATAGTCAACCTCAGTGTATTGGGTAAAAAAAGTTTATCAAATTCTCTCCAATCAATTTTCTTAATTCAAAAGCAATCTACATAGATAACTGTGTCCATCTCAGCTGCTGTCCTTGCAAAGTTTCCCTCATTGTACTCTGCATGGCGTTGCCTGTTTTCATTAGCACACATGGTAACAATCTTCAAAAAAAATTGCCATTTTGCTTTTCTTGTTTCAACTCCTTAAACCTGCAACATTGCCATATAACTAGTTGAGGAAATTTCTGCATACATGGAATTGAGATGATTTTTATCTTTTTGGCCCAAATTTGTCAGAATGCGCAAAATCAATTCAATTTTTTTTAAATTTTCTAGGGAGTAGTATCTCAGACGCTCCATGAGAGGCTGGGGAAAGACACCTCCATAGAGTTGGCAAATTTTGAATTCATAGTCTGGGAAGGCTAGATCTCCACTGGTAGATGGGTGACAAATAACTAGTACTGTTGTTTTGAAATATTTATAATTGTTTGATTTGTAAAGAATAAAATATATTAAGATGGAGGTGTTTGAGACATAGTAGTTAAAGATTGAAGACTATTTTCAACACCATTCAAATTAGTTTGCCAGCTTGTTAATTTCTGTCTTAATAGTTGCCACTGTTGTTTACCAAATGTACGATGAGTTGTCCAATTTATCAAAACTTTTTTCTGCATTTGGTCTATGGAGGCTGATACAGTTTTCGTTCTCAGAACTGAAATAGATAACATTAACTTAATATCTATCGGTAATGACGACAAGTAAAAAAATTTTGAAACGTGAAATTAAGGTTCTTTTGCAACAAAAGGCCATTTTTAGTTTTTCTGACCTAAAACAGTGTGAAACCAACATTTCATTTGATTTTCCCAAAATTCTTAGCTTTAACAACTTTTTTTTAAGGCCATGGTCTACCATTTGAGGGGATTGATTTGGGTCTTCAGAGAGAACTGAATGAAAATCGTATAATCCCTTCAAATATAGTTTAAACTTGAAATTTCGCTTTCTTTTTTCTATATATGTATTTTCTAAATTGCAGAGTATCTAGAAAAGATGAGTCGTAATTTAAACTTTCAAAAGCAGATTATTTTGTAAACACATGAATTTGAAAGCTCCATTTTTGACGGTGAGCTGTGAACTCCACGAGATTTTTAAGGTACAATTGTTCAAACGGATGGCCTGTCCTTTTAAATATCTATAATCAAACATCTAATATAGAAATAATTACCATTGATAATAAATTCTTCTACATCATCTTCATCAATTTGCATTTCTTTCTGTATTGTACCAAAATCTATTTCTTTTCTATTTTCAACGGATTGCATAAAAGTTAAAACTCGCATTTTCTGTATGTTTTCTTCATGTTTCAAACCTGGAAGTAACAAAAACAGTATAAAGCTTTTTAGAACAAAATTGGGATGCATGAAGGCAATTATGTTTTGAAACTTTGGAGGGTTTTATAAGGTTTGTCTGCTGGTCGAAATTAGAAACATACTATAAAAAATATGCCTCCCGGAAACCACAATCTTATTCTAGCATTTATTGTTAATCTAACAGGAAAAAAGTGCTGATTTTTCAATAATATAAATGCCTAGTTACAACATCAAAAACAATATCCATTGGATATGAAGTAAAATTTTCATATCAGTAATAAAACCAAATGAATGGAGTTTTACGTCCTACTTTTCTGCACCACGTATGTAAGCAATGAGTAATGATCCAATAGTTAGCAAAATAGAGGAATGTGTATCACTAATCGCAAAATATGCTTCATGTAATTAGTGATGTTATCAAAAACTTAGTTTTTGTGAAATTGCAGGAACCACACACGTCTGATTGAAAATTGTAGTGGTGCCAATTGATGCTATCAGTGTTTCAGATACACATAATTTTTTATAAGAAACCCTGCTTTACTTCACTTTAGTAAAATAAAAGACTTACCAAGGAAAGTTGTAACAAAGTCTGTATTATTTTTATAGAATTGTTGATATTGTGTTAATCTACCAGAAACAAATATTGTTAACAGCTGAAATAAACCATTAAAATCAGTCAGATATAAAAAAAAAATTCTATTCAATCAAATATTTTGTACTGTTTGCCATCATTATATGCTATTGAGTTTAAGTTATGTCAGCTTTTGATGCTATTGGGTCAAAGGTTGACAGATCATGGATAAAAGCATGGCAACCTGCAGAAAAATGAAGCAAAGCATCTAGTTCAGCATTCCAAAAATATCGAAGAAAACAAGCCAGTCAAGAAGTATGAAGGAAAGGAAACCAAACTCACATCATGTATAGACTCTCCCTCTAAAAATTTGACAGGTTTTAATGAGAGTAGATGATCCATTAAAAACATATTTTTATCAGCTAAACAAGTCACAATACATTTCTGAGCATCTTCTCTAGCTTGGGATGCATTATCTTCTGTATAGGTTCCTAATAATTCTATTAACACTTTAGTTGAATCTCTGAAAAGTTGATTTTAAAGAATTATAATCGTACCATATACACTGTATGACTTGTATTATTGCAATATCTAATTCCTTTTTAATTAATTCTACCTTCATTACTGATAGTCCTGGACAATCATGGTGTAAAATTTAGCAAATGAGCCAAACTGGCTTAAAAAATATATATAGTTGCCTAAATAATTGTTTTTCACGCCTGTTGTATCATTTTTCAGATGGAAAAAATGATATCTGGTTTGTCTGTGATCAAAGAAAGTATTATGACAACACCAGTCTATGACTGTTATTTTCAAATGCAAATACTATTACATGACTTTATAATGATGGTAATATTGACATGGGAGAATGTAAGTAATTGCTAGGATTATTAAACTCGCTTCTACCGAAAGACCTTTATTTTTGCAAACTAAGAGTCAGATTTTCATTTAAAAATGTTACAGATAAATGGAATCAAAACATATAATCATTAACAATCAGTTCCACTTACCAATACAAAAGAGGGATTTCAATTAAGAATGTATCACAAATATTTAATATTTTTGGAGTGATTGTAGTGATTGGACATCCCAAGATCCAAGTTTTGGGATAGGGGATATGACTTAAAAAAAACTTACTGTGCCTTGGCTTGAACTAATGCATTATGTAACGTTCTTAACAATGTCTGTACCTTTTGTGAACTTATATCCCATTTAGCAATCCATACTTTAATCTGAAAAAAATTAATTTTATCTTAGACTCAACTTACACAAGATAGCTATCATTCTGGCTGAAAAACTGGGTTTTCAAATAAAAATCTGTCTGCTGGTCGAAATTAGAAACATACTATAAAAAATATGCCTCCCGGAAACCACAATCTTATTCTAGCATTTATCTTATAATATTCAAACAGGTACTCTGAATATCTCGAGTGATAAATGCACCTTTGTTTACCCCTTTCTATACTCTAAATTTTTTTAGACTACTTGTTCTCAACTGGTATCAATACTCCTTTCGTTCAACAGAAAGTGTTCTTGAGAAAACTGATAAAGACCTTGTCACAAAATGCCAGTGCTTAAGAGGGTATAAATTTGATTGGTTTAAGCAAATGTCAATCAGTTAGGTCAAAAGGTTAATTTGACGTTAAACGTTAAAGAGGGCTGTTGTTAGACCCTAACTGAAGCGCTTATAAAAAAAGCGCTTGGTCTAATTTTTCTTCATTAAATGAAATAACTTCACAATACCTCATCTAGATTTGTAGGGGCCATGTGTAACATATCAGCCTGTCCTGCTAGTCTGACTAAACTTAAATATACAACATATCTTAATGGTGACGCTGCCTCTACACCATGAAATAAATTACACAGCCTGTAAGGTAATAAAGAAAAGAAAATGTTTAAAATCGACTCTCTTCATTATGCTACCTAAAGCATAGAGCTTTCAATCACTTACATACAGGGATCCCAGCAAGGAATTACAAAATAATAGAGGAAATATTAGCAGAGGGTCAAGGGAGCCATAATCTCCCATATTGGGTACAGGTGGAGCTTTAAATATTCTAAGATGTTTTGGAAGTCATATAGGAGTCTTTCTATCCCTCAAACCAAATACTTATTGTTTTTATTCAAAAATACAACAAAGTTCCACTTGCCAATAAAATATCATTCTTGCATTTTCCAAATTTTGTTCAAGTCTTGTGCGATTTCCAAATTGATTGTAAAGAAACTTCATTTGCCAATTAAGTCTGATTGAAGTTCTACTATGTTATTTTGGTCTTTCGTGATATTCATGTGCCAGTGTTTAGCTGATCATTTTCATGGTAACCCAGTATGTCTGACAGTAAAAAGTTCAAAGCAATAGCCCCTCTTTTCATTATATACAAAATATACAAGGATGTATAAGTGTACAGCAGAACTTACATTTTTAATCGTATGTTGATTCTTTTGTCATTTGAAGGAGCTTTGCCCACTTTCTCACAAAATAATGTGACAACACTTTCTGCTTCATTTGGTGGTAATAATAATACTAATGATATAATACCATTAAATACCATTTCAATTTCTGAAATAGAAATTGCCAATTCTCAAAAGGGGCTATATCTAGGCTTTCATTAAACCTAATATCAAAAATAATACATGGAGCAGAAAAATCTTTGCCTTCGATAAGTGAATAAAGCTCATTTAACACCACAGACATGCGTTTCGGATACAAACTACTCCCCAGGACAAATTCAAGGCTCAGTCCTTAAAAGTAAATGAAACATATGGATCTTGAAGAGGAAATACCAACCACCGTCATTGTTCAGTTCTTTCCAGCAAATGTCACTAGCTTCAATAATATTCTTCAGATCAACCAATAAACCAGCTTCTGCATTTTCACCAGATATTTCTGCTCCAGATGATTTCAAAAAGCTTCTTAACTCTGCAGTCTGTTAAAAAAAATCAATTGATTAGCCTGAATATGATTTTTGTTTAATTGCACAGGACTTTTGTGATCTTCTCTCCAGATGATAGCGATGGGCTTATAAAATACAGACTGACACAATGACAACATATTATCATGCAGTGTGCAATGAAGAAAATTTTGTCAGGACATTTGCTAGAATTTGATCATGTTTTTAATTTCAACCTATTGAAGGATCTCAAGAGTAAAGCCAAAGGGTCCTAGACCTAGGGTTATTCTATCCATTGTCCATTTAAACCAGTGGGTCTAAGGAACCACTCAAAAAGCTGACAAATCTTTTGGTTTGACAGTAACAGACTGCAATATTTACAACCGGAAGTGGATATTTGGCATGATCGACACATGTTTCGGCATATGTTTCAAGTCATATTTTCAACATCCACACAAAAGAATAATTGTTCCTCATAGAATCCGTGTTATAAATCAGTAATTAGTTTTTCGATAATGTTGAAAATGGTTAGGTTCTGATTCATACCTGATCTTGAACAGCAATATCAATTATTACAGGGATACTCATGCTGTCGGCTCCCAAAAATGGCGTAGAATGGGAAACTGTAATGAAAGAATTTGATTGGTTAATAAAAAACAAAATCGTAACCTAATGTATAATACACCTAAATATTGTCCGAAAATATCTATTAAAAAATACATTGTAAAAATTATTGAAATCCACAGTTTCAACAATGTACCTCATTAATACAACCATACATCCTAAAAGGGATATCTATGTGGACAAACATATATTCGGTAGTCAAAAGGATAATGCCATTAGTCTTTTAACTACCGAAGACATCACTAGGTTTGACATACTTTAAGGGGACTGGTTTGAGTCTTGAAATATGTAAATAGTCTTCAGAAGTACTAGGAATGTACGAAAATTGCTTAATTCCTTCAAAAATACCTCAAACTATGAATTTCGCTTTCTGTTTCTATTTGTGTCTTTTCTATATAGGTCAATGAAAGAGTTTCAAGAAAAGACGCGGGCACACATGGATTTGAAGGCTAAAATTTCGCCGGTTTCCAACTTCTGAGACTAAGGTACGATTTGTCAAACGGATGGCGAAACTGTCCCTTCAACTAGACCCCTATCGTAAGAATATCATTTCAGCTAATGTCGAGTTCAATTTAGGTAATCTTTTTAGGACCCAAGCCTTGCGATTTCTACATAGTCCTATCTCAACTTACATGAAAATATTACAAATAGAAACTTGCGCATAGCTGGAGTATAAAATAGGACATTTAGCCTTATATCTCATGAACCAAAAATATTTGGACTCTAGTATTTTATAAACATGAAAACATAAAAAATTGCAATATCCCATAAAAATTACGATTTACCTATTTGAAATTTTTTGACACAAAATTGCTGATTTTTGCGCACTTAGATACGAGTAATTCCGAACAAACCGTGACTCCCAGATTGAGAATGTGCCGACTGATTAGACCAATTATCACCAATCAGTGTTAATCAGGTTGAAGTATAACTCAGTAATTGATAATTTAAAGGGATAGGTTTCGTCGTTTTCGGAGGTCTATTTGGCTCTGAATAGATATGTAATTAGTCTTCAAAGTATAAGAAATATACGAAAATAGCATAATATATTCAAAAATACTCCAAGCTAGGAATTTCACTTTCTATTTCTATTTATGGCAGAGTCTGAAGAAAAGACGAATCGTCTTTTTAACTTTCTAACGCGGATATCTGGACACACATCGATTTGAAGGCTCAAATTTCGACGTTGAGCTGTGAACCTTTATAGGCCTAGTGATAAGCAAAAAAAAAAATTCCGTTTCTGAGACTAAGGTAGCCTGGTCAAACGAATGGCGAACATAGGCTACAACAGTTTTGTTGGCAGTTTACGGGTTCTGTTAACTAAGAGCCTAAGACAACTTGAAAGATGCATTTTATGAAGTTTTCGAAATGAAATGAATGAAGTTTGCGGGAAGTGTTACTAATTCAATAAATTTATTGGGGTGAAAAGTAACTAGGTGAAGGTGCAGAAATCACGAACACAGTGTTAAGAATGGTCTGAACCGACACGCTTTTGTGCCTATAAAGGTACATACAAACTTATTACAGGCGATGCTGCATTTCTTTCTTTCATATTATCCCTTAGATATATACTTTAATGTGCGTGCATTCAATCGGATTCCAACATTCTTAGTAAAATGTAATGGGTACGTTACGTTGAAACAATTCGTAACCACACAAAACGAAAAATGATGTAAGCAGCGCGAAATCTTCTCGCGACAAGCATTATTTCCGGTTTCATCATTTCAACGTGTTTACTTTCACTTGACAGATTGTTGTTGAAGTTGTAGTGAAGTAATGTCTGCTAGAAAAGGTAAGATTTGATGTTGGAGGAATTATAAGTATTATGGTGATTTTATGTGTAGACTCTGTACTTGGGATCTTACTGTCATTCATGACTTATGTTATTAAGATTGTTTGTAAATGGTGTTGGTCAGCCCTTTCAAGCAGTTTAAAAGGGGGCAGTAGGCCTATGTCATGCACGATTTAGAATATAAATAAATAACGTCGCATATTATACCTGAATTTTTTTTAAAATATGCTGTTCACATCTACATTATGTATCTACTTCATCTAACTGATCTAACTGATCTAACTGATCAGTGTTAAAGGGTCAGATGCTGTATTTCCAGGGGTTGATTTGGGCCTTATTGAATGTATGTATTTGTAAATAGTCTTCAAAACTACTCAAAATGTACGAAATTCACGAAATTCCTTTAAAAAAACCTACACATGTAGTCTCCAATGGATTTTCAAATAAAGTCTCTTAAAATAACAACTCGTTAAAGTAACTTTCAAACATGGATAAGCTTACGCTTGTATTTGAAAGCTAACATTTTGGCGGTTAACTGTGAATATTATTACTAATTAGTTTAGTAGAACAATTCACATTTATGAGATCAAGGTATGATTTACTCCTGGAAACTTTCAAACGCGGATAACTCTGGACATACATGGATTTAAAGGCTCAAATTTCGACGGTGAATTGTGAACACTATTACTGATTGGCTTAGCTAAAAAATTCCTGTTTCTGAAAATAAGGTACGATTGGTCAAACGAATTAGGATCCTGTCCCTTTAAGAGGATATTCAATGGCAGTTTTAGTATTGCAAGTCGTTTCTTCGAATATATTTGATACTTCCTAGAAACAATTTGTCTTTTTTGGTAAATGACATCAGCTTAATTAATAAGGCCTATTCTAGTCTACATATTAAATAACAGAACACAATATTATGCACGACTCCTAGATTTTTAACTTTTTAACAATTTACATTTTGTTGATGAGGTGAAATGAGGAATAAGGTAGGTAAGAGGGGATATATATATATATATACATAATAGATAAACAATATCAACATTTAAAGGGACAGATTAAGCAATAGTGATGTCTATTTGTACCTAAATCTCAGAAACAGGAATTATTTTTAACTAAGCTATAAATCAGTAATGGTGTTATGTTTACAGCTCATCATCAAAATTTTAGCCTTCAAAACATTTAAAAGTTAAAATGACGACTCGACTCCGTCATATATAGAAAAGACGTATATAGAAATAGAAAGTTAAATTTCTAGTTTGAGGTCTATTTGAAGAGATTATGTGATTTATATAGCTCTATAACATCTGAAGACTATTTGCATATATATTTAAGACCAAAATCAACTCCTGAAAATGGTGAATCATAGCGTGTAATTAACGAGTATAAAGGTGATATCATTATTTCATCTGGTGATAAAAATATAAAACTCTATATAGTATGCCATAATATTGTTTATATACTTTATGTAACCCTAAATGTTATTTTAGTATCATAAAGGAAATGTAGTTTCTATTGTATTATCCCAACCTTTATCATAGGCTTTAAGAAATGCTACCACCTGTGAGTTCGAGGCCATTATTTTCACTGGTGCTTATGTTCAAAGACTTGGCAATGCTAGCTTCAGACTTGGCATATCATACAATGATGGCAAAACTCAACACAACATGTTCAAGGTCTAGGCATTACTCACCACAACATGTTCTAGGTCTCTGTAATATTCATCACGACATGTTCATGGCCCTTGGCAATATTCACAACAACATGTTCAAGGTCTGGGCAATAATCACCACAACATGTTCAAGGTCTGGGAAATACTGGCAACAAAATGTTCAAAGTCTTGGCAATATTTACCACATGTTCAAGGTCTGGGAAATATTCACCATATGTTCAAACTCTGGGAAATATCCACAACATGTTCAAAGTCTGGAGGCCTTAGGATCACCAGGGCAAATCTTTGCTGCTTACCTGCATGTTTGAAACTAATGAGAATCAGCTTACAGAAGATACTAGAAATGACTGAAAATGGGTTATATATAGATATGATGGTTAAACAATACACTTTTGAACATGCAGGTTTGATTCAGAACACCAGTAAAAGAAGTCCTCCTGGTAGAATAAAAGGTGTATATTGTGTTAATAGCTACCTCAACTTCCTGAAATTATATGATCTGTACTTGTTGATGTATTGAGCCTGGATGCATGCAAATGTGTTAGCTAGACTAAGCTTAAAGGGACTGTAAAGTGGTCTACTGGTAGCATCAATTCAGTCAGACGTCTGTGGTTCCTGCAATTCCACAAAAAAGAAGTGTTCAATGACGTCACCAATCACAAATTATGCTCTATCACATAAGGCTCTTTGCGATTATTGACGTCTTCATAAACTCAGTTTTAGTGAAATTGCAGGAACCACAAACATCTGATCGAAAATTGGAATGATACAAATTGATGCTATCAATGTCCCTGATACACATAAACAATTTACGAAACTCTTTACATGTTTTATGTTTATTACTATAAGTTATATTTGTAATATTTTGTAGGATTACGAAAACAGCCTGCGTGGCAACCCCCTCAAGGTACACCTGAGATCAAGCTCAAGTTATACAACAGTTTAACTAGGCAGAAGGTAAGCTCATTTCTTCTTCTTCACATAGGCTTACTATCACCAGTGCCAGTTAGACATCGTAGTATCTCTTATAACATTATAATACCATGCTTAATGACTGCACATTTTCATTTTGGTGTTTCATGAGAAAGCATTTGATAACATATAAGGATAAAAATTACCTGTTTACCATGAATAAATAAATCCCATATATTTATCAATTTCGTTTTATTTTTGTATGTAAACATTATACAAGACAAACAAATGTGAGTGATAACTGTACACTTTACATTATGATATATTTACAACTGTACAGAATATATAGTGATAGAACAAAGCATAGGACACAGGGACTTGAATATAGACATATTAGAGCCCCAAAAAATTTGCATGCAATTTTTAACTTGAAAGACACAAGAAAATGTGTGTCTTTGATTTACCAATTTATAAATGGCGCCAAAAATCCAAAATATATAACAAGTAAGCTTAATGATGTTAAGTTTTGCCTCTATTTTTTTTCATCTTGCTTCGATACATTGAAGACAAAATTTTGCCAGAATGTGTCGAAATTCAAGTCTCATAGAAAATACATTGAATATAAAAACTCAGTATTATCATCAATATATACAATTTTATATTGTTTAACAGTAAAAACAATCAACATTTATTCGGCACATATGAAAAAAAAATGAAAGCATTAATTAAAAGATTTTTCTTTCCCATCAATTACTCTGATAGCCCACCCTATACCATTATTAAAGTTAAGATTATTGAAACTTAATGTGTACCAGAATCCCCACCAACTACCACATTTGGACGGGGGGAGGGGGGTTACCACAATTCCTGTCTTTGGGCGTAAAATTGCAATGCGATCGAAAAAAAAAGGGATATTAATTCCATCTGTAAATGGACTAAAGAAGCAAGTATTTTTTGTGAAAAGGGTCAAACCTGGATGCTTGAAATTGATGGAATCATAGAGATGAGAACACTGACTCAACTAGATGAGAGAAGGCCCATGGACTGAAGTGTGTTGGGGCTCCTCCCCCCTAGGAATTTTTGTTTAACATATTCCCTCCTGCATTCTAAGACCCCTCTGTAAGTCTAAAATGTATTTTAATGGACGATTTAAAGTTGTTTATATATTTTTCTGGGGGGTGGGGCCTGTGGACTTAGTTCAACCAGTCCCTATGGTAGCTGGTATAGATGAGAAGCTAGAAATGAGTATACTCTCCTATAACAAAATAAAAAGAGAAATGGCATATCCTTTGAAGATTGCAGTTTGCTTTCTTTAAACTCGATGATTTAAAAAAGTTATGATGCAGTCATGCTGTTATCGCTGGCATAAATAATCTCTCGAAAATATCTAACATTTTTTATGCCAGCGATTCGTACAAGCATGAAAAAAACTCTGTTGAAATGAGCGGGCATACCGTAACAAAGAATGGTCTTAAATTTACGCAAGAAATCTGATTGGATAATGACTACAAAGACATTGACCAATCAGAACTATCTTTGTTATATCTTTATGAATATTAAAGTTATGATACCTCTGAAAAGAAACTCGAGAGTAATAATTCTTATTATATATCCAATGAAAAATTATTTTTACAATTACCATTACCTTTTTCATTTGTAAATGTCATGTAAATCTACCTCCATGACCACAGACAATTTTATATTTTTCACTTTCAGGCATTTATTATAAAAATAATTCAGATATAAGCATTTATATTATAAAGAAAAGAGGTGAATATAAGATTGTGTTATTTACAACTATAATACATTGAATAAATAATGATATAAAAAATGGATAACAAAATGTTAACAGTTGAAGAAAACGGCTTTTTATGTACATAATCTATAGATCTTATTCACATTTCGGCCATGTTGAATCCTGATTGAGGCTCATAACGCAAATCGTTGAAAAGGGAACGTTATGCCACTGAGTAAAATCGCCACCTTGACCTTTTTTCAACGTTCTTCTTCATTCCCGCGAACTTGAAACTGAGCATATTTTATATCATTAAATTTGGAGTTGATTCAGCTATTTAAGATAAATTTCAGATGAATTTGGCCTTCACACATTTTCTAGAAAGGAGAGTTTTAAGGCCATTTTTTTGCTGTTTAGTAAGTGTTTAATGACGTCAAATTGTTTATTCATTCATATAACTTCACCATCTTATCAATGGATGACGTAATTTGCGTTATGAACCTCACTTTCAGTGTCTCAAAAACGAGGCGTGAATAAGGTCTATGGCTTTGTCTTTGATAGTGCAATTTTGAATGCCTTCCAGGTTTTGTATGTTTATATGCATACTTACAAGTTGTTTTTCACCATTCTGATTTCCGTTGCAATTTAATTATCTGTGAATATCAATCATCCTGTTTTGAATTCCTTTAAAGGCCATAGTTCACAGCTCATCATTGACATTTTAGCCATCTTAGCTTAGTGCATCTATGGTTATACAACTTTTTCAAGACTCTGCCATGTAGAATGGTTAAGGACTGGATAATCAAAAGGATAAACTAGTGAATGACAACAAATAAAAGTGAAATTTCTACTTTTTTAAGGAATTATGCGATTTTCAAACATTTCTGGTATTTCAGAAAACTATTATTTATTCATTGCACAAATCTACCTCTGAAAATGGTGAACCAGGGCCTTTAGGTCCCTTAAATGGGATTGTGTGATATTTTCATGATATAGTTGCACCTTTACCTTTCCATTTCCATGAAAATTATTTCAAAAGATCATATTGTGAACAAGTTATTTTGTGTCTTTGAACTTATAAAAGTTGCATGCTTGTGTACACATACCAACAAATTGCCAAAAAACATGAAAAATTTAAGGGTAATCAAAGGTGGTGTAAAGTATGCAAAGGAATTAGAATTTCTTGAAAAAATCTGTGATTCAATAAGACAAAAATGCAGAATGATAAGGAATCATGAATATATCAACATCAAAACAATAGCACTAGTTTTCATAAGATGGAGCCATTTACAAGCATTCTAACAAAACATGTGAATTACACTCAAATAATGAAAAATCTTGCATACTTTAATAGAAGTAAAAGGCAAAATGTGTCTTTATCTCACTCTATTGTACGAGAGCTCTCTGCTATAAGTGAAATGATATGTTTTTGAACTGAGTATTTCAAATTTTTGACTCATTCTCATACATGTTAAATTTCAACGACAGTGTCTGCTGCTTGTTTGTTTCCGCAGGCTACTTTTGACCAAGGTTATACTCTTGCAAGGTAGTTTATATTTTTTTGGCCTGGATAATGTGCCAAAAGTAACGTAATTTTTTTTACGTTCAATACAAAACTGGAAACTGAAACACAGGATTCATGAAAAATACCCAGATATTTAGAAATACTAAAATCTAATTGATTTACTAAACAATGTTCAAAACCACGTTAGGTCAAAAAGTTTGAAAAAGCCACAAATTTAAGTTTTTTGAAATTTGGCCTGTGATTTAGAAGTCTTGCTAGGAGAAATTTAAAACCTGTATGAGAAGGACACAAATTTAAAAAAAATGAGACTAGACTATTCTATTTCATTTTGAATTCTAACTTTAATTTCCCTTCTATATGCATTTCAAAAAGAAACCAGTTCACCAAAGATTTTTCATTGCAAATAGAAGGGATTCAATTAGATTAACTGAGTTCACTTTTCTTCTTCTGACTATGGACTATACAGCTTTTAGTTGTGGATTTGATAAAATTACTCGCATTCATAAAAGACAGTTGCACTTGTTTTGTAGTCATATCTTACTTGTCAAAATTTCTCTGACATTAGGAATTCCGAGTAATTTTTATCAGAACTAATTTATATGTCCTAAACATAACTAATAATATGTGCAGTCAGCATGCGGTCAGTAATTTTTGGTTCCTGATTAAAGCTTGCAAGGTGTAATAATAATAATAATAATATAAGGCATGTAAAAAATTTAACAAAGTATCACATTTCATATTCAAATACTTCACAAAACAAGATGGCCACCGCTACTTTTGCTTGAATTTTTGAAGAATTTTCAGATGACAGAACTTATGTGTCTCAGAGGGTATTTGTGTAGTTCTAAAAACATTTTCTGAGAGAAATGTGGATTCAGAAGCGAATGGTAGCCTGTGCTGTCAAGTGCAGTGTATGTTGCGGGAGAATCGATACAGATATTATTTTCTACTTTATCAAGAATCCCACTCCATCTCCTCTATTCGCAGCTTAAGACATGGCATCAAGCAAAAAATTCAAGCTTTTGATTCAGATTCAACATCTGAATTGTCTTCTGATGTTATGACCATCTTGTTTTGTTTTGAAGACACTCCATATTCTAAGGAAGGAGTCAGACATCTTTAAAGGGATTGTAAACAGATTTTCCAATTTTTTATGTCTATCAAAGACACTAATAGCATCAATTTTCGTCATTCCAATTTTTAATCAGATGTCAGTGGTTCCTGCAATTCCACTGAAACTAAATGTTGATGACGATGACGTCACTAATTGCAAAATATGTTTTATGACATAAGGACTTTGCGATTAGCTTTAGTGGAATCCAGGAACTACAGACGTTTGATAGGAAATTGATGCTATCAGTGTCCCCGAAACACATAAACAATTTAGAAAACCTCATAACAATTCCTTTAAAGTAGCATAGGTGTGATAAGTCAAAGGGTCTAATGAAGCAAACAAAATCAACAAAAGAAAACTTTATAATTTTTTGGTACCAATGGAAATGGCAGATAAAATAATTTCTTAATTTCCTTCAATAAGTGTAGTTTGATTAGTTTGATTCTTTTGTAATTTTATGGATTTTAGATTAATCACAGAAATATTTAAACCGTAAAAATTTGACTTAAAGATGGGTACCCTTATTTTCATTTATAAATATGAAAATGCTAATACTTATATGAATAGAAAGTAGAGGTGTTCTAATGACTTGGAATAATAACAGTTTTTCTCACATAATTAATTCATAATTAGCTAAATTAGAAGAGACTTACCAGCAGAATTTCAATGAGTGACCGATCAAGAAAGGTCAAAAAGTCTTTTTTTGTTTATCCAGACTGTACATACATGAGTATTTTTGATTGGTTAAAACTCTTAATTATATGTAATAAGAACATAATGATATGATTAAAAATACATGATAATTCATTAGAAACACCAATTATTCAAATAATTTGCTTAATTTTACACTAAAAGAATAAGGATTCCCATCTTTAAAAGAATATAGTCAGGAAAAACAATGCTTTGTGGACTACAATCTATTATACTGTCTGTCTACTCCTTTCTTAGAATAACAAGCCATTAAAAAAAACTTATTTACATAATTTTAATCATAATTAAATACTTATAACCGTCAGAAGACTTCAAAACTATAAAACACAGTTAGAAAGCGTTAAAAATAAGGACACTAGCGTTGAGAAAAACGAGGTACTGAACACTAAACACACTATACAGTTTACTAGTAGAATACCGGAAACACATGGCACGGTACTTTGTGCAGAGTTTAAACTGTCACGGATTATTTTATCCACGATAATATTACGGTCTATTTTTCTCACTGTCGTGGTTCTCATGCGAGGAGTGGTTTGATACTCAGTGTCTCTCATAGGCACGGTTGCTACTGGGCACAGCATAGTTTCTGGGTCACGCAACCAGAAATGCATTCCAAATACTTGGAAATGTTTGTTGTACATACATGCTGGTAGTTTTGTAGTGTCAAACACAAACTGAAAAAGAAAATGACAGGGTTTTAGAGTTTTTTTTGTCGTGACTTAAGATATGAAAATTGAAAAAACATAGTTATTATTTCAGAAATTTACAGGGGCTGAAAAATGGTACAATTTTTAGTTTAAAATTCACGTAATTAATCTCATTGGTTTGATATTTGGATTAACTGCACTTTAACATGGAAGTCTATGGAAAAGGATCTTATACAAAGCGTTTGCTACATTTACAATTATCAGACTCGGGGATATATGCCTTGAATTAGAAAACAAGTTTTCGACAGTAGTTAACCCTTTAATCCTTTTTTATCAGTGGCTGCCATAGTAAATCGAGTTGTTAATACCAATGCTGAAGAAGGGAATAAGGGTGATGTGTATGCACAGTTATACAAATACTTGCTGGCTTATATTCCACCAGATTCCCTTCCTTGTTTTTCATGGAGGTTTGAGGTACAGGTTGGAGGGAAAAAAATACTTGTATGAAAATTAAAAGGTGAATTGCACACTCTTTATTAGACCATTGAAGGGCAGAAAACAAGGATGTTAAACTCCATTCAATTTATTACAAGTACATTCAGCTGGGTATTCCTTAAGGTTTTCTGTAAAATCATAGTCTAAGGGCAAATGCTGTATGATACGTTAATATAACATATATAGATAACATTAAAAACTACAGTACATATCTTTAGATTTATCAGTTAGCACAAATCAAAAGATAGTATGACATGTCTGATCATTGCATATATGTCCAAAACTGACCAAGACTCTATTTCATTAAAAATGCACACTGCTGAAAAAAATAGCCACACTGTGGTCTGAGCTGCTTTATTAGAGTTCCCTCCCTTGAATAGGAAATAGGGTTCTTGGTTTTCATCTGTCAATCAATTATAACAGTATCAATAACAAAGTTCCCACTGAACATTGACTTGACCACTTCAGTTAATGAAATGTTCAGAATTTTGAAGAGAATTTTTGGCGTAAAAGATTCCAAGATAATTTTGCATTGCATAATTTAAGAGAAATGAACAAATGAAAGGGTAATTTCGTGTTTTGCTTATCTACTAATTCATCAATGAGGATAGATAAGACCATGCAGTGTGCAATGAGGGAAACAGGGAAACTGTCAAGTGATCTTGGGTTAAGAATTTCACTTTTGTAGTAATGTGGTGTCTCGCTTTTCTCTTAATTGTTAAAAGAGAATAGATAAAACCATGCAGTGTGCAATGAGGGAAACTTTCAAGTGATCTTGGGGTAAAATATTTCACTTTTGTAGTAAAATTGTGTCTTGCTTTTCTCCTAATTAATTAATGAGGATAGAACATCATGTGGTGTGCAATGAGGAAAATTCTGTTAACTGGGTGATTTCCAAATGCCAAGTGATCTTGGGGTTAAATATTGCCCTATTGTACTCTTATTTCTGCGAAAAACCTAAATTCCAATCTATGTTACTCTGACATACGAGGCCAAACTTGGTTCAGTTTATTTTTGACTAATCAAGTTAAATTTTGATTTGCATTTCTTAATAATTCTGTAGCAATTTAAAATGTTCTAGTAGTCAACCTTCAAATATATAATTTGATTTGATTCTCAGATCTTCATGATAAATTTTAATTTTGGCTATAATCAAAGGAAATATTGGATCGCAACAGGGGTCATTTTGAAACGTAATCTGCGATGCGATACCGCTAAAATTGTAGCCCGATTATGAAAAAGAAAAACTTACAGGATAATACTGTTGTGATAGTCTGAACCATGACAAATCATTTTCCATATAAGGAGATGGTGCACCTTGGAATGACCAACCAAAAGATCCTAACTGGCCTTCTGAGTTATACATTAAAAACACAGGATATAGGTCTTCACATTTCATATTAGGTGTTAAATTTTTAAAATAATGTAAACCTGTAAAAGAAAAATCAGAAAATTCATGATATTCTTCTTTAAAGATTTTTATAAGCATTGTGGTCGGAATTAAGACAGTTTTTTCTTTTGTAACACCTGATGCCACTATGTCATCATGAATTTGTCAACTATGCACTCCTTTCAGAGAGTCCACAAAGCTTAAAATATTGTGACAAGGACTGATATGACAATTTTGGAAAGGAGTCCTCATCAAATTCCGCAGCCTGTATATTATATCTTACTTAGCCATTGGTGCATTGGACTCATTTGGGTGAGGAAGTTGCTCTTTATTGGTCAAAATATTTTCACAATCTCGTAAAAAAGTCCGATCAAATAGGCTTTCGAACCAAAAATAATGTTTCTGGTGTGTCCAACGCTGAGTGACATGTAAAGAATAGGCCATGGAATTTCGAAATCCAAGAACAATTTTATTACTTACCCATCTTTGGATTACAAGTATGTGGTATCCAATCTGGAGAAAGATATTTAGATTCTAACGGAATCTCTATATATTGTTGTTCTACATTATAGCCTGTCTGTATAAACAATCCTTTATCTGGTCGAATATTGGCGTAATATGGTGTACATATCAATCTAGGATGCTTGAAATATGCTGCAAGAGAAATAAAGCAAATTAAGATATTTTCTCCTGCATAGCTATTCTACATGTTTCTTTAATTGCATTAATATTAATTTGAATTTTTGGATTTTGTTGAAAATCAGTTGCTAGAAGGCTAATGTTGTCCTTTCACCTTTTCTAAGTCATTTTTGTCCTCCCTTACTTTCTTTGAAATCATTCGAAGGATCTTTGTCGATAGGCTCCAACAATTGACCAACATATGAATCGGCACCCAAGTTTTCTATTTTTAGAATAGAGGGTTTTATGCATTTTAAGGAGCATTCTGCTCTAATTTTATCAACAATTGGTCGTCCAATCAGAATTCATTTCTCATAATCAAATATCAACCAGTACAGTAAGGTAAGGGGCATCTTCCAAGTTTCTTTTCAATGGTTTTTCTGACATTGAAAATGATCAACAGGTATTCCAGAACTTGTCTTTCTTATGTGCAGATTTCAGTTCTATTGTAGGAGTGAATATTTGTGTATGTGAATATGTCTACAATATGTGTTTATAAAACAAAATAAATCAATTCAAAACATTCCATTTACTATATTTACACGCTACTGAAAAATGTAGCAGAAGTCATTACAAAAGATGGAGGAAAAGCAAAATTATATTTATTCTTTGTGGCCATTTCCATTTCTTTTTGATGAAACAAAACAATAGTGTGGTTTCTTCTCATCAAATACCAGAAACACCATCTTACAAGTTTTGACACAGATAAAAGACACAGATATGTGCAGATTAACCAAGACTAAATGCCGATAATTTCTTCACACCTGCTTTTTATTTAGTCTCTAAGCAGAAATTGTTGTCTTTTCTCGCTACTTGTTGGGCCCTGGGGTCAGCGGGAGGGAAGAAAGTAACCTTTGCCTCCTTCCCACCAGATGTAACTGTTTAATGTTAATAGATGTGCTGGGAGAGTTTGTTATGATACTGCCTGGAGGGCTAGTCACCGTGGAGATCATGTCTCCTATTATACTCTCTAACCATCTTATTATACTCTCCAAACCTCCATATTTATTTCTTATTAATACGTTAATTGAATTTTAGAAAGTGAATAGCATACAGATTATGTTGTAAAATGCAGAATATTTTGATTGAGCCACCCATAACATGTGTCAAATAGTGAGATTTGGAATGTTTTTCTTAGATTAATTGAGAATATTGAGAGAGAATAGAATCGTATTGAAATAATTAATCTGTTACAAATTGAATATTTAACCCTCTCCTTGCCAATTAACTTGGAGAAATATTGTCTTAATTATGCACCATTGTGATTTTGGAATATCAAAGTCATTTAAACTTATCTTTGCTCTACTAGGGCTGGGTATCGATTACCAAATTGAGATCGATTATTTATGGCAGACTACTGATAAATAATTGATTAATAATTAATGTAAAAACATGCCAAAATTCTTAATTTCATGAGTGATTTTTGCGTCATAGAAGTATATTCTTGTGTGATCAGTTATTATAGTTTATTGTGGGTAAGTTATGTGCTGAAGGGAACCTATGTTGAAGAGATTACTACTTCTTACAGTGGAGAAAATGTAACTTTGACATATAATCGATTATGAAATTTGATAATCTATAATCGAAATCATAAATTCCTAGCAACGATAAACGATTATGTCGATCATTTTACCCAACATGTATGTAGTTTATTTTTAAAAATTATATATATAACATCATTTAGTTTGTGTTCATTTTTCTTTCATTTGTTCATGCAAATGCATATTTTCAGTGGAAATTTGAAATCGGCTGCATTTGAAATTTGAGAAAGCATTCCACTCTTTCAAGTAGAATTCCAATCGTGAACTCACTTGACTCTAAATCCCAGCAAACACAATTATGCAATTACCATACTTAAATAAATTGGTTTAATAAATTTCCCCATCTCTTCAGAAAACCATAATTGGAAAAGTTTTAATCAGAAAATTAGTGTAGAAAAGAGTCAGCATTGTATTTGTTGATGGTAGAGATTTAGAGTTTGTATAAAGAAGAATTAACTAAGTGATTGATATCGTTAACGTACAAATTAACGTAAATGAATTGAATAAACCTGCCACTAAATGAATTGTTTGCCTCTACTGATCATGCATGTCCAAATCAGGTCCAAAATCTAATTCTCGCAGATTGCCTTGTGGCTTACGGAGGAAACCATCCCCCTCTCTTCATCTTCTTTGTTATCTTAATAAGATCAAATTGGTAGCAAAATTGACCAGAAGCAACATCAGTCCAGATGCCGTCTGCCATTTTGAAAAGTGGAAATGTTAGTCTCGGTGTAATCCTAGAGATTAAGCTGTCATTTGATTGGCTATTATTCTTTGTTTAGTTATGATTTATAGTATTGAGTGAGTTAACTGGTATTGAAACTAGTAATATTAATTATATTTCTACTAAATTGAATCGTATCTTGATGAAGACTTCCATGAATACTAATGAAGACTTAACAGCATTTGAAATGTTTGCAGTACACTTTGTGTTCAATAATAATTTAGTTTGGAGTAGTTACCTTTGTTGGTTCTGTGAAAGGAATAATGGTCACTTAAAGAATAATTGTAAAAAACAAGCGCTACCATTTAAAGGGACAAGTTCCGAATTCTTTAGGATTGATTTGGGTTTTGAATGTGCTTTAGTAGTCTTAAAATCGCATAATCCCTTCAAATATACCTCAAACTTGAAATTTCACTATCTATTCCTATATATGTGTTTTCTATATATAACAGAGTATCAAGAACAGAAGTATTCAAACAGAGATAATTCTGAACGCACATGGATTTGAAGACTCAAATTTCGACAGAGAGCTGTGTACAATACATATTGTAGGCTTATATTTCAATTCTGTATAACATTCAACTATGGCTGCTGAGAAAAGCAACAAATCTGAGTAATGGTCTTGTCTATGGCAGATTTTATCCCTTTTCATCAACTCCCTAAAGCAATTGCATTGCATATTTGAATTAATGGTTTACCATGAAATTTTATTTTTTACCAAATTAATTTATCATTATACTGATATCTGTAGTGTCTACTTAAGACCTGGGCCAGTGCTTCTATAGGAGAGTATCTTTTAAAACACCTTATTCCGGAAAAAAATAAACGTAATTTTGACTTTGTTTTAAGGGATTGTAAAGAGGCATCCAACGTCCAAGTTACCTTTACTCTTATTTCGCCAGCTTCTCTTAACCCAGACATCCTGGTGAAGTTTTAAACCCTCCTACCTTGAAACAAACCAATCCCGGTACTGATCAACCTTGGTAACCCGGGTAAAAATCCACCCCGATAACCCCGATACTTACGAATCCCGGCAACCCCGGTAAAACCCACACCTCGGTAACCTTCCACCAGGGTCCATGAACAGTATAAATAGAACCCCGCAAGGTGAGTCTGAAGAGTTCAAACACGAACGAAACTAGTCACTCATAATCAGGGATAACTGGTCACTCAGCCAATCTTTATCTCTTATATTGAATTGTAAAGAGATTTTCCAAATTTTTAATGTCTATCCGGGACACTGATAACTTCAATTATCAATCAGAATTCTGTGGTTCCTGCAATTCTACATAAACTTAGTGTTAAATGACGCCACTATTGGCTTAGGTCATAAAAGAGCTAAAATCCTATTTTGCAATTAATGGCGTCATGGAATTGCAGGAACCACAGATGTCTGATTGAAAATTGATACTATAAGTGTCCCCAATAAACATAAAATTTTAAGAAAATCTCTTTTAATCCCTTTAAGCCACTGAAGGTACCTAATTTAATGTGAAAAGCAAAAAAGATTATCTATATTATTTCATTGCTAAAAGATTTGTGTCAAGGTCAATGATTGCTGCTGGGAGCACAAAGTCAAGTAATATCATTGCTACAATTCACTTGACCCATTTTCACTGAATTGTCCAAGGCAATTGAATTGTCTGTACCGTCTAGGGGAATTGGTTGGAAAACCTCCTGTAAAGCTCTATTTTAGATTTATAGCCAGAGCTAATGATAGACTACTGGACGATCACAATAGATTGTGTGATTACATGATGTAAGCTATTAGACTTCGATATCCAGTATTAATCAATGTTCTTACGTAAAGACATGACTTGATAGAATGCATTAAATACTTGGTTATAATTAGACTCTAAATAAAGAAAATCCTAAGTCTGAGTAATCAAGTCTACCTGAATATTGTCAGATTACCTGAGACTGTCGAATCAGACTCGTTCTACGTGCCGATACCCTGGAAATCAACCTAGAATTTCAATTAGCTATTTCTATGCTTTCAAGTTGGAATGTCCTTTCAAATAACTTTTGACACTGGTTTCATATCTATTTTGCACGCAAAGCAACTATTACATGCTGGAAGGGAAATTTTTAACGGCAGTTTTGGTAGACAATTTGTTGATTACAAAAATTATCCATTCTCATAACATAATAGATGAATTGTGCAATTTAAACAGACAAAGGTTCATAGCACTTTTGGCCCACCTTCAGAAGGTCATCTCAGAAAGATTCTTAGAACGTACTCGATAAACAGAAACTGTGCTCAGAAGAAGAGTTCAACATATAAGCAAACTAATATCAGTTTTCATAACATTTGAACTACAGTTCTCAGACTACATTTTTATTGTGGTCTTGTCAGGACCGAGAACAAAGGCTTTATCACAGTTTAGTCTGAAACGGACTTAGGTGTGCTTCCTGATTTCAGAGTTACATGCACTAATTGTAAAGGAATCCAACTTGAAATGTAAGTGAATTTGAAATGAAATGAATTTACTTGTGTAATTAGATATGCTCCCTGATTTCTAAGGCTCATATAATAATTGTAAAGGAATCCATCTTTAATGAAAGTGAATTTTAAATGAAATGAAAGGAAGTATGAATTCTAATGTGCTTTCGAGTTTCAGACGAAAATCAATTTTGTTGAGGAATCCAACTTGAAATGTAAGTGAATTTGAAATAAAATGAAAAGCAATCTCAGATCAGATGTGCTCCCTGATTTCTGAGATACATGTAATAATTGTAAAGGAATCCATTTTGAAATGTTAATGAATTTGAAATGAAATGAAAGATTTCTGAAATACATGTAATAATTGTCAAGGAATCCAACTTGAAATGTTAATGAATTTGAAATGAAATGAAAGATTTCTGAAATACATGTAATAATTGTAAAGGAATCCAACTTGAAATGTAAGTGAATTTGAAATGAAATGAAAAGCAATCTCAGATCAGATGTGCTCCCTGATTTCTGAGATACATGTAATAATTGTAAAGGAATCCAACTTGAAATGTTAATGAATTTAAAACGTAATGAAAGATTTCTGAAATACATGTAATAATTGTCAAGGAATCCAACTTGAAATGTAAGTGAATTTGAAATGAAATTACTTGTGTAATTAGAATATTTTGATGTGTTAGGAACATGACCAGTCATAATTATTAAAGCTTTACAATGGTTTTATACAATTAATTAAAACTGCTTGTAGGATTTCACTATTAAACACCAAATTAATCATTCTACCACCTTTAACTGTCACTTTTCATTTGAATTTCATTTATAACTCTTTATTGTCTATCTTTGAATTGCAATATCTTTCTAGGGGTTGTATGATAATAAGTTAAACTTAATCTGTTCTTTGTTCCCTTGGGATGATAATCCGAGGCTATGTGTTCTATAGGCTGAGTATATGTAAAAGATCCTTCAACAATGGATCAAGGAATGGATAAAGAGATGGTTTCCCTCATTGCACACCACATGTACATTGGGTTTAACTGTTATCTGAAGTTGGAGCAGAAAGAAAGACAGAAACAACTATATTTTACAAGGATAACAACTTAGTTTCACAGTTAAGGATTCTTTCTACCAGCTGGTCCTTGGCCATTGATCTGTACCCATTTACAGCTGGGTCGACTGGAATTATGAGTGAAGATGGCTTATTCAAGGTCATCAGACTTTCACATGCTAATTGAGATCGGAACCCACAAAAAGTAATAGCCAAAAATTTAGTTTTAAGTTTTCTTGTAACAATATTGAATATAAAAATTTTATTTTTTGTTTTAAGTGCTTTTTCATAGCGGGAGACAATAAGTTTGTCCCATAGGAGAATTCTTTCCTCTTAGCTTCAAGTTTTAATTTGTTAATTGTTTAACAAAGAACAAAAACATTTCCCAAGGAAGTCTAGAGAAAAGAAAAAAAAGTTAAATAGAACTTTATAAATAATGAGTTGACAGACCAGAACAGTGTTTTTTTTGCCATTTTGAGTTTGAAGTTCCCAATAGTAGCATTTCTAGGTTTTTTCCAGCAGGGCCACAGGCAATTCTTTCACTATGTAAAACAAAATTGAAAGTGTGGGACCAAATCCAGGCTAGCCTTTTTCCTAGTGGATCCTCCCCCACAGAAACCTCATGGTTCCCAAGACTAAAATAACCCAGACTGTTTTTATATGCCCACATCTCTCTATGTTGACGTATATTGTCGGCACCCCTGTCCGTTCGTCAACATTTGCTTGTAAACCCTCTAAAAACCAGATTTTTGATGGAATCAAATGAAATTCGGTATGTGTGATCGAACACCGTTAGAAGCAGAGTTATTGCCCTTGCCCCAAAATCATGAATATTTACCATCCTCATGCCGTATATGGTGGGCGTATATGGCTGTGGTCCACTATCTTTATTTTTGAACCTTTTTTTGAACAGGAATAAGCCATTCAGAAACCCAACATGACAGTAACTGCAGAAATTTAAAAAAATGGCATCTTGTAGAAAGTTCTTGAGGTTCGTCTTCTTAGGTTATATTGCTATATATGGAATTTGTTCTCTTTGTTACTGTATTTTTGTGGTATGTGTAATGGTTCATGGGATAAGCATTTAGTTTTTTTTTACGACAAATTTTCAGATGCAAGAGTGGTGAACTATCATGTAGCTTTTTAGAGACTTAGAAATGACAATGAATTCAAAATCTAAAATCAAATTTACCTGTTATAGTGTACATCTGTCTATCATTTTTACTTTGTTCTAAATCTAATAATATTGGTGGTATGACCTCTGGTGGCGGCAGACGGATAGTTTCGTTTCTAGAGTTATAGCCCTTTAAATTGCCTGGTATCTAAAATATAAAACATAGACAACATTGACAGAAATACAGATACAAAAGTATGTGATCTCTTTGAAGGGGATGCTCCATTGACAGATTCAATTTCAAAGTAACATCAGGTGTTTCAGAAGAGTGAACGGCCCTTGGCAGATACACCAATTTGATCTGTGATCTCTCTAAAAGGGATGCTCCATTGACAGACTCAATTCCAAAGTAACATCAGGTGTTTCAGAAGAGTGAACCGCCCTTGGAACATTCACCAATTTGATCTGTGATCTCTCTAAAAGGGATGCTCCAATGACAGTCTCAATTTCAAAGTAACATCAGGTGTTTCAGAAGAGTGAACCGCCCTTGGAACATTCACCAATTTGATCTGTGATCTCTCTAAAAGGGATGCTCCAATGACAGTCTCAATTTCAAAGTAACATCAGGTGTTTCAGAAGAGTGAACCGCCCTTGGAACATTCACCAATTTGATCTGGTATCTCTGAAAGGGTTACTCCATTGACAGATCCATTTACAAAGTAACATCAGGTGTTTCAGATGAGAGGGTTAGTGTAGTGTCATTTGAAAGTTAAAATATAATAACACAGGCAAATGCGAATGCTCAAGTGACAAATCCAGGGCAAAAAAAGACAATTTCAAAGTTGAGCAACATGGTTTGATGAATTTTGAATTTTCCAGACTTTGAATTTAAAATTTCATTACAAGCGAATTTTAGTGTCATTTGATTGGAAAAAGATTAACATTGATTTAAAATTTAGTTCCATGAACCATCTAAATATTAGTTCATTTCTTAGCATCGGTCTTTTGAGAACGAGGCTTTAGTCCCCTGTTGGCCCCCGAATTTTTTGTCTTTTGTCAGGCAAGTTGTAACAGCATCAATAAAAATTCTTTTATGCGTCTGTTTTACAGAACAAAAAATGAAAAAGTTCTTTTTAAAAAAATGGCGGATAGCGTGTTAAAATGTGATTAGCTTCTGTTTTTAGAATTAGACATTATCCATATTTTATTCTTAACGTTAGCCTTTAAGCTTGATTAAGTATCATCAAAATTCTTTTACCAGTAGAAATTTCAAAGATAATGACACACTAAGCTTTCACTTTGAACTCGTTTTTTTGAAAGTTTTCACACAATGTTTATTAGGTTCTGCCAGTGACATTTATTTCAGCACTAAAATTACACAGTACCATGTTCATAAATTGCATATTTAATGTTCACAGTGTTTCTTTATGGCGTTTTGAGGCGTTCGTGAACAGAAGTAATCATACAGTGTTTGTCAGTGTAATCGAAATTCACCATAACTCATGGTGTTAATTCTACCGTTGCATGCAACATTTTGGTTTGAAAAAAAACGGCTACAGCCTAATATAAATCAGTTTTACTCATGTAATAATAAAAGATTAATGTTTTCATCAGTTGATTGTGTGTCTGCTTATTGAGGGCGTGTTTATCTACCATATATTTGCGTGTATAATGCACAGTTTTTTACCCTAAATTACCCTAGTCAAGATTCCAAGAGAGCTTTTTACATGCCAACATAAACATTCACGTAAAATAATTAAAAACTTCAAATACCATCCTATAATACCCAATGTTTCATCTAAAGTGTTTCGACTTTATGAGGGGAAGAAAAAAATTACTATTGTTGTATACTGGGATCTTTTAGATTCTATCTGCCTCCATTGGACTCATACCCTGAATGCTGAATGGTATTTGCAAAAGTGATATCACAATCTGGTCCAGTCAAGGAATTCAGGAGACCACAGATATTAGTAGGAAGATCTACATGGTTTAAATAGAAGCTCTTAGGTGTACCTAATACAGATTCTAATATATATAATCCACAAATATGAAATTTGGTATAATCTACTCTGATTCACTCTTTCCCAGATTCATTTTTCTACGGAACAGAATTTACATTTATTTTGAACAATATCTTTAAATCTGAGATTTTTTCATTTGCAAGCCGTTTGCTAAGGGCAGACAATTAAGCGTATTTTTTCGCCTGATCACTTCAATTAAAGTCTCCTGCAAATTTTTACAAGGATCACAAAGGGGAACGCGTAGCGAATATTTAAGAGGGAACGTGAAGCGAATATTGAAGAGGCAATACGAAGCGATTATTTAAGAGCGTATGTCACTAGTCATAAAGTGTCGGCACTTGGCTTCTGAAGCTGGCTTAAAGCCTTTATGAGGGGAAGAAACAAATTACTATTGTTGTATACTATAGATATAGATATAGATTCTATTTGCCCCCATTGGACTCATACCCTGAATGCTGAATGGTATTTGCAAAAATAACATCACAATCTGGTCCAGTCTAGGAATTCGTCGTAAAGTTTCGGCACTAGGCTTCTGAAGCTGGCTTAAAACATGGAATTGGCGCCTTGTGTCAATGGAAACACCAAGTTCAAAGGATATGTCTTGAATAAGAAGATGTATGAGATTAAAAGGAAATCATAGAAACACAAGAGAACATATTGTTCTGATCTCCATGTTAAAGTTCAGTGTATAATAAACATATGTTTGATATTTATTTGACATCAGACTAAAGACATATTATATTCAGTTATCTTCTGCTTTGGTAACTTCATCCTTGCCTTTTCTAATCTGTATCAGAAGACAATTTCTCAACTGAATAGTGCTATGATGTAAATAGATATTTGGAAGTTTTCAGACTGTTTTCTGAATGTCAACTTTTGTTCTTGTTTGTTAACTTTGCCCTTGCTTGTTCTGATCTTACTGCTATGAGAGGATTGAAAAAAAGTTTTCTAGCCTTTTATGTACTCTAGCTTAGGGATGATGCAGATTCCAATTGCATTGAAAGACCCCTTTTATCGTCTCAAATTTCGACAAAATTCATCTGGACCCTGGTTCTCAAAAATGTTTACAATCATGTGGCACATCTCAATGCAAAATTCCTTACAAATTTTCTTGGACAATTTTTAGAAAGGAGTTCCTGCATTTAAGGTTTGATAGGTCCCATTGGACTCATATTTCTTAACATTCCATTTACTACCATTAATAATTTCCATCTTAAAGCAAGGTTTTAGTTAAAATTTTGCCTTCGCTGGCATGCTTGACTCAACATTATCTTTGGTTGTACAAGACCATTGTTATTTTTGATTCTGATTCTTCTAATTCTTCTAATTGATGTGACAAAGAGTTCAATCAAAAATCATTAGAGGAAGAAGTTTACTCACTTGATTGAATTTTCAAAATAAACTTTCATTAGATAAAGAAATTTATTTTCTGATATGAGCGTAGACATGGAATGGTTTTTCATTACGAGTTTGTTATTTTAAGTATCTCTGATATACATGTTTCAGCTTGTTTTTATTTCTACGTTAAATTCTGGTAAAAGTGCTTGACATATCTGAACGATTGCTACTGGAATAAACTAGATCTTCTACTGCATGTAATTGGATAATAGTCAGCATAAATAGAACCTTTTTTTGTCTTTATAAGTGGGTCAGAATTCAAGTGATCAATCATTTGGAGACCTTGAGTTTGATATTAAATCAATTTTCATTGTAACATAGGGTAAAATCAGTTGTCAGCCATTTACTTAGAAACAATAAGAATAGATCTGTCACTGTATTTAGTACTGCATATAGTAATTCTGCCAAATTTCTTAAAATGGTGGAAAAAAATGTTTCCTACTTTTTCTGGAAGGTTTCAATGATTTATAGACACAGCTTTATGGAAGAACAATCAGTGGATAAAGTTTTATGCGGCGTTAGGGCGTGTTTCCCATTTTTTCTTGAGTGTTTTCTTAATAAGAAGTATACATATGTTTGCCCATCACTTCTTATCATTATGTGGGAGCCGCGATGGCTCAGTGAGTTAGACGCTTGCTCCCTAACCTGAAGGTCCAGGGTTCAATCCCAGCATAGGTCGAGATAATACCTTCGGATTTTTCAACCCGGTTTCCCCATGTCAGTGATGCAGGTAAGAGGGACTGACATGGAAAAAGCGTCTAATCGTTCGGATGGGACAATAAACCGAGGCCCTGTGTGCTACAGGCTGGAAACAGGAAACATGTCAACGTTGCATTAAACTTTAACCAGTTATTGTTGTTCCATAAAGCTGTGTCTATATATCATACTCAAAATTACTAAAGACTTTAAAAAGTCAAAGACTTTAATCATCAACAATGAGCTGTTAATGCGAAACACCAAAACAAGTTTAAACTCAATTCTTAATAAACAATTAGTACGCTTCGTTTTTAATCAACCCCTTTCAAAACAAATTCAGTTTGATTAAGTAGATACATAGATATAAATAACATAATTTTCAAATATAATTTACAAAACTTTTGATTATCAAAGTTTTGCTTACTGCCCCTTTATAAAGTTTCAATATTGAGTTTCTATAAGTTTACAAAACAAATATTTAGACAACTATATCGTTTTAAGATCAAAACGAAAGTACGTTTGAAGCTTTTTGATTCATGTAGGTGTGCACTATATGACTTCTCTAATAATGATAAACGTTAGACAGGCTCATAGCCAGACTTGATTGTTCCGAGGAGCAAATAATATATCAGGAGGGGCAATGGTGTATTGTGTTTAGATGCAGAAATGGAATTTGTCGTTTGTCAGAATATTTCAGGGGAGCAATCTATTTTTTGTACAGGCCTGGTGTTCGACAAATCATAGCATCATTTCAATCATATGCATCATGTATCATATCTGACAGGCTAATATACTATCAAATGATTGCCACAAGATCAACCAATCAGAGTTCTTGATTGTCTGTTTTACAATTATCGTGGTTTACAATACGTCTGCTAAAAACTTCTTTTATTTTGGTTATTTTTAGTTTTGATTTATTCAATTGACGTGGTTTCATTTAATTAATATCCGAATTAAAACTTGCTTATCCATCATTTCACAAATTACGAATTAATGTAAGTTATTTTCTTAATTTCAATCCCAGGTTATTGCCGCCATTACTGAATAGTCTGTCTGGTCATGAAGGAACATAAAATGGCTACAATTAGCTCTTTTGTTAAATGTTAATGGCAGTTTTCTAGTGGAACAATATAGAATTTGAAGTCAATTAGACATTTGGTCTGAAATGAAATAATTAAAATGTTGGAAAGAAAGATTACTGATCAATTTGTGAACTCTCTAGATGATGATTATAATGTCGTCAATTTCAGCTTTGAAAGTCCATTGTTGTTTGAAAAATTAGAAATGGTAGTTCCCAATTTCTTTCTATTTTTCTTGTTGGGCAAGCTTCAATTCTTCTAATACGTTCAAAGTTGAAAATAGTACTACTGTAGCATACAGAGTTGCTGCCCTTGATTATAAAAAAAATTCTTACCATAGTTTGAATACCAGCTAAATTTCCATTTAAATCGAAAATAATTCTGGATTTATCATTTCCTTCTTTAACAAATATAAAACCATGATACGAATCTGCTGAAATGAAAAAAAAGCGAGAAAAATTATTTTGTGAAAAATATTTACGGGAGAATGAGTTAAGACAGGGAAAAATGAAATATAACAGTAAAATAATTATAATTGGGAAATTTGAAAAAATGAATATTATGGGAAAATTTAAATATAATGGGAAATATGAATATAACAGGAATATTTATTATTATGGGAAAATTGAATATAATGCTAAAATAATTATAATGGGGGAAATTTAAATATAATGGGTTAATAATTGTAATGAGAAAATTTTAAATATAATCGGGAAATTTGAATATATTATAATGGAAAATATATAAATAACTGGAATATTTATTATTGCGGGAAAATTAAATACAATGGAAAATAATTATAATGAGAGCATTTTGAATATAATGGGTAAATTTAAAAATAATGGGTAAATTTAAATATAATGGGTAAATTTAAAAGTAATGGGTAAAATTTAAATATAATGGGAAAAATGAATATACACAGGAAAATTAACTATTATGAGAAAAATAGTTATAACAGCAACAATATAATGGGAAAATAATTATAATGCAAAGTTTTCTTGAATCTTGTGTCCCTTTAAATATTAACCCCTTCAAAAAATTAGTTACAAAAAACCATTTGATATTGTGTGTTCCGCTGGCAGTTGAACGTGGGTGATGGAAATTTTAAAATATCTGCAATTTGTATTGACAGACATATGGTGTTACTAGTCCGCCTTTTAACCCCTATTTCAATACAATGTAATTTATCTTCTTTTTGCCTATTGAATAATTCATTGTGAAGTGTGCAAATTGAATTACTTGGCGCATAATCAATGATAAAAAATACTCATCTCCTCTTCTTGAAGACCATTTTCAACATTTCAATAAATTAATCCCTGCATCGCTATTCTGTACTCTATCATGTTTGATGCAGGGTGGAAATTTTTTTTTTTGGATAAATGATTATCAATTATCACTGTTATAAATTTATTATCAGTCTGTTATTATGTAAATGATCTGACAAAAATGTCTTGGGTATCTGTGTTTGTGGACAATCTGACAACTGTTCCGATTGATTATCAGTAGCCTATTTATTAATCAAGCCTATTAATAATATTCATTGAGAATGTATGCGAAGTCAATGTAATCACTTTCTAGGTATATGTGTGAGATTTTACATTGCTGTCACATGTTACACAATTCCTTACATTTAATGATTTGAAATATGTTATTCGATGAGCCTTTGGGCAATGTTATAAGTTCTAATGAATGAGCATAGGTATGTATGTGCTCTTTAAAATCACAAAAGCATGAAACACACTTATGGTGCCACTACATACATGTTGGTAAAATTTATTCGGTACCGATACGTGTTATTGTATCATTACTAATAAAGTCCACTACTGATACCAATATATTTGATGACCATCACTAAAGTAAATACAGCTCTTAATTAGTTCGTGCACAACTCAATTAAGAGTGCAAGGCATAAATATGACTCGTTTCATTTACGCTACATCAAAAATTTTGTGTGTACTGAACTTTGATCTGAGAAGACTTCCAGGAATTGCAGGCTTTTCATTCTATAGCTTTTGTTCTGGTGCCGAATGTCAATTAGTTATCACTTACACACGGTTGAGAATAATTATGACTTTTTGTGCCTGGGTAAAATATTGGACCCTTTGTATTTGCCGATACGTGACCAAGAATAATGAAGTAGGATACGTCACCGATCTTTGGGCGTATTTCTCGTAGAATTTAATCAACTTTTCTCATTATCTATACAAATCTTATTCATATCTGCATGAATGCATACCCACATTAAAAGACAAAAAAATAGTAATAATCACAAAATAATTGAAATTTAAGGGGAAATTACTCTCCTTTTTTTTCTGAAAGTGAATTACAGTGATTTATAAAAATAGAAATGAGAAATAAAAAATTCTAACACAAAAGTTTGAATGCTGTCGTTTTTCATTTCTCTTGACATATTTTCTTTGTCTATGTTTAATATTAGTTTTGTTAATGTAAAATAAAATGGGTCAGGTATCATTAAAAAACTCATTTAGACTTCATTATGGTATCTATTATTTCCAACAACCTCAACTTAAGTGATCATAAAAATTTCCTATATTGTCACAGATCTGATGTACTCATAGAACTTATATTGTTTTATATAGAAACCTATTATCAGGGGGCGATATTCTCTATAGCAATTTTTTTACATTTAAATTGCAATGACAAGGAGGAAAAATGACATGCAGGCTACATATCCAAATCGCAAACCGCAAACCCTGAAATTGATAAGGGAAACAGGAGAATTGGCCTGTTTTTTTTAATTTTCAAATATCAAGATACAAAATTTTTCAGCAGCTATGTAACTGTAGTTGAACCCGGCTTCAAACTTCCATTATGATAAGTGATACAGGTAAGGTATCTATTAAGGTACGGGCACACAAGCGGTCTTGACAAAAATCTCCAGTTGGTCGTTTTCTACCATGTCGATAATCACTTGCAGAGCATGGACTTAAAAGGAAAATGAATCTGATTGGATGATGACGGTCTTTCTTGCTGAGGATAAAACTATTGGAGGCAATTATTTGTTTGATATTATAAATCCTGTGGGGGACACGATATCCTTGTCCTGGAAGCACAGGCGAGATATTACTCAAGACTTTAATCGGTGACAAAAATCTTCTACCAAGAGCGCTTGTGTGTCTACATCTTTAGGTGTCAGATTGAGTATAGTTTAAGAAAGGGAAATCTCTCATATAAAGGATTAAATTAATATATAAAATATATTTAAAGGAACAATGCTCTATGAGTTTTGGTTGTGCATCAAATTTGGACTTGGATTCCATTGATTTCTCTGATGACCATTTGACAATTGAACTGATGTTATTGATTGTGAAAAGTATTTTGGTGGTTAATTATTCATGTTTAAAGGGTTAACAACTACTTCATTTAATTCTACGCCTCATTACCCTATCTTTCAAATAATGGTATTTTTATTACTGTCATTTTCCTTTAGTATTTGTTTTTAATGTTACAACATTGATCAGTCATCTATTGTAGAATATCAAATGTCTTGGCATAAGTTTTACTTCTTTTTAATTTCGTTCTGTCGTGCCAGTGATGTAGGTCGAGGCACTGACATTAAAAAGAAACGTCAGATGGGACAATAAATCGAGGGTCCGTGTGCTACAGGCTGTGCACATTAAAGATCACTCGACAGTTTGAAATTGAAAAAGCAGGCTAATGCCGCTTTCCTGGCAAAATTGCCTTCATTGCACACTCCATGGCGTTGCCTGTCCTCATAAGCCATTTTGGTGCAGAAAAGTAGCACATAAAACTCCATTTATTTTATTTCATTTTTACATGTTCAGTCTGTAGGTCATTTTTTGTCTCATGCAAATGACTATACCCTTCTTCAATGTCAGTTTTTCAGACCTGCATCATCGAAACTGGGAAACTAGATTGAAAAATCCAACGAACTATGCCAGGATAGAACCACCAGATGTAAAAATTGCTGAGTCATGAAAATACATGTGATGCATAGATCGGCAAAAGTATTCAAATGAATGGAGATCCCAGAGATTGAAGCCATTTCTACACAATGGCAAATGATTCATTGTTGAAGCAAAAACTGACATTTTCATGAATTTTTGATACAATTACCAATACATGTGAACTGTGACATCAATACATATACGAGTTGATTACAAACGTCATGAAACAACCCTCCATGTTTTAAACATTGACGTCTGCTATGCATCTTTAATTTGGTCACTGATTAATTCTTTAATTACACTGCAGTCACTGGTATAGACACAGACACATTCTCAAGTCAATACGGAAATAGGTCTCATAGACAATCATAAAGGAATTGTTCATGCATACTGATTGATCATGTCAGCCATTGAATATAGTCTCAATATTGGACATGGAAATCTCAAGTGTTGCTGTATATATACACAAGTATTATAATAACTAATTCTCATTCGGCAGACATTGAAAAGTTAATTTTGCATATAAACTCCACATGTTTTGTCAGTTTAGTGCGTAAAAGGTCTTCAAATCTGACACATTTTAGTGACAAAATCACATCGAGACATTTAGGAACCTCATTCATACATGACTGGTAAATGAGTCAAACTCAAAAGCACTTAGATAATTTGACTTTTAAATATTCAACTGATATTTTATAGATATCAAAATACATTTTAAATTGTAAGAAAAAGTAAAAAAACATTCAAAATTTTTAATTTTTTTCTTTAATTTTTTAAAATTCAACTGCTTCATTTTAAATGAAAATGACATATCTATGGATGAAATGGCAAATTTAACCCAGTCAATGGCTGTAGCTTGTTCTAACTGTGCCACACATTACAGGGTTTCATACTAAACTTGGTGAACTTCTAATCTCACCAGTTTTTCATGTGCATTTATATTTCAGACTCTTGTTTGTTTTAATAGGTTTTACAAAAGAAAAAACATGATAAAAATAATATTAAGACGATTGATAGACTAAAAAAATCACTCCATTAAGTAGGATGTTGTCTTATTAATCAGCTTTGTTAATAATTTGTAATATGATTGTCACGACATATAGACATGATACTGCTTCAATTACCATCAATTTAGTGGAGACTAGGTGCCTCACGTCTTCTCAATGTCAAGCTGTTACAAAATGCACCTAATACCTTGACTACAATAACTGCAGGTCGGAGAGGCTGATTTGAAAAAAGTATATAGTCGTTCAGATTGGACAATAAACTGAGGCCCCCAATGCTACAAGTTAAAAATCCCTCGACAGTTGGAAATCAAAAAGGAGCAGGCTAATCTAGTTGTCCTGGCAAAATTTCCCTCATTGCACCTTGCATGTCGTTGCCCATCTTCATTTGCCCACATGGTGCAGAAAAGTAGGATGTAAAACTCCATTCTTTTCATTTGGATTGCAATTTCTACCATTCTTGTATCACTAAAGTTTGTAAATACAGCAATTTGATTGGA